GCTATTAACGTGATAAAAGAAAAAATTACCTTAGATATAAATACTTTAACCGTTTATAAAGTAATAGCAAAGATAAAAGTGACTTTAAAAAACAGGGTAAAAACTGCACGATAATATGATATACGGTACAACGTTTTAAGAAATTAAAAGATCTCGTTACCGTTTTTAATTCAAACGGTAACATTTAGAAATAACAGTAAGAAAATAGTTTGATTATTAAAGTAATAAAATTACCTTTAAAGAGATAAAGCTGTATATATTAAGGTATTATACGTAGCTTTATCTTAACGCGTTGATAATAGCTTAAGAATATCAATCTCACGTAATATATATAATAATATATTTCAAAACCCAGTAATAAAAATACAGCAAAGGAACAAATACGGCTACAAAAAAAGTAAAAGGTTTTTTAATCGATTAAAATATTATTAAAAATAATACGTTGGCGGGAAAAAAAACGAAAAAAACGAGTAAGTAATAACTTAACTAGGGCTTTAAAAGGTAGTAACGCGTAATTAAGGCTTTATTAGTTAAAAGATTTTATTATTACGTCAAAGTATATTGATTATATACTTAAATGATATTATTACTACGTTTAAATTAGATTTTTATCTTGTTTTAAGCGTTTTATAGCTTTATCAACCTGTTAATGTAACCTTTCAATCAAAGCTCCTAATTGATTAACCAACAATAATGGCATTGCGTTATAGCGAATCAGACTTACAGCTTGCTGTCTAAGTTAAGCGACGCGACCCTCATATTACCATTGGCAAGCTTTCTAAGACTTTTCATGTCCCATATAATACCTTGAAGGCTAGAATCGCCGGCCGACTATCACGACGCGATAGCATACCCAATACTTTGAAACTTACGGTTTCTGAACAGAATGCTATTCTTTCCTTCATTCTTGACCTGGATGCGCAAATATTTCCACTCCCGCACAGTCATGTTGAAGATATGGGGAATCAATTGTTGGCAGCGCATGGGAATGGACGTGTTAGAAAGAACTGGACACAGAACTTCATTAAACGCAAACCAGGCCTCCAGACGCAATTTCATCAGAGGATGGACTACCAGAGGGTCTTCAATGAAGATCTAGATGCGTATTGCGCGTGGTTTTGCCAAGTTATAGCGGCAATTGCGAAACATGGTATTCAAGACGCGGATATTTATAACTTTGACGAGACTGGGTTTATAATAGGCATTATTAGGTCCGGTATGGTCGTTACAAGTGCTGAAAGACGTGGTAGGCCTAGACAAGCTCAGCAAGGCAATAGGGAATGGTCTACAGCAATTTCTGCTGTCAATGCTGATGGTTGGGTGGTCCCGCCGCTCATCATTCTACAGGGCAAAACCCACCTTGCCTCATAGTCTCGCGACACGACATTACCACGCAATTGGAAGGTGGCTGTGTCCGATAACGGTTGGACTACGAATGAGATTGGTTTGGAATAGATTCGGCATTTTAACAAGTATACCAGACCGCGTATGACTGCCAGTAAACGCCTCCTCATTCTAGATGGTCACGAAAGCCACCATTCCCAGATCTTTGAGGATTATTGCCAGAACAATAGCATTATTACCCTTTATATGCCTGCCCACTCGTCACACATGCTCCAGCCTTTAGATGTCAGTTGTTTTAGCCCGCTCAAACGAGCGTACGGTCGCATGATTGAGGATCTCATCCGGCGTCATATAACACACGTTTCAAAAGAGGACTTCCTTACAGCATTTTGTGAAGCACACAACGCTGCTATGACGCAAGGAAATATTTGAGCAGGTTTCAGTGCCACTGGGCTTGGTTCTTTTTGACCCAGAAAGTGTCATTTTGAAGCTGGATGCTGTCGCTGTCGTACAAACACCGTCGCCAGACCCCAATCTGCCACCCACTACTTGGACTTTAAAGACGCCTACCACCATCAAGAAAGCAATAAACCAGCCGGTTCATATCCGAAATCGAGTCAGAAAAGACCAGGGAAGCTCACCTACATCAATAATTGATGCGTTAAGCTCATTTTCAAAGGCTACATATGGTCTTATACACAAGATCGCTTTGGTTGATTCCCGGGTCCGCAAGCTAGAGGAGGCCAATCACCTACTAAGTAAACACCGGAGAACAAAAAACAAACGTCTAGTGAAAGGAGGAATACTTTCAGTTAAAGATGCAGTAGGCCTCCAGGCTGTAAAGGATGGTAATGAGCTGGCAAGACAGGAAATGGGTGAAGATAATTGTCGTTCAAGGAGGGCGGTAGCGCGTGAGCAACGTTGTGGCGTTTGCGGCAACACTGGCCATAATGCGCGGACTTGTACAATAGAGATAGAAACATCTAAAGAAAAAGAATCCAATTGATTAGATTGAATTAAATGCATTGTGGTCGAGTTATTTGACATGTTAGTTAGAAGGTTGGTGAAAAGTTGCCGTTCACTTGTAATTGCCGCTCGCTTGTTATCCATGTTATCTATATTATCTATTTTATTTATTTTATTCATATTATTGACGAGACTTATAATTATCTAATATAACTATTTTACATCGTGGTTAAACTAATATTTGAAACATTAATAAATAAGCGTGAGCTTATATTGATTAAATACGTGCTCGTTCTTCATTAATATAATCAGGAGAAAAATAATATTGAGGATTATTTGGTTTGATTGAAAATACTACTTTTAATAATCCTTTTATTATAAAAAAATGTTTTTCTATAAAAAATGTTTTTTAACTCGTCGCTTGGATTTATAAGCTCCTAATGTTTCCAAAGTCGTATTTATTGAATACAATACTAATAAAAGATTTCTTATTTTAAGCGATAACGATTAAAATATAACATTAAGGCTTTATTAAATATATCGGCATTTCAGTAATAAGGATGTATTTATTTTTAGTAAAAGATTGGGTTTTTTTTTTCTTTTTAACAATAAATCTCCCTTTTGAGTATTTTTAAGGCCTTTTTAAAATGAAGAATAATAATTATATAAAAATTAAAAGTTTTACTAAACGATTTATAATATGCTTACAAATTTTTGTACTCGCATATAAGATTATTTTAGGATTGTTTAAAGCTTATTTTTTAAAACTTGTTTAGATTTGCTTTAATTTCGTTAAACCGTTTACTTTGTTTATAGATATTCAAACGAAATATTGTCTTTAACGCCAGTAATATTTGCTTTTTTTAATTTAATAATTAAAATACAAAGGTTATATTAAGATTACGGTTGTTGATTCGTTAATAATATTGCTAAAAACCTTAGTTAAATCGTTTCTGAATAATATTATTCATTAGTATATATAGTATAATGTAATATATCTTTTATTGAATTCGTATTTTTGACAAAATTATTGTTTGTTAAAAAGTATTTTGTGACGACCCGTCTAACCTATACGGCTAAAGGTTTCTATAGGGTTTATGTTCTAAGGTAAGTCAACACAAAAAACGATAAAAGCTTCTGTCAATTAGAAGACACTCAGATGCTGGGGCTTGGTCTTGTGACGGCCTGTACAGACCTTCCCACATGACAAGCGGATACTTCCCAATAGGGGAAGGATCTGACCAGAGGATCCCCTTAAAGGGGCAACCTCCCACTGTACCTATCTCTCTCTCTCTCTTTCTTTCCTCTCTAGTCTTGATATTCTCGTCAATAGAGTAATAGCTGCCTGCTGCAGGCCATGTCCCAGCTCCTCAGTATGCTCGCCGTGACAGCACTCATCATGAACTCTCTGACTGCCATGTGAAATAACTTTACTACAACGCATTCAATTCAATTCAATCAATCAGATTCCTTTTCTTCAGAGGTTTCTATGTCTATTGTACAAGTTTGTGCATTATGGCCAGTGTTGCCACAAACACCACAACGTCGCTCATGCGCTGCTGTCCTCTTTGGATGACGACTACCTTCACCCATCTCCTGTCTTACCAGCTCAGTATTATCCTTTGTAACCTGAAGACCTACTGTATCTTCAACAAAAAGTATTCCTTTTCTCACCAGACATTTTTTTTTTTGTTCTCTGGTGTTTACTTAGTAAGTAATTGGCCTCCTCTAGCTCGCGGACCCGGGAATCAACCAAAGCAACTTTGTGTATAAGACCATATGTAGCCTTTAAAAACAAGCTCAATGCATCAATTATTGAGAATTGCTATTTCCAGAGTATCCGATTTCTAGAGTACTCCACTTTGCAGCTGCCAGATCTGCTGACAGTTGCAGCAACCACTGCGCCCTATCACCTGGCAGCTGCCCCAATTGGCTACTGCTGCAATAATATCAAGACTAGAGAGGAAAGAAAGAGAGAGAGAGAGATAGGTACAGTGGGAGGTTGCCCCTTTAAGGGGATCCTCTGGTTAGATTCTTCCCCTATTAGGAAGTATCCGCTTGTCATGTGGGAAGGTCTGTGCAGGCCGTCACAATTAATTCGTAAAGCTATCTATTATTTCTTTTATTATTTTAAACCCCGTCATATTACCCTTTTACTACACCTTTATACCTCGGCAACCAAAATTAATATAATTTATAAAAAAAGTTAAGAGGTGCTAGCGATTTAAAATGGGGCACTAACACTCTAATTGGAAACGATAGTATGCCGATATGACTGACACTCTGGCTGACAAGCTGCCATCAATCGGGATGATGTGGGGGGATCCTCACAGGGCTGAGTTTAGGTGAGCTGGGGATTCGCACCCGGGGCCCGGTCTTCTGGGATCCCATACCCAGGTCACACTCATGTGGTACTAACAAGCTTATTTCCTTTAATGCTTGTTCAAGTAACGTTGGGGCATAAAACCCAGAGGCGTGGATTAAGCGCACTCCCTCGCATTTCCCGCTCTCTCCTTCATCGCATACCTACTCATTGCACTCGTGGTACGCTACAACCACGATTACAACCTCGTCACTGTCCAATTTGCCTCAATCAGTCGTCCATTTTCCCACATCCAGCTTGCCGGAAAAACTGCACACGCACTTGCTACGGCGTCGCGACTATGACACTTAAACCCACCACCGCCAAAATGGAGCGTCCTACCACGGCAGCCTGGGGCATACACATCAACAAGGCCGACTTCGACAGGCTCAAGAAGGGCGTAGAGCCGAGGGACATGGACGACAAGTGGCAGATCTCTGCCGACAAGCCAGACGCGGCCGACATCACCGTCGTCCACATGCGCAGGAGCTGGACTGGCAAGGAGATGTTCACGCTCAAGATCAAGGGCAGCGATGGGGGAGATGGAGGAGGCAAGATCCAGGAGATCACCTGGGAAGTAGGTCCGGGAGACGACCCCATTGAGGATGAGGAATGGGCCAAGGACCTGGCGACGGGCCTCTACCTGAAGTCGGCGCATTGATGTTGCTTGTACACACACGCATACACACACGCACACGCACACACACACAGACACGTTGCTCACAGATAGAAAGCAGTGGTTGCCTAAAGACACTCGGATCTTGTTCTTAACGATTTACGCGCCCGTTGTAATCGAAGCGCGCCATCCGACATGGAGGATATGATTTTGACCTGGCGCAAGCCTCGGTCTCGTAAATGAAACCTAACATCCTGTAGTCCTTTGGACCCAACCTTGACCACGCCTCTCACCCGCATGATCACTGGACTACTTGCTGCCGCATATGACCTGTAGTTTGTCGTAGAAGGCCTTTGGTCAATAAGAATCAAATTAGCAACAGACGGAGCGCCAACACAGAGGCCACGTACGTAACCTGGAAGCCCGTTATTGCATCAGATGATTGTTCAGCCCTTCATCCCTGTCTTGGCGCTAGCTATAGGGGGGCAAACGGACATCGGCCTATGTGGACCCGGAATCTTCAACACAGCCCCCCCGACCTCCTCGTCACAAGTAACGCTGAAAAGAGCCAAAACACCATCAGGGGAACAGAGTCAGTAGACGGATATCGGCCTATGTGGACCTGGTGGCTGCGAAACCTATCCGCGTGTCGTGGTAGGGACGTACATGTACAAAGACGAGAGCGAGACAAATTTACATCAATTACGCAACGATCCAATGACAGCGAATCAGTCGCTGCTCCTTACGGAAGAGCGAAAGGTAATTCGCCGAGAATGTGATGTCATGTTTCTACTTTCGGATGAGCTGTAGCTGAATCCGACTTGGAAGATGGTGGCTTGAAGCTGAAACGGCACAGGAAGCGGCAAGGAAAGTCAGTAGATTGGGGGCGCTCACGTTAGTGGCCAGGCGCCAGGGACGTCGTGTGTGATGTAACAGGTAACATGATCAATCGCGAGTATTGGCCGGGAATGTCCTGCGAGAAATCCTGACATGCGAAGCTTGACTTCCAGACAGAGCATCGAGCGCGACTTCATAAGTGCTCGCCTCCTGTGTAATGACCAAGGGTTTATTATTAGTGTATGATGATATTTTCTAACTTCTGAGGATCATGATATGTACTAGTAGGGTCAGTTCCTGGGATGCGGCCAGCTCAGATGTACCCCCAGGCGCACCCAGATTAGACACAGTGTATGCAAAGCCGAATAGCTGACTATTGACGGCCTGGCGATCGACCTAATACTACCACAGCCGCACTGCAAATCTGCACGATGATCATATGTTGTCCAGAAAGGCTTTTGAGACTCGCGCTCCAAGGATTCAGTCTACGTAGGCGGTGGAATCATCGCCTACCTAGACGACCCGAAAGCTGCTGATGTCGATCAGACTGCGAGATATAGTCTTCAAACAATGTCGATGAGGCTTCGTCATGGCCGTCGGTAGCCGCCTTGCACAGTCCCATATGGTCTCAGCTAGATGGATAAAGAAGACGTCGACCCCCCCTCTGAGGACCAGTTAGAACCAGACATCCAGATCACGTCGAACTCTCCAAGTCTTTTCTCTACCACTACAGATACATATACATATACGGACTCTTTTCACAATGCTGAGCTCCTACTTCGTCCTCATCGCCGGCCTGTTGTCCGCCATAGGCAATTGTGCGCAGCCCACGATCGTCTACCGCGGCGACACCAAGACGCCCAAGCACCTCAAAGACGCGGATGGCTTTAAAGCCAAAGGCGGCGATCAAAGCCTCTACAGCCACGTCAGCAAGGGCGGGCAGGATAACGACGGCTACGTGTCGACCTCGGCGAACCGGGCCCAGGCCGTCAGTTTCGCCGAGAAGAAGGGCGGTGGCGACGGCTACGTGTACGAGATCTCGGCGAACAAGCAATTCATCGACTGCGCCGGCACACTGAAGCAGTACTACGACCAATGGAAGGTGGAGGAAGAGTTCTCGGCAATCGGCGGGATCGAATGGAAACAGATCAAGAGCTGGACCGTGATAGAGAACTTCCAAGAGGGTGACACCACGCAAAACCCAGACTACGACGTCTCGACCGAGAACGAAGAGGCCGGCGGCGCCCAGCCCCAACTCGCCGGGTTCCCGACCAAGGGCAAGATTGGCAAGGCCTGGAACAAGGACCCCTGGAAGGAGTTTGCCGACTGCAAGCCCAATGACAAGAAGCTCAGGCGCGGCGACTGCAACGACGACAATGACAGCGCGGATGGTTGTGATGATGTCTGCAAACCGAAGAAGTCCAACAAGGACTTCATCAAGGAATACCTCGACAGCATCAAGAAGCGCGGCCTGCGGTTCGCTCGGGCCTACTTTTCCTAAGTTGTCGCAACATCGACTCATGTCTCGAGGCACCTTTTCCTTTCTTGCAAGGTGTGCTGCCTCGAAGAGGACGACGTCAAGCTACTGGTACTTGTAGTAAGCCTCCAAACCATGGAACGAGACCGCAAATGATGGAGAAAACGAAGCCCGGCTTCTGTTGGATTTCAACTTTGGAGTTTTGGAGTTTTGGAGTTTTGAACGCAGGCGATTCGGCGAAGGCGTGTTGATGTTGTCGATAGCGTGAAGGGGATAGGAGAGCCAATAGGCTCTGAGAGCCTTAAAGCGCTCACTCATTTACATAGTAAAGAAGGAACCGAGTATACCAAAGCATGACCGATAAAACAATGCCACTCTTTTTTCCCTGTGAGGAACTATTACTACCCTGGGTAACTGCCTAGGGCAACATAGAAGGGTTTAGCTAACCTTCAGTGCCACAACCTTCACGCACACACGTACACGTACACATATAGGGACTCGACCGATAAGACGTAACCAGGGTTACGAATAAGGAGCTACCAAGGTCTAATTCTGTGCCAAGACAGGGGTCACTCCAACAACAAGCAAAGTGCAAAAGTGTCACAATCTAGCCCCCCAACCCAGTAGAATACACGACCTTCACTACACCTCAAGCAGCCTGCTCACTCTTCTCCCGCCCTTGCAACGCATCGCGAACCTTGGGCAAGATATAACGTCCATAATCGACAACATCGTTGAACGTGTCATATCCCCGAATGGAGATCAGTTCACAGCCCAGATCAACATAGTCCAGGATCGAGTCAGCAATAGTCTGCGGCGACCCAACCAGTGCAGTCGAGGCCCCACGCGCATTGGTCGCCGTGACAGTCGGGTACCACAGCGCGCGGTCCTGAACTTCGCCGCGCCTCGCGATTTCGAGGAGCCGCTGAGATCCGACATTCTGCGGAGCCGGGGCATTAGCAGGAACCTTGCCCGTTCCGTTTGCTCGGTTACCGTTCAGAGCGTCCAGAATGCGGTGCGCCTTCGCCCAGGCGAGCTCCTCGGTCTCCGCGACGATGGGCCGGAACGTGACCCAGATGCGTGGTCGGTCGGTCGCAGCCCGTCCGGCGCGCTCGGCCTCGGCGTAGATGCGATCGATCTGTTGCTTGGTTTCCTTCAGCGGCTCGCCCCAGAGCCCGAAGATGTCGGCTAGCGAGCCGCCGATGCGATACGCCTCGTCGGATGACCCGCCGACCGACACAGTCACGGTGCCGTTAACGGGCCGGACTTTGTTGCTGAACTGCTTGAACTGGTAGTACTTTCCGTCCCAGTCGAAGGGGTCGGCGGACTCCCAGGCGCGTCGGAGGATCTTGATGTACTCCTCCAGACGCCCGTAGCGCTCGTCTTTGCCCAGGAAGTCACCCTCCGCTGCCTGATCTGCGTCGCTCCCGCCGGCAATGAAATGCACGACGGCACGACCCGAGCTGAGCTGGTCGAGCGTCGCCAACTGCTTTGCTGCGACGGTCGGATACATGGTGTTTGGGCGGAGGGCGATGATCACCTTGATGTTCTTCGTCACGGCGGCGATGGTGGCGCCGATAGTGAAGGGGTCGAAGGAAGATGATCCGTAAGGGATCAGCGTGTAGTTGAAGCCATACTCGTCGAGCGTGCGAGCATATCGGATGAGGAAGGCTGGATCAACGCCGGCATTGGGGATAGGCGCAATCTCAGTGGATTGATTTGGGTGGGTGACACTGATGAATTCGGTCGGCATTTTGAATATTTATCCCTAGCTGGTATTGCTTGGTGTCTTCTCGTTATATTGATGTTGTATCGAAGAGGAGGATTGTCTTGCCGTATCAACGACCCCCTGTTTTGTATACTCCGCATGGCGACAGCATCTTGAGAATCACGCAATCACAGCCGGTTTCGGTTGGAGGGCCAATTTCAATATTGGTGCACCACTTCTGCATTTGTAAGCAATAGAACCCTCAGTCCATGTTCACGAGGTCCCGCCGCTTGCTTGTGTCAGGACTCCTTGAGAAGGCGTGATTGATAACGCTACCCCACCCGAGAGCACCAGCTTCAGCAGTTGGCTTCTTCATATCACAAACATGCGATTCGTTCATTTTAACAGCGTGGGTTTTAGAGTGGCAAGTCTCTGTGACCTGGTTTGCTTGAGTTGAGTTCTATGCTTTGAACATACTCAAGCTTTTTTATTGCCCCCTTACCGGAAAAGGGGGGAGGGGCTAGCGAGCAACACCTTATGGCGATTATGTAACCATTCGTACAGGCTAGCAGCTACACTCCATTCCGAAGCGCTGTATAGTTCAATATCGGCCTCACTTGATCTTTGGTAGAATATGGTTCCAACATGCTGGACGAAATGAAGGTGTCATCAACCTGTACAGTAAGAGCTTGCGCTGGAACCATGGTGTAACAACGTGGCTCCAAAGGTCGTCTACTGATCGGCAAAAAGAGTATGGTCGACGGTTATGCATCATGACGGCTCATATAGTTCAATCCCCTCGACATCATATCCGATTTGTTCACCAATCCATAAAGAGTCGCCTCTCAATTTCGTGTAACCCTTGTCCAGCAACTTGGTTTGAAATCCCTCCCCCCCCCCCCCCCCCCCCCCCCCCCAATTTAAATGTATAGCACCACCCAGTACGCAAAGTCTGAACCACGGGCGTGAAAATATGTTTCGGTAACGATATGTTTGCGGAAACCCTTTACATTAACGACCTGGTTCATATCATAGGTTGCTTCGTCATCAGTTCATTTGCGCTGCTAATGTGGGCCCGTGTTATCCCATGTCTCCGCGAGTGTCACATGGGAGCTGGTACAGAGATCTGTTAGTGTCACAATTCAAGGTCCAATATGGGGTAGCATTGGGATGAATTGCTTGCGTGATCGTCTATCGGATCTGGGGACCAAATCTAGTACTAAATACACACCGAAGCATAAAGATTCGCCCATCCATTGATCTGGCAATCAATGGAGCCTTGTCTGTCACCCTGAAAGCCACCACTTCTGGTGCCTTCACCCCTTTCATCCTTTGACCACCTATTCTGGTCAGATACAGCTGCCTGAACAGCTGCCACCACACCTGTACGGCACCCTGTATCCCACAGTTAGATTATAATCATATCAACCCGGTGCTATATTAGGCCACTGGTGTGTGCCTCGGCCTTGAAACCGGCGGGAGAGGTCTCTACAGGGTTGTTTTGTGATTACTCATCCAGAAAACGACGTGTCCATATATTTGGGAGAAGTGGGTTTGATTATTGAACATACAGTCCTGCCTTGGACACGCGATTTCCGACGACTGCCACTCTTCGTTTGAGCCGAGGGCCCACTGGCATATTGTATACCGCGTTGCACTCTGTGTTCGAGTGCTTTAGGTGCCATAGTGAAGCATGATTGAATATATGCTTACGTGAACACCGAAATCAGTTCCTTCTGGGCGACTCTCAAATTCCATGAGGACTATTTAAAGCCAGGTTCACCCTGGTTGTCCATCTCACATCAAACAATAACTTACATTCCATACAACTCCCCTTTGAAGCTGCTTTCGCACAGGCAAGCCGACTCAAACAACCATGCCTTTCTGGCAAATCTTCCATACCCCTACTGCCTTTGCCGATCTTTCGGCCAAGGCAGCGCTAGTGCGCGACATCACAGCCTTCTACGTCTCGGGAGGTCTCCCGGACTTCTACGTCGTTGTCGTCTTCCGGCCTATGACGGGCGAAGACATGTGGGTTGGCGGGAAGCCCGCGGCGGCCCACGACAGGGACTCCTCCACGCTCCGGCGTCCCTTTGTGCGCCTTGTTATCAGCCACCTTGCGGTCCAGCATGGACCGAACGACGCGGCTTTGGGCGCCATGACCGATCGCATCAACAAGGTACGCAGAGGAGCTGAAGAGTGGAGTGGCAAGCCGAGGATAGTTCAGGGCTTCGCAGTGGCTGACTTTCACATACAGTGGCTCGTGTCTCATCTAGAATGGTATGACTGGGAATACACTATTGATGAGCCGCCTCGTGGTGGGTGGCGGATCAATGGGCTGGCCCCTCCACCTCATGGTACTGACGCTGAGAAGAAATGGGCGGCCGAGGCAAAGCCAAGTCCGTGGGAATAAAGACGCGCTGAACAAACCTGGCAGGGGTATGTCATTTGCTCTTCTTTCCCTTGACTATCAAGCTTTTTGATTCCTGCAGGGGTAGATGGAAACTCGCTTTGTTTGCCTGCACAGATCCAGTCTAGTTATTTCGACCCAAGTATCCTGTCTATATGCTACTGTCATGATATCTGGCAAGCTAGCGTCTTCATTGCAGTAATCAAACCGTTTATGATCTGTGTATAGCCCCATGCTGCCAGATCAACTTTAGTAGTATAATTCAATATCCTCGCTGCTCTCTGTTGCGCCAGGCCAGGCCCCTTATCTCCAACGTCATCAATCCAATAAAAGTGCCAAGATGCAGCCCGGCACATATGACAAACCACCATCCTGGGCCTATTGTTCTGAGCAGTGGATCTAGAGCAGCTAACCCTGCCGCAGCTAGCTCGCAGCGGACCAGATTGTTGGCGGCCTGCACCGAAGCACCGTAACCTGGCCAGTAGTCAAGAAGCAAGGTGTTGAGAGACTAATCCCACTATTCAGCTTCGCGTTCGATTCACTGATAGGTCAGACTTACGGTGTACAGAAGCTCGTTAAAGAAGCCGATGAGAAACTGGAGTATCAGGGGTATCGCCATCGCCTATCTTCGTGAATTAACGGCGGGGGCATATAAATGGGACAGCCCCATATATGGGACAGTTTTTACACCAAAAGACTACAGTTGCACTTACAAATAACTCTATCGGAATAAAAGCTCTAGATGATGTGAGTAATGCATTCGAATCGCCTTTTCTTGGTGTTTCTTTTGATTTTGGGTTTATTAGGGGTATACCAGCCACCCATCCCGGCTGATGAGTGACTAAACAATAACGCCAGCCTGACTTTTCGTTATAACGAAATCCTCCTCTGTGTGACGAGCCGTCTAACCTATAAGGCTAAAGGGTTCTATAGGGTTTATGTTCTGAGGTAAGTCAACACAAAAGACGATAAAGGCTTCTGTCAACTAGAAGACACTCAGATACTGGGGCTTGGTCTGAACTGGGTTCACTGAATAGTCGAGTCGTCAGGAGATTTCTCCCACCTTAGGGTTGGCTAAGATGCTTAGATTGATCACTGAGGTAGAGACTGTCTATCTGTCTAGCTAGGAAATGTCCATCCTTATATATCCAATCTCTCCCTCACTGATGGGGTGGATATGTTGGATAACCTTGCTATCCAAGCTATCCTGGATATGTTGGATAACCTCGCTATCCAAGCTATCCATCACGTGATGTCTTGATCACGTGACCTAGACGTTTCCTTAGCCCGTGCGTTCTCCCGGGTTCTTCCAGTTACTGTCCATCTTGTTGGGCCTGCCAGCGGGCCTCATTCCCTGTACGCCTCATTGGTTCGTAACACTCTGGGCTTCATGACTCGCCAAGGGGCAGCATTCATTAAGTACGCAGACTGCGGCTGCGTTGCAAGCAACGGTCAAGCCTGTTGGCGACATAAATGTCGTGTCGTAATAGATGAAGGATTATGGATAAACTATATAGAAAGAGAGGCAATAAATATCTGGTATTGTATGACGTATGTGTACAAGCATATCCAAGCATGTTGTCGAAGCGGAACGCTAAAAAGTGAAATGTCCAGGGGTTCGTTCGAATCCATTCGTTCTACTTCCGCGTAGTCTGTATCTATAGCCGATGCACATATGGACGTGTAAACAATGTCGGTACCCTTGAGACGGTTGCATTTTAGAGAGAAAGCACATGCAACAACTATAATCAATAAGGCCACGTAGTCATCATGAGTCAGTAAAGCATCTCAAGAGAAAACAACCGCGTAAACGTGAGTGGAACGGAACTTGACCATAACCCGGGCGCAACTCAACTTGCACTCGTCCACATGGTGACGGTATTACGAGTTTGTAAGTTATCACCCCAAGGGTCTCCGTAATAGGGCGGCCCCTAGACGTCTTCGCCAGTCTGCATACCGACGGAAAAGGAGACAAGCTCCAAGCTCTGTGTGTTCACTCACGCGAACATACGGGCGACGCCGGCATCAGCATCATCATCACTCCAAAAATAGCCGCAGTTGGGCGCGACGATCTCGAAGATTCAGATGCACGATGAGTGGATTGGGCTAGGGGCGAGCCACTTTCCGTATCTGAACCGTCTCCATTCGAGATCAAAGATGTTGAAGACAAGGGACTAGGGGTCCTTACGGAGTACTCGAGCCAATCCCCTGATGATCCGACAGCGCTAAGTTAGCATAGAAAGAACAGCAGAAGAGAGCGACGCTGTCTGGAAGTCTTGATGTCATATTCTAGCTCCAAATTGTCCATGGAGACTGTGATTGCTATACACGGAGAACTAAAGCGATTGCAGTCTTGTCCCCAACATACAGTGACCAGGCTGCGGTTTCAGCGCCTTTCTTTCAGCGACACATAATAGCTCTGCTTGTCCCATAACATATACGGCTTCTGGTCTGTCCATCTTCGAAATGAGGACCCTTCTTCTTTACCCGTGATACCCCCTATCCACTTTCGAGAGACCTCAACATCAAAGTTCCATACCATGCGAGCTAAGACGACACGGAACTCGAGGATTGCTAGGTTTTGCCCTATACAATCCCTCCCACCCACCGTAACTGGTCTGACCACGTCTCTTCTGTCTTTGCCAAACTCTCGAGCCTCCTCGTTGGTTGGATACTGCAGGGCCTCTTCAGGCGACAGCCAGCGCTCCGGCAGAAACTCATCTGGGCGGACGAAGTTTGCAGCGCAGCGATTCGTCGCAAATTGTGTCACGCCAACCGCAGTCTAAAATTCGGATCGTCAGTGAAATGTAATCAGTTCTTCTTCATGTCCTGGTTAACACTCACTCCGGGAGGGACAGCATATCCCGCAATCTGCGTATTCTCTCGATCTACCACTCTTGCCGGGCCGTTGGCGAGGGGTGGGCAAAGTCTATGTGCTTCGCGGATGACACCATTCAGATAGGGCATATTTGCAAGGTTGTTGAAGTTGAGGTCTGCCTCCGTAGGGGCGGTAGTGCGCACCTCAGACACGAGCCGGGCCATTGCCAGGGGGCTTTCACAGAGAAGGTGCGTTGCGCTGAGCAGAGACGTCGCCATCGTCTCACTCCCTGCCAGAAGAAGTAGAATACTGTTGGATTGGATCTCGTAGAGACTGAGGCTCTCTTGAGAGTTCGATTCGGTAGAAGGATCCTTGTCATTTCGTTCAGTCGGCAGAATGGAAGATGAGCCCAAAGCAGCCTGAACAAAGTCGACCTGTTCCCCGGGGAGCGTGCGTTGAAGGCGACGATCCAGCTTCTCGCGCACAAGGTCAAAGAACGAATCACGGAGTTGTAGCAAATATGCAGGTGCTATACGCAAAGCGAGCAGTGGTAGCGGTGGGAAGAGACGCAAGATCATGAAAAGGGCCGAGAGTCTTAAATGCGACAGGATTATCAGAACCCATGGATGGTACTCTTGACTGCCGAGACACCCAAAGTCTTCGCTCATGACGACATAGCCTGCGATGTCAAAGGTCAGGTAGTTATACCACTCGCGCAGGACAGCTGGGCGATTATGGGCACAGTAACGCGTACGTAGCTGCTGAATTAGTTTGTCGGTATAGTCCTGCACAATTTCCTCTTGCATCCGCGCCGACTTCATGGAAAAGAAGCTGTTTCGCAACAGTCTTCGTAGACGTGTGTGATTCTTGTCGTCGGCATCGAAGAGTGACTCAAACGTTTGGGCATTACGGTATGCGCCGTGCTTAGGGAAGCCTTTGTTTCCAACGCCCCCGCAGTAGATGTCTGTCCAGGCGGCGCCCGCCGTGAAGGAGAGCTCGTCCGGAGCGATGCCCACGACAGGGCCATGCTGATCATGTAGGGATTTGATGTGCTCGTGGAGACGTCCTTGCCATAGATACCACGCATATTGGAGTCGAGTTGTTGCAGCTAGGCGGGGACCGGGAAACCTCGAGAGCTGGTGGAAAAAGCAGTGGTAGATGGCTCGAGAGAGTAAAAAGGACTGTATGAACGGCTGTTATCAGTCCGCGCTCTACAACGCGCACCAAAGGGTTGGTGCTCGCCTCTGTCGACATGTTTGACGGAACCGACCAAAAGAAAAGGGGGAAGGGTGGGGACTCACAATGGCAATGATGAGGATTGAAACCACCATCTTTGCTTGCGTAAACGGGAAGCAACGAGTAGAGGCAAACATGAAGTAGAGATGTGACACCACATACCACACCAGACATGAGACGTAGCTGTAGATGTGTGTAAATCATTCGGCGCTGATATATGAGCTAGGCATGGGAATGATCGCTTTTATGGATTATATGCACACCAACGAGCCTCACAAAAACAACTATTTTTCTTGGCGCCCCGCTGTTAGGGCGCAACCTTAATATTTGCACTAAAGCAGGCACTTCTCTCAGTAACTGACTATCTCTGTCAAGGCACAAGAGAATTTTTCTCATAAGCCAGATAGCACCTTTCCACGACGGGCCCCCAAACACGCCCATGGCCGTCCCAAAGACGACCACTGGCGGCGTGCTCAAATCCCCGGCCCCTAGAAAGACATATGGCCCGGCAACTCCGAGCAGGCTCCGCCAGGCGCTGCTTGACAACATCAGCAACAGCCCGTCACAGGTCTCTGAGGCTGACTTCACCGTTATTTCCCCTCTGAAAAGAAAATCCTGAAATATCAATGACAACAGTACCACTAGAATGAAACGACCTCAATTAAACAAAATCTCGACAGACCAAGCCATTATACACGATATAGAGAATAAAACCTCCTCCTCAGAGTGCCAGGACCAAATTGCCAGAATACTGACTAAAGACAAGCATCTTTATGAAGCCAGGATGACAATGTTTCAAGAGTGTGCTGCAGCGGTTAATAAGACATTTAAGAAAGCTGGAACCGAACTATACTCTTATGCCAAGGAATTCAGCACTTTCTTCTCTAAATGTCTAAGCAAGTGGCTAGAAACCCAAGATCCGCCTAAAAGGAAGACCATCCCTGGGGGGATAGGGATAGTAAAGCCCACCATGACCTTTGCCCAAGCTGTCTCCTCTAGCTAACAACAGCATCTACGGACAGTCAATACTACCATAAAGAAAACACAGCCTGGCGCCCGTATCATTACCACCCAATTAAAGAAGAAACAGGATGATCTCCAGGTCTTTGTTCACATGGATAATAGCCACTTAGAGCCTTACAGAATAAAGTCTACACTGAACAGAAGACTTGAGCTCCACCCTCAAGAGCTTGGAGAAGTGACCCGGTGCCCCTCTGGATTTACCTTACACCCAAGGGACAAGCTAACTCAGGCTAAGCTCCTGGCCTTCCAAAAAGAAATCACTGATATTCTTAAGGCAGAAAAGATCGAGACCCACACGGTCTGGTATCACTATAAGGTCGATAGATGCCCAAGAAAGGTTATCAGTGTGGAAGGATTGACAATCGACATTACTGATATTGCTATTGCTAATAAAATTAAAGCCCAAATAGGTAACAGACCTTTAAAGTGCATACTCTCAAAGAACACAGTTGATTCTGATCTGGAGACTACATGGGTGATCTCTTTGCCCCGTGCAGCAAAGAAACTATTCACGCTTTTTGTTCACTCAATGACCTCAAGACACATTCAATACTCCCCCAAGGTTCACCAATGTGCGAGCTGCTTCAGATACCATAGTAGAAACTACTGATATGAAAAGCAAGTATGTACACGTTGCGCCAGTACAGTACACCAGGGAGAGTGCGAAAAACCAATCCCAAAGTGTGTCAACTGCAAAGGACCTCATGCTGCCAATTTCGATAAATGCCGTGTACGCCCTAAGGTTATGAAAGGCATCATCCACAAGTACACATGAGAGCAAATCCAGGAAATAAGGCTGGCTGGAGAAAGAGCCAGATCCAAGGCCTTCAATGAAACAGGCAGAAACCAAGCTGGGTCAACACCCAGCAACAATAACGAAGACATCACAATACAAATCGACACAACAGATACAACTCATCCTAGAGATGCCGATACCATTGTTGTCAGTCAATGTTAGGTACATCAAACGAAACACATCGACACGGGCATCTAGTCATCCATTCTGTGAATACAGCAGGGGGACAAAAGAGTGCAGGCCCTACAGAGTTAGCCATCAACCTGGCTGACTATAAAGGAGAACAAGCAGACATCATTCTGATGCAAGAGCCCTGGGTTGGCATACCACCAGGCAGGAGAATGGGAGTAAAGACACACCCCAATTACGATATATACTCCCCAGTGGATTCCTGGGACAGCGACAGTACACGGCCCAGATCTCTCATCTATGTGAGAAAATACCTTCAAGCGGATCAATTTCGGCCCTATGCTACACGAGACATCACCTGGGTCAAGGTACAAGGCATTACATTTGCCAGTGTCTACCGGCCATGTGACAACCCACAGGAAATGGATGACATTCTGGAAGTATGGACTCCACCTTTTGGCTGCGTTATAGCTGGAGATTTCAATGCTGGTGACACATCCTGGGACTCAAGCAATCCAGGATATCATGGTGGTGCTATACTTGCACAAACTATGGCAGACCACGGACTGGATCTGATTTCTGAACCAGATGTCCCAATATATGATGACAGAAATGTACTAGATCTGGTGTTCTCAGATGTCCCCATGGCTGAAGCCTCAGTCAATGATACACTTCAGTGCACCTCAGATCATGAGATATTACAAATAGTTGTCCCAATTCAGGGAGATCTAGACCGAGTCCCCAAGACCAATCATTGGATAGTACCGGACGATAAACTATAAGAGCTGGCAGACAATGTCCAAACCAGGATCCATGGACTCCCACGGCTGGGTGTATCCCCTGGCCAGGTAGATGCCTTTACACAAAGCTTGATCAACATGATCCAAAGCTATATCAGGACAGTGGGCAAGAAGCCCCGATAATTTAGGCCCACTGCTTGGTGGAATGATGACTGCAAAGCAGCTATTCAGACATACAGGGCCCTTTCTAAACAGACTACAAGCCAAGCAGGGCAGAATTCAGCCCGACAGGAATTTCGCTGCGTGGTTCGGAAAGCTAGGAGAGAGTACTGGCAGACTCTAATTGACTCAGCAACTGAGCCAAAGGACCTATACAGAATCGTCTCTTGGCACAAGTTATTAGCAGGATTGCGTTCCCCTCTAATCATCATAGGAGACCAAATATTCGAGTCACAAAAGAGCAAGGCCAATACATTACGCTCAGCCACGCTTAAACAAAGTACCTCAGACAACGATATCATCGACCCCTGGTTCGCTCAGATCACATAACCCAAGCCATATATCCCCCTTGAATACCATGTCGGACTGGAAGAGGCTGAAGGGTGCACTTTAGGGACCAAGAGCAACTCCCCGGGAGTAGATACCCTCACAGTACGGATTCTGAAAGCTTGCTGGCCATTCATTGGGGAACATATCAGAGCCCTTTTCCAGACCTGTCTACAGATTGGACACCACCCTAAACCATTCAAAATAGCTGAAGTGGTGATGATCCCAAAACCAGGAAAGAAAGACTACTCCAATCCCAGGGCCTACAGACCAGTATCGCTATTATCGTGTCTTGGCAAAGGCCTAGAACGACTCATCGCAAAAAGAATTACCTGGTTTGTTGTCAAACTTGGAATTCTACCAAAGCGCTCTGCCACTGACCTGGTAGCTGCACTCATACACGATATTGAGCAGGCCCTCGACCAAGGCCTCGTTGCAACAGTAGTCACGTCAGATATGAAAGGGGCCTTTGATGCTGCCCTAATGGGACGGCTGGTGGTTCGCATAAGAGAACAGGGCTGGCCGGGCTTTCTCATAAGATGGGTCCAGTCATTCATGTCCGAGCGGTCCGCAAGGGTTTGGTTTGAAGGTATTGTGACCGATATTAAAGCTCTTATTTGTGGGCTACCACAAGGCTCACCAGCCTCTCCAATCCTTTACATGCTGTATACAGAGCCAATCTGTGCCCGATTGGTATAAAAAAGAGACGCTTTGGATATGCAGATGACCTAACGACTCTCAGTATTGGAAAGAACCTTAAAGAAACAGCTATAAAGGCTTCTAAAAATCTTTACTTATTCAGTCAATAGAGACATAACAACGCTATTAAATTTGACCCTAATAAAACTGAGATCATGCACTTCTTAAGGAAAAAGAACTCAGACAACCCTCTAGTCCGCCACAGGACAATGAACAAAATAACAAAGGACTCCATGCGATGGCTTGGTGTCTTCCTGGATAGAAAACTAAACTTCAAAAATCATGTTTCCTACTGGGCTAAGAAAGCTAATAAGGTAGCAAATCACCTTTGAGGACTATACAACACAGTCAAAGGACTTCTAGTAAAGTCAACCAAGAGGGCTGTGAAAACTTGTGTTATTCCTATTCTTACACACGGCCTGGAGGCCTGGTACCCAGGAATCGAGAAAGTTGGGAGCTTAGGTGGGACATCAGCATGTTATATTAAGGGGCTTCTTGGAACAATAGATGCTATACTACAAACGGCAATCAGGGCTATCTTGCCAGTCTGGAAAACACACCCTGGACATATCCTACACTTTGAATCGCAGATTCCCCCAGCAGGAGTTCTTATAGAGTCAATAAGACGACGTCACGGCCTCTGACTAGGACGAATAGACCAAAGACACCCTCTTGTTGGCAGGCTCCAAATACAAGCTCGCAAGAATCCAACAAGGCTACAAAGGAGCTTCCAGCTAGTCCCTGACTTCCAGAGACCAATACTTACCAGGCCATTATAAAAGGAGCCCCTAATCCGCAAAGACAAAGACAAAAAAATAGAGCTCTTTAAGCAATGGCTACAGGAGAGAAACGTGAACACTGACCTTGTTATCTATTCAGATGGATCACAATTGGACGACCAAGGCACAACCCGCACTGGATGGGATTATACCATCAGGAAAGGCGGCACTACACAAGAAGTATACCGGGAAAAGGGCAGACTTCTCTAAACAGAAGTAGTAGATGCTGAAGTCCATAGTGCTCTCCAAGGTCTTGCAGCAACCAAGGCAATTAGACACAGAAAACAGTTATATATCTGCCTGGACAACACGTCAGTGGTAGATGGGCTCAATGGGACTCCACTCGAGACATCACAGAACATTTTTCTATAATTTCAAGAACTTGCCACAGCACACACTCCTGGAGTGACCGTCAAATGGATTCCTGGACACAGAGATATTGATAACAACGAAGCTGCCGACACACTAACAAAAAAGGATGCCATACTAGAAACAGACACAACAAACCTTCCTATAATCTCTTGGGTCAAGAGAAATCTCAAAAGAAAGGGCAGAAAAGAGTTTAACCAATGGTAGAAAGACCAATCAGAACCTAAATATCAAGAAGTATATTCATATATAGTAACTAAAAAAGACCTTATATCTTTTAAGAGGAATACTTTACACAGATTTCTATCGGCCAGATCTGGACATGGCGACTTTGCCAGATACCATGAACGCTTTGGGCATACAGACTCGAATGATCATTACAGCTGTGGTGAGAAGAAAACACCACAACATATTTTCTTTTGTAAGAGGCTGGGGAAAAACCGGCTGCTGCCTAGGTACTTGCCTAGGACAGCTTGTTTATAATACTTAGGGGAGAGGAGCACAGAATGGGCAAAATTCGTGGAGAAGAGCAAGTTCTTTTCAACAATCTGTCCCCAATAGATAGCTTTTCTTGAAGGACCAGATGGATGACCCCAAGGTCATACCGCCGCAATAACGGGGATGGGCCCGTGAGCGGGACTGACTGTACTTATTATCTTGAGACCTCCACAACCCTGCGATACAGAGGCTCTGGGAGGCGTGTTTTGCACTACTGAGGAGCTACCCCCCTCGTTAAATTCAATCAATCAATCAATCAATCATGGATTATATGCATGATGTTGTGAATGCAATGTGTCAGGGTCACCTAAGCTTCGGTTTGGCGTTGCGCTGGGCCGTCACAAATTATTGCTCCAGCCTCCAGTAGGATTTGCAGACGATGCTCCATCATCCAGCAAACGCCCCCCGGGCTGCAATGAGATGTACACCCTGGCAGCCACTTTACTCTACATTCCCGGTACGTATCTCAATAGTGAACGCCAAAGTGGTGTTCATGGTGGTGTTCGTGTTGCACATGTAAGCCACGAACAAGATCCCGCTTCCCTGGAGGCTGCAGCCTGTCAAGCAATCAAAGAGCGGGAAAGACATATGCGGCAAAGTAGGCCGATCCATCTGCGTGAAAGTGTTGGTTAGACTGAACATGCTCCACTGACCCCTGGCTGTGCTGTCTGACTGTCACGCGCATAAAACTGCCACAATCTAGATCTGGTACATCTGTCAATGCCGCTCGAGCCGTACGTTCTGGTGCAGGGATTGATCCAATGCACCTGCGAACACGCCAACATCACTGTGCTAGCTTATCGTGCGTATGTACCTCCAGGGCGCGTACACTCCAACTGCATAAGCCGGCTCAATGTTGTCGAGTACACTCGCGTTGGCCACGTCTTCACTGTGCTGGATTCCGAGCAATGAGTGGCCACAGTCATTGACTGCATTGTACCAATCTAGCATGAGCGCTGGCGTTACCCATAGAATATGCGACAGTTATTCCGACACCAGTCACGATACGTTACGCTGGCAGCAGCAAGGAGTAGTTTGCTCGATCAAAAGTAACTTTGACAGGGTCTGTCATTCTTACGTTGAAAAACGATACGTTTACTTGGTGATTGCTGCATCTGCGTCTGCATCTACATATTCGCATACCCCTACACCCCGCTCTCAAAATGGCCACCCCTATAGGCCTCTACGTTTGGTCGCTAGCTATAAGCTTGACGTGGTAGTATCAAGTCTGAAATCCCTCTCCACCAGGATCCCATCCCTGGCCGGAGGCTGCCGTGCTAAAGGAGCAGCCAGATCCTCCGCAGCGCTCTGCCTCTCATCTTGATACAAGCCGGGCATGGAATCTATGAACGTGATTGAATCTGTCCCGTTGTGATGTGGTAGGACCTGGCTAGAGACGAAACTCTTATCAGTCATGGCGTTCCAACTTCGTCCTCCAGGCATCATCTCAAGAGACGGATGCCCCATGTCCTCTGTGTCGGCAAGCCTAGATCCGCGGCTACGGGTTCGGCTTGAGCGCAGTCGTAAGCGATCAGTGAATGATCGGATACTTAGTTTCCAGCTTCGCGAGGTGAGCAACGAGCGGAACACGGGAAACAAGGCGGGAACCAAGGGCAAGCAGGCGCAGGTGATGCTTGGCGCAAAGAAGAAATCCGCCATGAAGCCCTACAAGATTCCGTAGTCCCCCTTAATCAAATCGGCAGCGCGCTCAGCAACAGCATAGACAGTCGTCTGGCAGTTTCCGCGCGTCGCTAGGGGAATGATGCTAGAGTCCACAATCCTCAATCCCTCAACGCCATACACAAGGAGCTTGGGACTCACAACCCCTCCTATCTCCTTGGGTAGCATCGCACAGGAGCTTGTTGGATGCCAGCAACTCAGGGCCGACCCGTTGACATAGTCTTTGGTTACGTCGAGGTTACTCAGGTCATCTGGGGCCCCAAAATTGCGCCTCCCGCCCTGTTTGAGGAGTCTACGAAGCGGCTCTGTACGGATGATCTTTTCGATGTATCTCAAGAACCGTGCCAGCACTTCGAGATCGAGCGGCTGTTCCAGGTACCGCGGATCAATCTCAGGCTTAGAGGCGGGATCGGCCGACGTGATGTGTACGTAGCCACGGCTGAGTGGGTAGAGCAACGCCGCACAGATCGTGAGGAAGTTGCCCGGGGTGCTGTCGGTGCCGTGATGAATGATGCCGACACCCGCGCCTTTAGAAATGACGTTGCTGCATGATGCATAAGTGAATAGGTTGCCAACACCCTCGGTCGCTATACCAAGTACCCGGTGCACGAATGAAGTATGGCTGTGGGAGAATGGCCCAGGTGTGGCATCGCCACCCGTCGAGGATATCAGTTTGCTCAGTGTTGCTTCGCCTTCTTCGCCCTCAAAGTCAGGCAAAGGCAGCAGCGAGCCAGCGAAATTGCCGCCGGAGGCGAACGGCCCTGTTTTCAGGGTCATGTACTCCTGCATGGCTGCGCCCAGTGCCTCAGGTTCTTGACGGCTGAGAGCGTCCATTGTCTTGACGCCCCCGGCAACTTCGAAACTGATGCTGGTGTTGGGATGGTCTTGTAAGTTTTCGCCAACGTTCGGGTTGTCGACGATCACAGTGATCGCCAGAGGCTCCAGATGCTCGCTTGACCCAACGCCCGAGAGCTCGAGAAGCTTGGGCGTGCCGAAGACGCCCGCGGCTAGGACGACCTCCTTGGTAGGCTTAAGGATCGAGACTTTCTCGCCCTCACGTACCTTGACGCCGATCGCCTTTGGCGTGGCCGCGGTGGTATCAAGAACGATCTGCTCGACAGTGGCACCCGTCACAATGTGCAAATTGGATCGGGCTTTGGCCGGACCGAGGTAAGCCGATACTGCATCGCTGCGGGTCTTTGAGGTAGGGTCAATGCTCATAGCGTTGATGTATCCGCCGTACATCTCTCCGGAGAATGGATCACCTGAGGCTGGGTAGCCAAGTGCGGCCAAGGTGTCTACCCAGGCGGCGGGCAGCGGGTCGACGGTCTCCTCGGGGAAGCTGGCCTGCACCGGGCCGTTGGTTCCCCGTACAGCATCATCAATGTATCCGAGACGCAGATGGTCACAAGCCTCTGGAGATGGACGGCTCAGGGTGTGGAATTTCTGGTAGTACGGGCCCAGCGTCTTCCAGTCCCAGCCAGTGTTGCCGAACTCGGCCCAGGCGTCAGCAGCGACCTTGGAATTGGCGACGAAGGCTTGACCGTTTATCGCACTGGAACCGCCCAAACCCTTGCCTTGGGAGAGAGGTATTATCTTGCCATCGCGACCCTTCTGTTCATGTATACCTGGATCAGTCTTTGGATATTCCTTGCTGGTAGATTACACATGTCTCTCACCTGGGGTGTGCTGCGGTAATCCCAACCAAAATCACTCTGGCCCAACAGTGAAGGCCAGAGCATCGGGGTGCGAACTCGAGGGTCTGAGCTGTGATCCTGTCCAGTCTCTAGGACAACAACAGTGGTGTCTGCATTCTCAGTCAGGCGTGCTGCGACAACTAGGCCAGCCATTCCGCCTCCCACGATGACGAAATCGGGCTTGGAGTCCATTGCAAGAGCTTTGATGAGGTGCTGCCCTAGAAAATCGTAGGAGGGAGCAAATGGAGCAAATGGGCTGCCCTTTAGAGAACCGGGCGGTTGCTGGTGGGATGTCGGGTAACCGACGGTCCGAAAATCACAACTTGCGCCCCCAACCTGCAAGACTGTGGAACGCCCTTGGCAGTCCAGCGTCACCCTACATAGCCTTCAGGATGCAACCTGGCTGGGCGTAACCTGATTGGGACCAAACAGTGCGGTTCGCCTTCGTTCGAACGGCCCTTGCGGCTTGAATTTGTCGGACGTATTGTATTGTTACGGCAACCCATGGGGTGAGGCCAACGGTCGGTGGTGTGTAGCTTGATAACAATTGCGATTTTGTGATGAACAAGGTTACTATCTTTTTCATCTGGTTCTCTCCTGCATAGCTGGTATTATGCAGTATCAGGGGTGTAGAGATAGGGAGAGATTGCGTGCTTCAGGAAGCGCTGATCCCACCTGGATACTCCTCTACATTTTGGGATGCTCGAGGATGTCTGCCCATGCTTTAGTATCGTTATCCTGCCATACGGTCGACCCAGCAGCGTAACCTTGGTATCCCTCGTACAATTCCTTGCGCATCAATTGCCTCTTCAACCCCAAAATCATGAGTCTCGACGCGCAGGCCGCCCAGTTGCTGGCTGGGATGGCTCAAGGCCACGACCATAGCCATGACTTGGACTATGTATGATACGGCATGGGTGTCCTTGGTCAAGAAGCCTCCTGGGCATGGGGTTTGGCTGTTTCCAATCAGCTTCGACTTGATACTCGAGACACAGAGGTCAGATGGGGGATGGGCCAGACCAGGCCAAACAACACAGATGGACGATATTCTGAACGCTTCAGCTTGTCTTCTGGCCTTGTGCAAGCACCTTGGCACCGAATTTCAAGGCCTCACCACTAGGATCGCCAACGCGACTGGCTTTTTAAACGATCATCTCCAGAGGATGGACCTCGCCGCAACGATACCTGTGGGCTTTGAGCTTCTTTTGCCAGCACTTTTGACATTGCTGGAACAAGAAGGGGTACTACTAAAGTTTCCAGCATACGAACAACTCCTCGCAATGCGTGAGAAAAAGTTGGCGCGTATAGATCTCGATAGTCTTTACTCGGGATCCCAATCCTCAATTCTGCACTCCATCGAGGCATTCAGCGGCCTTCTGGACTTTGACCGTCTTCGACACCAGAAGATTGGCGGCAGCATCATGGCATCACCGTCAGCGACAGCGGCCTATCTAATGAACTTGTCCACATGGGATGACGAGGCAGAGGGTTACCTCCATCACGTGGTAGCGGCAGGAGATGGCAAGGGAAATGGAGGTGTCCCAAGCGCTTTTCCGTCAACGAATTTCGAGTATGCTTGGGTGAGTGCCTTGAAATCACAGTGCACGGCTTGTGGAGAGGCGAGCTGGCTGACATGGGAGTAACATAGGTGCTAGCCACCCTTCTGGGAAACGGTTTCAGCGAAGCCAACTTGGGCGCAAGCGACATTGAACTGGCGAGACAGATATTAAGTGGTGGCTTTGCATCTGGTTCCGGCCTTCTTGGGCTCGGTAGGTCGTTTCCCAGTATATGGAGTGCCTGCGCGGACCGAACTTGGCTAACAACCACGACCAAAAGCACCATTGGTCGAGCCCGATGCCGACGACACAGCCAAAGGATTGATTGCCATGGCATATCTGGGACGCAATATATCACCAGAGCGTTTGATCAGCACATACAGAGTTGGGGACCACTTCCAGACATATGCGGCCGAGAGGGTCCCCAGTATCACAACCAATTGCAACGCTCTCATGGCGATATGCCTGAGTCCCCAGGCGGAAGACCACGAATCTGTCATCATAGCAACCACCCAGTTCTTGTGTCAGAACTGGCGGCAAGATATGAACCAGTTTCGCGATAAATGGGTGAGCTTTTGACGTTCGCTGTACCTGCGACGGGACTACTCTAACCTCGACTCGTTAGCACATATCGCCCTTCTACCCCATCATGCTGTTGGTACAGTCTTTGATGCATGTCCTGAGTCTCTGGAGCCAGTCGGTTCTGACTGCCATTCCATCCCGGCTGCTCAGAGATGTCCTCATTGTACTCATCCAGGCGCTTGAGCGTCTGCTCCAGAGTCAGAGGGCCGACGGGTCATGGGAAGGCAAACATGAGATCACCGCGTACGCTATCATCTCGCTCAGCCAAATCGCATCTCTTCCAGTTTCAATCCCTCTCGTGACTCATATTGAGTCGTGTTTGGATAAAGGCCGGACCTTCCTCGGACAGGGTCTGGCCAAGGACATGGAGCCTGAGCATGTATGGGTCGAGAAGGTCACTTACGGATCGCGGAATCTGCGTCAGTCATTCATTCTGGCCGCTTTGAAGTGTGCAATCTCCGATGAGCAAGCATTTTCCCGTATCCATGACCTTCTCCCCAGGCCCCTCAAAGCCATAATGGAACCCGCTGCGTTCTTCCGCCAGCTTCCAATGTTCGCAAACATTCCGAAGTGGGTTATTACAGCCGCCTTGATTGAGGGATCCCTTTACACCCAGACCTTACGTGAGGCGTGTCTGAAGGTATTCCCCGGAAGCACTACGGCCAAAGAAAGGCATCTAGCTTTCGGCGGCTCTGGATTCGTCGTTCCCCCGCGTCGATGACTTCAACCACGGATATCAGACGCATCTTGTCGCTTTGCTCATCTGGCTGTGTACCGACGTGCGCGAGATTGAAGCTGAGCATGAAACAGCGGGATGCTTGGCTACATTCAAGAACCCCATCACCAGCAGTGGAGCGACGACGGTCTTTCACGAATTCCCATGTCTAAAGCGCCTCCAGATAGACCACACCTCTTATCGAGGGAATCGTCACGGGGACGGGGACGTGGATTGGAAGTATTTTACGTTCCTAATGAAGGCGCCTGTCTTGCGGAGATTCGAAGTGCGGGTAGCGGGCTGGCACGGGGATCGTTTCACAATGAACCCAGACTGTGTGCAGCGTATGAGCATGACCGAAGGTATCGAGCGAGGGCACTCCAGTGTAGGTGAGCTGGTCTTCGGAGACTGCATGCTTCCTGCCTTCTCGATTGCCGGTAAGCTGGTTGTCCCCACTCCCTCTCCTCGTAGACAGCTACTGGAAACAGCATTGTCTGATTGTCAATGTGGCTACAGATACTGCCTTGACTTGCAAGTCGCTGACCGAGCTGGATGTAAGGTGGGCTGAGGGTCCCTTCTACCACTTTTTCATCTTTTCGGATCTCTGCAGCGGACTCGCAAGTCACAAGAGGTCGCTAGGGAGACTTGTTCTAGATGTTAGCAAGGTGAAGTACTACAACTGGCAATTCACTAGAGGAAGCGACACGGTCTCTCTGAGCGAAAGTCTGGGTCGACCTTCACCAGGTCAGGAAATCAATAACGAGCTACCTTCGTACGAGGGCATCGGCTCCTTGAAGGACTTCTCACAGCTTCGGCATCTAGAGATCTCTGTATGCCTTTTCGGCATGGTCGATTCGGTGGATAGCATTAAAGAGATGATGCCGGAGTCACTTGATTCACTGGTTTTTCTGGGACCATTACAGTATGGACAGCCTAGCATTGAGGAACTTGTTCAGGGGATAGAAGGTGCCAAGATACGATCTGGGTGAGAGCTGATGGGTGGCAATAGGGTATCAAAGACCCATTCAGGGATATGAACGTGCGAGCTGTAGCGCAAGTCAGATAATCTACTGATGGATTATAGTTCTTGTTATGACATGAATGACTTAGATATACACAGCGAGAAGAGATATAAGTCCAGCACCTCCGACTGCCGAGCTGAAAGAGTAGTGGCTCATGATATCCAGTTCTTACTCGCGACCAATGATCCTGTAGCACACTTCCTTAGAGGATGCCCTCATATTCCGCCCTTCGTCAGCAGCCAGGACCTTCACAAGGGCTTTCCATGAATCCACCTCAACCTGTAGAATTTCCCTGCACAGCATCAAGCTGTTGAATACGCTGTGCCATGCGCACACGTGCTCGCTCCACGGCATGGTTCCCATCCGAGGTCTGATCTGGCAGCATGACGTTCCGGTTGCCATCCTCGGCAGGCTCTTTGACGAAGCTAAGCAGAAGAGAGTGGGATGGTGTTCTCGGCAAGCTTGAGCGGAGGTTCTCCGAAGCCAAGTCGTGATCTCCGTGTGTCCTGTAGGGTGATCAGCATGTGACTTGGGCTTCGAATCCGCAGCAGCCTGCTTTGGTTCCCTTACCCTTGGCCATCTGGGCTTGAAGTTTGTGGTGAGGGTGACATGGCTGACCCTCGCGAGTGGTAGGAAACAATAGGGGAACGGAGCGTAGGCTATAGTATGGTGTTCGTTCATGATAATCGATATGATTGGGAAGATGATATTTGAGGAGATAGACGTGACATTGAGACATTTACAGTCGTTTGGAAACGCATATATGCCAATCTCCATCTTGATACCATGCAGGCTACCAGAAGCACGATATCAGAACTATTGAGATCAACAATGTTCGGCCCACGGCTGTGCTGGCTGGTATAGTAGGTAACGGCTATAATCTGGGATGCCACTCCCACATAGGTGCCCCTATGTTCGCACACCCCCAGTCTATGCTTTCCCAGGTACGAACAAGGAAGGTCAGATCGACTTTCGGTGCATTGCTCCAGGCCTCGGTGTCTGAAACCTGTTTGCTGCTACACACCTGTATAGTATCAAGTTCTGACTGGACGTTCTGAACACCATAATATCCTGCCGTCAAGGCTTGCCCGGTGACTTCCCACCCCTTTCGCTGGTCCCGATTACCTGGCTCCCGGGCTGTGGCGTTAGATGGGTTCTTCCGGCTGCTGCATACACCAATGATCCGGTCGGGTGCCGCCGATTCGTTCCACGTTGCACCGAGCTGTGGCTTGCCATGCAGTCGCCTTAGTGCTGCATGCAATACTTCGTGCTCGTCTTTTCGTCCAATCAGCCCTCCCTCCGGTGTCGTGACCGGTGCGAAATATGCAGAGCGACTCAGCCACAGCTCTACTCCAGTATCCCCCCCTTTTGACCTCAGCCACACGTTGCACATTGGCAGCCACACTTCTAGTCAGCTTGGAGCATCAGTACCCACCTTCACACCGCAGACGTGACGTTACAAGGACTCAGCAGCCTTCGAGTGGCTGGGAAGCCTCCTTCCATTGCATAAGCGAGTGTTCTAGAAGTTGGGGTGGCAAGACCTATCATACATACTGGTCCAGCCTGTGTCTCTCGGTGAACAACCTGTGTCATCTAATAGCAGCCCTGGCCAGTATCCACTCAGCTTCCAACTTCAGTCATCTACAGCAACCGTTCGTCTGTCGAAAGATAGCACATTCCTGCTCTCAAGCCGGCCTCGTATAAATATGTGCATGTAAGTGGTTCATTTACGAGGACTACTAGGACTCCATGACGGATGCTTGCAAACATCAACTACATACTACCGGGCTACCTTGCCACAATTCATTGCTTCGCAGAATGCCCCCTGCAAAGTCGGTAGCTCCCATGCTCCCGTCGTTGACAATTGAACCCTGCTCCAGGGATGCGGCTCTTGGTCTTTTTATCCTGTGGAATCTCACAGTGAGCTTAATTTGCCGTTGTATACGTTGGTGTGGGGTAGGAGGCTGAGTTACCTGGGTACTCAGCTGAGCTGCTACACGCTAAGATGAAGCTGAACATCAAGTGGATGAAGCCGGACATCAAGTGGATGAAGCTGAACATCCGTCGATGAAGCTAAAACATCCTTCGATGAGAGGCCTAGTGTCTTTTGGGCCGTCACGGAAATTTTCCAGAATGTGGAGTTCCCAAGGCGTCCTGGCGTACTTGAGCTTGAGGCGTGATTGATGCGAATCCCTATAAAGCAAGCACTCCGTGCCATCTAATTGTTTCGAGCGTGTCACTTGTCGACGTTCCCTAAGTTCGATAGATCTGTTTCAGAGCATTGACAGCTGCATTGTGTCTTCCAACGACCTAGAGATGTATTCCTCCAATACTGTAATCGTGTTGAGCCTTTTGTCTGCCGTCTCAGGCGCTGCTCCGACTGCCTCAGAAGACACTGCAGGTCGATACCCCTCGTCCTCCGTCGAAGCCCGAGATGCCCTACCCGGAATAAGCTGGCTGTATGCATCTGCCGAGTGTCAACCATGGCAGTACGACAATCTCGTCCGCGCCTTCACCGACGTGAGCCAGTTAAGCATCGCAGACAACGCGATACCGGAAGGCAACAACCCTGAGTTCGAGGACTTCTTCGGCCAAGGATATACAGGCGTGAGCAACGAAGTCCCTCGCGCCAAGCCTTTGCACTGCTGACGAAAGTCCACGACAGAACCAAGGCGCATTATTTTGGGAGATTTTCGACAACCTCAATCGCGCTGCCATGTTCCCATCAACAGGCGAAGGCGGTGTGACTCCCGCAACAAAGATATATCCCAGATGCAACGACGTGGCAAACCACTGCTCCAGCCAGGCAAAAGTGTAAGTACCCAAGCTTTGGTGTTGTCCGAAATTGCGCTGAACGTTCTCACAGCTCCGCCTACACCGGTGACGCATCTCTATACAGCGGGCCCCCCGGCGCCTTCATCGTCCTCTGCCCATTCTTCTGGACCAGGGACTTCCCGCACCTTCTGGACCGCGTCGCTGGCACGCCCACCAACTCCCTGAACTCCCTCATGACGCAGGAACACATCGTCCTGCACGAGCTCATGCACGCGAACGCAATCTCCTATGGCCCTGACGGCGGCGCATACGACATCCTGGACCTCAAGAGTCCCCTTCCCGGCGAATCGGACAACCCAAACATCCCGGGGAGTATATCGTCTGTGGCCGTGTACGGCGTGCAGCGTTGCAAGAAGTTCGCGGCGAAGGGGTCGCCGAATATTAGGACGAGAAAGAATGCGGATAATTATGCGTGGTTTGCGAGTGGGTATTACTTCTCGAAGGCGTGGGGCGTGGCTGTTGATGGGGGCGAGAATATCTTGCCACCGGCGGAGGATCCAACTGGCTTTCTGGAGGTTAACGACGGCACTGTGTATGGGGATGATTTGGTTGAGGATGAGGATGTATGATTATTTGACTTCTGTGCCAATTTGAGGGGTGGTTATTCCTGGATATCTGTAGAATGGGGAGGGCCCATACGCTATGCTTGCTTGTAAAGTTTAGACTTTATGAAACTCGATGTATAGGCGACACAGGCCTGGCTCGCAGCATCTGACCTCACTATCAGTGGGGTCTGTGCACTTTAAACAGACCCCGGATTCCGCGGGGAACTCTAAACTTAAAGGCTCAGATGCAAATAGTCTCCTTACTTCTCGCATCATAGTAGTTTATTCATCAACTCGAGGCACTGGATTTCTATTCATGGAGGCAACTATGCTATTTCGGTGTTCCATATTCATTCACAGATATAACGCCAGACGCCAGTCCTCACTCGGTAGTCTGCTGTCCCTGAGTCCAAGTCATCCGGCAGCACACCCGTGGTGCTCGAAGCTGCTTCATGATCGCCGTTGCGACAGAACCCTTCATAACCAGCGGGAAATTTCTCGAGTAACTTCTGCATGGTTTCCTTGGCTCTGAGGGAGTTCGTTAGCGGACTTGAACGCACCAATACGGAATCTAGGGGATCTGACTTGTCGAGCAACTGGACTTGGTCCGGGCATATTGCTGCCACCACCACGTTATTTCGACTATCCCGGGTTAGTGCATGCTCAATGGAGCTGGACGTGTGGCACACCACTCACATGCCGTAGAGCTCGTGGCGATCGTGGAAATCCTCCTGTGGCTCAGAGGCACCGACTTCGTTCTTGTACATGTCGACGAACTCGATACCAAGTACGTATCGTGGGTCTCCAATCGCCTGAAGGTCAACTTCGTTATGTCCATAGAAGGCGCACGAATCGAACATAACAGGTTGACGGGTTTCCACATCACTGTAGTATCAACAATGAGAAGCTTCTCGCTTAGGTGGTGGGATTTGGCTGCTACTCACTAGTGCACATTGCCGTCCCAAAGGTCACCATGACAAAGGGATGGTTTGATGCTTCGGCCACCAGTCTGGAGAGGTCGTAGAAGCCTAGCTATGACCTTCGTAGCTAACTGCTCGGACAGCTGTAGTAACTCTGGATCTTCGCCATGTATGCTTTGAGCATATGCTATGTCAAACCTGAATTGCCGGGCATAATAGTCTTCCCAGCTGTCTGTCCACTTCGGCCTTGGAGGTTAGCTATCTCTCTACGACCTAATTCGCACGAGTGTAAGAGTACGTCTCCAGCGTAAAAGCTTGTGCGGCCATAAAGAGTGTAGGAAGAAACCGACTCACGTCATTCACCATGGCAGGTGGTCCTCAGTATGTGGTTGTATGAAACCCAAACTTCCCAGTAGGTGAGACCAACGTCTGATGGAGCATCTTCAATATGCCCACAAGCCAAAGAGGCGGCGGAGGACGCGCCCTCAAAATGCGGAATTTCGTCATGAAGAACGCTTTGGACGAGTTGTCGAATGTCCCCCATGCCATTGGAACAACGGCGTGGTCGGGAATCACCGCAGCAAGGGCGGTTTGCGACTCATACTAGGCCTTGGCCATTGGCGTCCACTCCTTGCGTTCGATGATCTGTGGTACGGTATGCCCAATCAGCAGGAGGCTTGGCTGTACAAAGAAGTTTCCGAACCTTGAGAAAGAATGTCTCCTCGTCGTCGCCAACCTCGACGTCCACTCTCAGCCCTACCGACCACTAAAAGGTATTGTTAGAACCGTCAGTACATTGACACAATATGAGACTTCCTAGATTTACTCGTGTTGCTCCGTGCGGCACGACGGATACGACATGGCTCCCTTCTGGGAGCGCTAGATATAACAGTCAGCACTTCTTGACAACACGAGCTCAAGGTACTCTTGGCGTGTTGCACCAGTACAAGAAGAAGCTCACCAGCTAGGATCGCAGGGTCCAAATTTTCGTAGCTCATTTTCACATACTCAGATGCAACCAGATCATCGATGATGCTTGGGGCTTGTACGATTGAATGAGATTCGCGGCGATTATGCGGTTGACGCGGGCTCGCTGATCGCGCCACCGAGGATTGGGAACCCTGATTGGAGTATTCGGTACAGTAGTCCGGTAGCACCATCCCGAATGCTACCAAGCCCAAGCGACGCAAGGAACCAGGCTGTCTGAGTGTCAGCCCTGCTTGTTTTAAAGCATAGATAAGACATGTTCGATCGGGCCAAGGTCCCGACCAAGCCAATCAACGTTGATATGGGGGCTCAGTTGAGTTGAATTGACAGCACTGACGACCTCGTTGTCGTTGAACGGATATCTGTTAATCAACAAGGGGTCGTCAGAAGGAAGACGTGCTACGACAGAAGCATCCGATTGATCCCAGTCATTTCATGGATAGGTGTAGTGTGGTGGCGACAATCCGGACACTGGTCCTTCTGCATACCTTAGGAAAGGTACTACGAAGTGGTAGACAAGAATCAGATTCCGGTGCTTCCTTCTCACGTCTACAGCTACTAAATCTGACATTGTGATCGTGGCTCGTATCAAAGCTTGACGTTCCCTCCCCTCGGGTCTGCCGCGATTCTTCCCAGCTGGTTTGCCCTCTTACCATGCTGTGGCTGTGGCTTTAGCCGTGGCGGTGCATGTGCCGTTCGATTGTGGCTGTGTTCGTGGCTGTGTATAGTCACCGTCTCCACCATGTGACCTGCACCGACTCTCCATGGTGGAGCCGCGTCACGTTGAACGCGACCCAAGCCGAAACCTCAAATCAACAGTGAAGCTCCGTCTGGTAAAAGAATCGATTGATACGGGAAGCCAGACGCAGGACGCCGCAAGATGCCATCCATTCTCAGCCTGCACGTCGAGCTTCTTGTGTACGTCGCCGAGGACTTGTTGGACTCATGGGCCACCGGCGTTCGGGACATATCCGCCTTTTCGCGGTCTTGTCGTGCTACTCACAGCATCGTCGTCCCCGTCCTGTACCACTATGTCAAAGATGACCCCGCCGTTATGTGCTGGGCCGCTGATGAGGGTCAGACAGGCACTCTTAGGCGTTTGCTCGACGCTGGCGGGAATCCGAATATTGCGTGGTTGCAACGAATCCCCCGGTCGGCAACACTAGATGACCTCAAGAGGCAAAGGGTGTGGAGTCGTGTGATCCCCCTTCATGATAGCCTGCCTGGCTCAGATGATGGTGACGGCGATGAAAAAGACGAATTCGAGGACGAAAATGGAATGGATGTCGATGAAGATGATGGTGATGAACTCAATGGCAACACCGGATATGAAGACGAGGACGAAGACGAAGAGGATGATAAGAGGATGATGAAGACGACGATGAAGAGGATGATGAAGAAGACGACGATGACGATGACGACGATGATCGAGAAATACCCTTGTTCCTCGACCGCGGGTCGTTTGCGCGCCAATTCTACTGGACTCCATTGCATATTGCTTCGCGCTGGGGCAACAACGAGATGATTGACCTCCTACTGAGCAAAGGCGAAGAAATAAACGCCTTGTCTCGAGGCTTCTGCGACTGTCGGTCACCGTACTTACCATCCGATGTGATGTCTTTTCCACTATGGACACCGCTGCATACCGCTATTTGCTTCGGCCAGGATTTGGCGGTCCGACTTCTGTTGTCCCACGGCGCCTCGATAAACGTGTCGACAAAGGTGGTTGGAAGCGATGAGCGTCGAATCACTGCCCTGCACTCTGCTTGCGCTTTGGGTAACGTCAACGTGTCGCGCTTCCTTCTCGACGAAGGAAACCAAACAGACGTTGAAGTCGAGGACGATCAAGGCGGGACGCCAATGGGTCACGCTTGTCTGTCATGCAGCTGGAGGTCGATAGATTTTCTGGTAGAGCGCGGGGCCGAGATCGATACTTGCCTTGGTGAAAACACACTGTTTCAGCACGCTTGCTTTTTTGGGCGTTTTGCTGAAGCGCTTCGGTTCAGTGAGCTCCGTGCCAATATCCGAGTCTTGCACAGGGAATCTATCTCAGATGTGGATGGCATCGCTGCGGGGACGTTCCAGTCCGTGTCAGCACTACATCTCTGCTGCACCAGACCTGTTTATGATTTCGTGTGGGCGGCACTCTTCTCTCGCCATGTGCCACGTCAGGAGAAGTTCAGGGTACCGCTGATCCAAAAGCTGTTGGAAGACGGGGCTGATTTGGAGTTCCAAGATGGGAACACGGGCACGCCGCTTATGAGGGCTGCAGCATGGCATGGGATTGATGTCATTCGCCTTCTCATCGAGGCAGGGGCCAGCGCCAATCCTCGTGATGGATGTGGGCCGAACGCTTTACTCGTCGCTTGCAGATCCTCGGCTCTGTCACCGATTGGGTCTTTGATGGAAACAGTCACGACGCTCCTCGATCATATGCCAGCAGATACCGACATATTCAGTGCCCTCGAGGGTATCTGCAGGCTCCATCACCTCACCCTGACAAGCCTCGCGTGGTGCGAATGCTGCTTGACCGTCAGGGGCTCTACTCCCTTGAAGATGGGATGCCACAGAACTTGTTTTTGGATGGAACCATTTCCGGCCACTACAGTGTCTGTGACATGTTGCTGGAATTTGGCTTAAAAGAACCAACTCCAGATGAGCTTGAAACCATTGTCCAGAAACTGATATCACTGGATGATGCCGATGGGTTTGGATATCTCATGGATACCCTATTGTCGCCCGCGACAGTCATGAGCGAACGGCGGGTGTTCGATGCCATCAGCGAACACAAGGAAAGCTGCGCCCGCTTCTTGATCGAGGCTGGGGCGCCGACCTCTTACACTACCGACGATGGTGTAAGCTGCCTATTCGTAGCCTGCAAGCTAGGGTCTACGCGTGTTGCCAAGCAGCTCCTTCTGGGGGGAGCCGACCCAAACCAGGGCCGCGATGACGGCGACACTACTCTGACCTATCCCATTTTCTTGGGAAACGAAGCGATCGTGAAACTTCTGATGGATCACGGCGCAAACATCCACAAGCATCCACCTGGCCGTGGCTTCTTTGAGCACTCTGTTGGAGCTCTCGACATAGCCGTTGCCTGCGGTGATATCGATATGGTGCTAGCGATGCTTGATCACAAGGCTTATCGCGGTGCGACTGAGGACGAGCGTGCGACCCACCTCAAATATGCTTTGACTGCCCAGGACAAGCGTTCGGCATAGGATCCATCCTCCACTACCTCCTCAGTATTGGAAATCTTGACCCCGATACGGTGTTCACCGAGTTGGGGCTCAGTGCCCTGCATGTCTCTATCGCAATCGACCGGCCTCTAGCGGCAGAGATCCTGATCAGAAACGGTGGCGATGTGCACCGAATTATACCCAAGTGCAATGGTCCGCCACGTAACTGCCCACCGCACGGCGAGGACACATCGCCCCTAGAATGGGCCATCGCCAATGGCTCCGCGCGCATGGTGGAAGCATTGCTGCATGATTTTGTCTGGGGACTACCAATAGATTCTGACGACGACGAGGCCGATGATGACGAACACGAAGACATACCCAGATTCCGCCACATGAACGAAGATGTGCCCACGCTTCGCTGCGTCATGGCGGCCTGCCGCCGCCACAAGCCGGAGATAGTGTGTGCCTTGGTAGCGAGCGGAGTCGATCCGAATATCTGCGATGAGGACGGTAACTCCTTCCTCATCCTGCTCTGCAGGGGCGTCGACCAAAGCTGGCCCTTCGAGGAGGACTCGGGCTTGTTGGCGTTGCAAATCGCCATGAGATCGGCTCTGTGTATCATCGTCCTGCTGGACCTCGGTGCGGACCCGCACAAGAAGAACAACGAGGGTGTCTCGGCTATGCATCTGGTGCGCCAGAAGCTGACCTACTCTGGGCCCGAGTCATTTCACCGGGATATCGCCAAGTTCTGGAGCCATAAGCTGGCTATCGATGAGACGGGAATCCGGGAGATACCTGATCCGGAGGCCGGTAGTTTCTTCCTGGCCCCCGTTGGCCCTGCGGAGCCGAGTGAATGAGTACAAATGCGAGCACGAATCGACACTGGTGTCGCAATGTTCACCTGTATCTTATTATGCGCGCTTCTCTCGATGGTCAGCAGACTTTCCAACGCGCGATCCTCTCACATGGCCCTGGACCCGCATACATGGCACTCATGCTTCATGCAGTTAGTCGAGTATGCGGAAAAGCCAGATATGTGAAGCTATCGTGAGGCATGCGTTTCTTTCCAGCTTATGCCTGCTTGGCCGTCTCTTCTCGGCTGGCACATGGTCGTAAGGTGGCCATATGATATGGTCGGCGTGAAGATGAACGCGAGGAACCCGAATAGAGTAATAGCCCAGCCGTAGCCCAGTGTGGCATACATTGCTGGGCCAGTCACCGGTAGGAACGTTCCGAAGAGTGACCGCAATAACGTATTGGCTCCTAGTTGGACCGTGTCTTGGGATCTCCTGCTCGTGTCAAGACGGGCGGGTTTGCGTGCCAGTAGCGTGCTGCGGTGTGTCTCGCGCATGATAACCAATGTTGCAATAGAGCAGCTCCGCTTTAGGTTCACGGTTAGAGGTATTGTTACAATCAAGGGGAGCTCTAAATTCGTATGAGAATAGCCAAAACCCAGAAAGTCCACCTCCAGCCCACGAAGTTATTCTCCGCTGATACCGGCCAGGTCTACGCTGGACGTATACTCAGCGGCGCAAATTCCACGCCGCGCCCAGCATGAAACAGTGCATAGATGATTCATATGGTTGATATTCGTGTATTTATTGGAGATTGTGTTGTTGTGAAGTCTGTGTTGGTGGCTTGGTGGCCCCAAAATGCCCTAATGGCCCCTGATCAGTGCACTGCCACCTCTCTAACGCCACGGTGGCTTACGTGCCATTTGACACCCATCCCATACCTCGTTCGTGAGATTCACGGCTCGATCAAACGCTTCTACCCTCTTATCATGGACTCTGGATTTCGCCCGCATCCTCGACCGCTGGCTTTATCTACACATGCATGGTGCTCGAGGCGCGGCTGCGTCCTTTCATCCTCGCCATCCACCCGCTCAAGAAGTTGGGTTCCGGCCGGTGGTCGAGGTAGACATGCCCCCCTAGCCCGGTCCTGGCCCTTGGATCGCCAAAGTTTCGGGGCACCGTCTTGCTGGGAAACATTCCTTGGATCTTGCTCGTGATGCGCCGTGCTCGGCTGACTGTGACCGGGGTGTGACTGTACACCAAACTCGTTCATGTGGCCCGGGTATTGCTGGCCTGCAGGTCCTTGCCCCATCTGCTGCCAACCTTGCCCCTGCGGCGCCATTAGATTCGGATTTGGCATGTTTGGATGCTGACTCCCGGGGATCGCATGGTATGCGGCGCGCGAGCTCATGTTCTGCCAGACTTGGCCTTGGCCCGGCGGGATCATTTGCGGCGTGCTACCCATGGGTTGAGAGGGCGCAAAGCCATGATTGGGTTGGTACCCCGGTCCCATCGGTTGACCGTAGTAAGCTGGGTTGAAAGACGGCACGCCACCCATTCCTTTTCCGCTTGGCTTCTGGAACATCTGAGTTGGTCCTTGAAAATTCGCTGGTGTATTCCCACTCGGTACAGACGGCGTCTCCCTCGTCGAGAGAGGGTTCATTTTCGGCGCAGTGGGGTCTTTGGTCTTCGCGCGTAGGGATTGCTCATAAGCTCGCTCGTCTGCATCGGCACCGTATATATCCTTCAGGTATTCCATGAAGCCGAGGTAAGCATCGGACACGGTTTGGAAGTGCTTGACCTCTAGATCGATGACAGCGCCTGGATCTAACACCGCCTGGTGGTTTCCCCCTTGGGCTTCGAACTCCGCCAACGCTAGGGCCGTTTGACAAGCGTTGCGGACCTGGCGTCCGTTCCATCTGGCCTTCGGATAGTCCCGCCAATATTGGGAAGCAAAGACACATATCTGTACCTCATTGAGCCTGAGATTTCGGGCCCTCCTAAGCAGTCGATCTTTGATACGTTTGAGGTTCAGCTCAAAAACAGCCACAGTTGAAATGTCATTGAGAAGAGGATAATGTAGACTCATGTGAATTCGAGAGGCGAAGGCCTAATCGAAATCGCCCACTCTGTTGCTTGTGAGAAATAGGATTCCCGAGTAGTATTCCAAAACCCGAAGGAAGACTTGGTTGTGTTAGAAGGGATAACCGACGCGTAAGATACGGGTCTTAGGGCTTACCAGATACCATGCCATTTCGCATATGATCCGTTGGTGTTCTTGCAGAGAGGAAGACGTTCGCTTCGTCCAGTAAGAGAATGCAGTCCCATCTACTTGCAAGCGTAAAGTTTTTCTGTAGAGATTTTTCAACGTCGCTGGCCCATGTCCCAAGATCACCTGTGTAAAGCGTCAGTCCATACATGGACGCTTGGAAGTACAATGTACATGGTGACAGTCTTTACCGCAAATAATCTGGAACAGTAGTTTCTGGAAATATGCCGCTGCACGTTCTGGGGACGCGTCAGTTCACGAGGCAAGACGTCATTTGAAGTGCCCACGCACCTGCTGTACTCGTCCTCGTCTTCACCTGAAGCGAGATGGGGGGAAGTTGGAAAGCAGCAACAGCACCCCAGCTGCGGGGTCATCGGGAGGCTGCAAGTAATGCTGTAGCGTTTCTGCGTGCGCCAACAGCCACCACGCCACCTCCTTAAAGACACATCATGCATGGGCCTGGCACAGATGTAACCTCACACGGGCAGCTGCATAGCGAACCCCTCCTTTGCTTTCGACAGCCGATACATCTGACTTACTCAACAACAAGGCTCCTGTCGAACGTCACTCATAAAACGTCAGAACCTTGATCATGAGCTTTGAATTCCATGTCTGCCCCAGTGAACCAAGCGGCTAGACTTGAACGACAGTCCCCGGCCGTTGACTTCATCGACAACCGCATGCATGCGTATCACAGGTTCTTCTCGAACCCTCCAACTATATACGATCCCGTACTCAGGGCATACGTGCCAATTACACTGTCCAACTCCACGATGCAGTCTCAAGTTGCTATATCATCCAAATCAACCCTCGATGCGAGACCGGTTCCGCCTCCGTCGGAAGCAATGCTGTTCTGGGCTAGCATCTTTCCACCTGCTATGAGTGCTATCACGACATGGTACCCGAAGGAGCCGAATGGTAGCCTCGAACACGGCACCAGTATCCGATCCTCGACGAACTGGTCCGAAGTGTACCTCACCCTCCAGTCTGCCCAGGAGAGATTTGAGCAGCCTAAGGGGTTTCCAGGCAAGCTGAAACGGTGCTTCCGAAAAGTCGTCGAAAACACGCAGCCAGTCCAGCAGATCATGCCGTTTATTCCAGACGGTGCATACACTTCGCCGGTGCTTGGCGCGTTGGAGATAATTACGGTGGTAGGTGAACCCCCTAAACACCAAATAGAGCAGTGACTCTGATTCAAAATGAAGGCAGCGAAACGCATCATTGAATTACGGGATGACGTCTCAGACAGCCTGGAAAATCTCGAACGCCACTTCGGGGATATAGAGACGTACCTAGCCATGTTTCCGAATGATCAAAACATTATCAGTGCGTCGATCCAGATGGTCTCATCGACGTTGAAGGCAGTAGAAGAGGTCATCAGCTACTTCACTATGAACGCTGGTATGTTGGTCACCCTCCTCTTTGTTGATCACCTTTTTCTTTGTTGACCAAACTTAAATTTGTTGGCCACGATTCTCTTTGTTGACTACCCTTCTCTTTGTTGACCACCCCACGCTTGAAAATTGCCTTACGCGCAAGGTCTCCAGGCCATTAGTCCCATAATTTTTGCTTTACATATAGAAACCAAACTTATATCTGCCTTGTTCAACGGCGAGGAATACCAGATCGCCTTGTCCGAGAGTACCAAGCAGATTGGAGCTAGCAGCCAGTTCCTCCTTACACAGGCACGCAGCTCAAATATGTATCAAAATCGGCAGACACTAGAGATTGCGCACAACAGTAAGACCGCTTGATCGTGTTGTTGTTCGTCTCTACTGACTACCTCCCATAGACTCTTCGACCCTAGTTCAAGTAATGGACACGCAGCAACAACTAGCCGACGGGCAGCAGCAACTAGCCGACGGGCAGCAACAACTTGCCGATAGGCATCAACAGCTGGCCGATGGGCATCAAAAGCTGGCTGATGGGCAGAACGAGATGATGTCCCTGCTCGAGCAGCTCTATCATGGTGTTCTTCATGGCTTTCGGCAACAGCAGCGTAAGAGATAAACCCATTACCTTCGTGCGCATTGTCTGAACCGCACATGTAGGAGAAATGGACCAGCTTAGGCAACAGACGCTCCATATGGCCGCGCACGTCAACACGTATCAATCCCACTTTACCGAGAGCTTCCCCAACGAGCAGCAAGCTCAGGTCACTTATGGGGGTCTGCTCACTTTGCTCAACGTTCCCGAGATCGAGATAAGCAACTTCAATCATATCATTCAATATCAGCATAAGATCCCGGCCGATGACCGAGGTCGCGCTGAGCGAGTCCTCCGAACTCCCCAGTTTGCTTCGTGGGCTTCGGCACCGCAATCGAGCGAACTGCTCGTCCACGGAAACTTCATCGGCACACTACATCTCCGGCTCATCCCTATTCTGCTGTTCGTTCCTGCAGACAATAAAGCAAACGGGTCGGTTCTTAAGCATCGCGTACTTCTGTGGGCGGCACATGGACGAGGGCGATGCATCGACCGGCTGTCGGGGAATGATCCAGAGCTTGTTATCGCAGCTTCTAAGGCAAAATCATTTGGGCATGACACTCCTGGCCCGCAATGCCAGCCTCAATCTGGTGAGGTATGGCGATCTGAAGCAGCTGTGTGCCCTCTTTGGGACTTTGATGCATCAACTACCCCTGGGCGTCCCCCCAGTCTTCTGCATAATAGATGGCATCAAGTACTATGAGCGAGAACAGTGGCTTGATGACATGGTCGAAGTGTTGAGGTACTTGCTGGACCTCAGGCTTGATACTAGCCTGCGGTGCATCTTCAAGATATTGATCACCAGCCCTTCTGAGACAAGAATGGTGCGGCAGGCCATGCAAGAAAATTGCATCATCTCAATGGCGTCGGTTCCGCGAACTGGACAGGCTTACAGCCAGCGGGGCGTTGCGAGGCAGGTCATGAATACCCTGGGCTAGGGTCTTGGAATATGGACAGACTCAGCGGATACCGTCGAAAATAGAGAAGATCGCCTCCAGCAGCTTGACCCGAATCCCCGTGGGAAAGACCAGGCCCATGCAGATAGCAATGCAGGACTGCTGCCACTTCCGAACATCGCGGGACGTATAGTACGACGTGGCAGGCTCCGCATTCTGAGCCCTGGAAGGAGACTATGCGCACACTTCGGTTGGCCGTCGGTAGTCGCCGGGAGCTGTGACTGTGATTCGCGCGTAGGCAGTTGGTCGACAGCGCCCGAAAAAAACGGTGCGCGATGGGCAGGTGGTATCATACAGGGCGAACTATGGTGATGGCGATGTTAATGCTGTCTGTCTGCGACGTCGGTTGGCCTAGGGTTACTAAGAAGTCCACCACGGTTTGATTTAAAAGAAGCCGAAAGTCACGCTGGAAAGAATTTGTGTCAAGAAACGCAATCCCATGCCTCGAGCCTGTTTATCCAGAGCATGACTAGTACTGGTCTTTGCTCGATACTTTGTGGTAAGTTATGTTTGACATAGGTTGATAATACATAGGGCAACTTGTGAGATCAAATATTAATGAAGACCCTGCGGCTTCCTCTTTCAAAGTCCTCCAACCAATATATGCAACTGTGTCGCTGAAGGTAATCTATCTAATGAGCGTTCGGGGATGTCGCGGCTATCGTACATTGGGGCCCACACAGTGGTGCTGATACAGCATTGTCATCACGAGACGACAATCTACCATGTACCAAATGCACATTCAAACCTCTCACTATCTTCCTCAAACTCATCATCATCAGATGCGTAGGCCGATTCCTCAAAGTCGATGATCCAGACATCATTTCCCCTCACAAGGAAATTATCTGTCTTGAAGTCTTCCCCTAAGACAATCCCCTGAGCGTGTAGAGCATTCAATTTGTTCCGACAAATATTCGCTTGCGGCATATTGGGCTCGATTGCGCTCTCAATAAACTTGAGAAGGATGCCGACCACTTTCCCGCCGTCAGTGACAAGTGCCTTGAACTCAGGTGCAATCGGTTTTCCCTCGAGTCCCTTGTAAATATCGACTTCGTTCTCTAGGAAATGCTCTTGTCGATAGACTTTCAGAAGGAGCCAGCCGCGGATGCTTCTGGTATGAGCCAGGTAAACCTCTGACTGTTTCGTATCGACATCGTCGGAATCGTACTGCACGCTCGCGTGTGGGCCCCGGAGCTGGCGGTATTTGGTGATGTCGCGCAGTCCGATCTTTGGCTTGCCGCGCCAGTCGACACCTCGAGTCGACAGGTCGCCTCTGGCATCCAAGCTGACATGAGCATCTGTGTTGGATACCGACCTGGCCTTGAATTACAGAGTCAGCAATGCGACTCTCAAGTTGCTAGGCTGAGGTGAATGTCTTGGTTCGCGCTCGGCGAAAATGTGTTTATCTACTCACCGCAACCAGACCTTGGAGGCCGAGTAGGCCAGTATAAATGATCGTTTCAAGGTGCATCTTGTTGGAGACGATGTCTGATAGTAGACGTAGGTGTAGAAAATAGTGGTTTTACTAGGGCTTGGTCTCGCGTAGATTTGTCGTTTTCGCTCTTGAGTTGGCCTGGTGAACATCGTTCCATAACATAAATGATATCCAACATGGGCTGAGTGGTACCTCTTATATATGGCATCCACTCCCTAAGTTCCGTTCTATAACACCTTGGAACTTCCATTCCAAGTCGCTCAGCCTCTGGCCGCCGATCATTCTATTTTCAACGTAGGAGTATACAAAAGCGGAACGACTGTATCTTTCTCTGATGGCTACATAGGCAGCACTGGGACTTCCGCGTCGTTGGACGCGGAGATATCCGACAGTGGAACAAATATGACTTAATTGGGTACCTACCTAGGCAGCGGTTTAGTCAATCTTTCGCCACAGGAGTTGAACAGCTTTGTCTTCATCTAATGCCTACTTAGGCAGCAGTAGGTAGCGGTGGAGGATTGGGCTGACACTCTCGGTCGCGCCCCAGGCAATGAAGGCCGTCCACGAAAGCGTGGAGATGCCAGGAGTTGATGCTATACAGAAAGGTAAAGATTTGAGTAGACCAACTTGCAATAAAACCAACCCCCCAAAGGAGTAGGCAAGCGGTTGAAATTCTATTTTTTTCTGCAGCATCCTTCGTGAAAGCCTGTTAGATATCACTGTATTAGAGTGCTAATTTTTGCGGAAGACTAGAACCCATTCCAGTAGATGTGCCATGTATTCGCGGGGTTGGTCTACCAATCAATCCTTCTAGGAAGGCACTGCGCCCAGCACTGATGAGTAGCCCGGGACGGAGTCAAAACCGAGTCCCAAAAGTCCAACTGAAAAGTGTCCTGTCCCCAGTTCCAGTTGGAGCTTCTACTATGCAGGCAGTGGTACAATTTTGGAGGTAAGCTGTGGGAGGATGAGTCTCTTTATGCTTCGCTTCAGGTCGATGTGCCCGATATATGGCCATCTGCACCCACGAAAGCCCGATCAGGGGAACCTGGATACCGCACCGGCAAATGATGTGGTGGTAGGTCCGTATTTCTGCAATATTTAATCCCCATTCTCCCTGCTAGCTTCCTTCGGAAACCGATTGCAACCTTGCTGGTGTACAGTCACGCTCAATATCTCTTTCGCGCCGGGGAAACAGACTGGGATTCTGTGGCTGTAATGCAACGGTTGATATGAGGCGTACAGGATTCTTTGCACCCGTTGACCATTTGCACTATGCCCAGAAGGAAGACGAACTGGCTGAGGATATAATTCTTGAGCCAGGGTTCCTCACTGCCGGCGACAAGGTCAATGGCTCTAGTGGATCTCCGATGCTGACGCCCGTAGCCGTAAAGGACCAGGTTGTGCCGTAGGTTCAGGTAGACCCGCCCTGTTGGCACCGGGAGTTTTGGATGGAAAGCCAGTTTTGAATGGAAAGCCCGTGTAATAACCATTCTGTCTGGGTCCAGAGGTGGTCGCCCGTCAGACTCTGTGTCGAACCCAAAGTCCTCGGGTTCAAGCTTGTAGACGGCTTCCGATTCGGGGTAGAATGCCAACGCACAGTCACGGCTTCACGGGAGACAGAAGTGAAAGGTGTGAGTAAGTTTTTGGTGGCAAACGACTGAAACAAATAATTGGGGATGATTCTGTGCCGCGCTTCATGTACCAGGGCCTCCTGCCATATCTGCAACCGAATCTCGGGCGGAAGCTTTGCGGATTGGGGAAAGGTACTCATGATAGAGTCAGGTTGATGTGTTTGCTTTATGTGTGCAGGTCGGGGATGCGAAGGCACGGGAGGTTGCATATCAGGAACAAGAAGGTCAAACTGGCTAGGACCCATGAAGCTCTTATATGATATCCCCCTAATGTGAAAGTAAGGCACGATTTGTAAATCTTTTCACCTCCCCGCTGCTACATGGAATCACCGTGAAACTGGGTGGCTATAGAAGTATCTCTCTAGCCGGGGAAGAGCTATCGTCATCACCCTATTGGCTGTTGCCCCTGTCTCGAAAATCGTGCCGTACTTTCACGTTGAGGGGACAAGACGACACTTGATGGCGCCTAAAGCGAGTGCCCAGAATCAGCTTCAGGCATCCAACGCACTCAGACACTCCGGGGCAGACACAGAGGAGCATGAAAGTGCTAGACCGTCAGACAAAGAAGCTCGAAGTCCAACAGATCTTTTACTAGCTTTGTACGATATTATACAGTAAAATTGTACCCTTTTATCATTCCATGGTTTTCAGTCTGATGCTCACAGCCCTCCTGTGTGCCTCAAGCTCTTCCACCTTGGCCAGTTGCATTACCGCCTCTCCCACATTTCGGAGACCCTCTGCGGTCAAGTTCGAGCTCGTAATGTGCTTGACAAAGGAGCCCAGGTTGACACCTGAGTACTGCTTTGCGTACCCATAGGTCGCTGAGGCAAGTTAGCTTGGGCACCACAAGGCAAGGACGAGAAAAGTACTTACGCAATGAGTGGTTCACACCAGCAGAGTAATCACCGACACTCTCAGGCGTCCATTGTCCAATGAACACGCTTCCAGCGTTCATAACCTTGTCGACAGCCCGCTCCGCGTCCTTGATTTGAAGGATCAAGTGCTCAGGGGCGTATTCATTGCTGATCCTCATCGCCTCATCCACGTCCTTGACTAGTACTGTCACCGAGTGGTCGATAGCACCCTTGACGATGTCCACTCTGGGCAGAGCCATAGCCTGATTGTGTAGTTCATCCTCGATAGCCTTCAACTGCTGCTCATCCAAGTCTATCGTGATGCAGACGACTTGGCTGTCAACACCGTGTTCAGCCTGAGACAACAGGTCTGAAGCCACGAAGGCCGGGTTTGCGTCTTTGTCAGCGATAACTAGCACCTCGGAAGGTCCAGCCGGCATGTCGATGCTCACCCCAGCATTGGTGTCGTTGCTGACGTGCATTTTGGCAGCTGTGACGAACTGGTTGCCAGGGCCGAGAATCTTGTCCACCTTACTGACACTCTCGGTGCCATAAGCCAATGCAGCGACCGCTTGTGCACCACCAGCTAACACGATACTTTCGGCCCCAACCTTGTGAGCCACATATACAATCTCGGGTGTTATGCTGCCATCCGCGCGTGGGGGCGTTGCGAGAACGATCTTCTGGCAGCCAGCGACCTTGGCTGGTACACCGAGCATGAGAGCAGTACTAGGAAGAACCGCCGTTCCACCTGGAACATAGAGACCCACGCGCTCGATGGGTCGCGAGAACCTACTACATACAATTCCTGGCATCGTCTCGACTTGCAGCGGCTTATCCTCCTTCTGCGCAGCGTGGAACTTTCGAATGTTTTCGTACGAAATATCGATGGCTTTGATGGTCTCGGGAGGAAGGTTCATGAGTGACTGAGGAAAGGGGGCTTTGAGAACAGGGGACGTCAACGAAGTAGCCTTCTCAAATTTGTGAGTGTAAGATAGAAGGGCTTTGTCGCCGTTTTGTCGCACGTCATTGATGATGGGCGTGACGATACCCATGATCGTTTCCGCCGACTTCTGAGATGGCCTCTTCAGAGTCTTCGAGACCTCAGCTTCTCCGACCTGACTTGCACCCACTCGCCTCATTGAGATCCTCTGGGTATCGGGTGCTGTGTGTTTCTCAGTGGCAGGAGCTGAAGTCAGTGGTAAGGAGGACTCCTTCGCAGCTTCTTTCGCCTCTTCGACTGTGCCATCGGCGATGCTCTCCTTCTGCGCCCATTGGCCCTTGGCGTTACCGGGTCTCCTCTTCACCTTCAAGCTCTTTGCGTCCAAGTTCTTCTCGATATCCGAGAGGCTGACTCCAGCACCAACAGCTTTCGTGAGAGCGAAGTAAATCAAGTCTGCCGCTTCGAAAGCGACTTCTTCCGGCGTTTGCGCGTCGCAAAGTTCCTCGGCCTCCTCCATGATCTTCGCGCGGAGGAGCTTGCCATCTGAGAATAGCCTCTTCGTGTAGGAGCCCTCGGGCGCCGACTGCTTCCTCGAAGTCAACGTCTGCTCAAGCTTGGACAATCCCTTGAGGTCACCGAAGCAGCCGAATTGATCGAGATGGCAAAATCTTCCGGTTTGCTTGACGACGAACTTCAGTGCGTCATTGTCGCAGTCCATTGATATTCGCACGAGCTCTTGCGTGTCTCCAGACGTGGCTCCCTTGTACCAGAGACCTCGCTTCCGACTTTGATAAACGCCAGTCTGTGTCCTGAGGGATTCGGCGACACTTTCCTCGCTGCTGTAAACCAAGCCAAGTGACACACCTCTCTCATCACAGACGACTGTCGGCAGAAGCTTGTCTTCCCTCTCTGACGTCCATGACGTCGAGAAGAGTTTGGGTACAAACAACTTCTTCTCGGCCTCATCCTTCTTCGTCGTCAATACCGTAGATGGTAAGACCGGGATGGCCCGTATTTGTGAGCAGATGTCGACAAAGTGGTCATAGACAGTCTCGGAGATGGGCTTGATATAAACGGGGGGTAGCTTTTCCTCTTTGATTGACTCCATGAGGGCGCCGACATCACAGCCCCTCTGGTCAAAATCTTTCAATAGGAGGCCATGCTTGATGTGGGCCGATACCTTGTTCAGCTTCGTAACAGCAGGGGCGACTCGTCTTCCAAACTCGGCGAAATCTAACAACCTCTCGGGTTGGACGAAGACTTTCCGAGCACCGTGGTCTAGAAGCGAAACGACACCGTCTCTCGACTCAAGCGCTGTAGCATCCAAGAAGACGTGAAACTCGGCGCTGTGTTGCCTCAAGTGGCTGAGGAGCTTTTCGAGGTTCTTCTGAGTTGCGTCGAAAAAGACACAGCCAAGACATGACACTTCCTCCCGGTTCAGACCTTCACTTGAGGCCAACCCCGGTGGGACGTCAACAGAGACGAGAAAGGGGAGTGGGAGAGTCGTCTCCATATCAATTGAGTGAGTTGTCGAGTCTGGACAGGGGTAATTCAGGGTGTCAGAGTCAATCTCGGCTGGAAGATGCTCTCATGAGTCCCAAGTACAATTGAGACGACATGACGCATCATGCACTCGTTCCTAGATCGGCGTGCAGACACAGTCAATGGTGGGGCAAGAAAATCTTCGAAACTGCCCCTCCAACGACTCACCCGATTGTTTGCCCCTCCAAAACGCACGATGCCTTTAAAGTGTGGTCTGTGCATTCTAATAAGGCAGCAGAGGTCAGAAGATAAGATAACGGCGATTCTTCGGCAGCGACGTGACGACAGCCGCGCTGCCCAGTTGGTTGAAGCTCTCTCATCATCCATTTCTCAATACTATCCAAGACGAGGTCCTCCACGATACCTACAACATTCCTTCCAAGAAGGCACCACGACCAATGCAAAACTACACGTCCGATTGTAAACTTGCGAGAAGATCAGGATAACACGACCAGCCTTGCAGCCAGCACCCGACTGCTGTCACCTCGGGCGCACGAGCGGTCTCACATCGACGCAAAAGGTAGCTGCGGCCAGCACGCGCTTCTCCTCTCGACAGCGCCCGTTTCTGTTTCGGACGCGAACGCGCCCGGCAATACGCAACTCTCCCGATACTTCCATAAATTACGACACGATCTCGCTTGATGCGTAATCTGTCGCGCCTTACGATACCCATTCCCACCTCTAATCATTCCGCCGCCAACCGCAACCATGGCGACAACCTCACAGTCACAGACGAACGGCGTGCCCTCATCCTCCTCCGCCGGTCCTTCACAGGCGCAATCCCAACCGACACAAAACACCACAACAAGCGGCACGGCGACATTGTCTAACACACAAAGCACAGCCACACTGACAGCCGGGCCCTCCAACGGCCCATCCTCACCCACAGCACACGCCCCGCGGCCCCGCGACGCGCGCACCATCGAGCTGCTGCTCACCTCCCAAGGCGTGACCTCCTTCGACAACCGCGTGCCGCTCCTCCTGCTCGACTTCGCCTACCGCCACACATCCTCAATCCTCAACGATGCCTTACACCTCGCCGCAGACCCATACACGTCGCACGCGGGCGCGAAGCCCAGCGCGGCCAGCGGTGCCGTGCCGATGGCGCCGAGCAACAGCGACGCGACGCTCAACCCCAACGCCGTCAACCTGGCGATCGCGAGCCGGCAGGCCTACCAGTTCCGCGGCGGCAGCGGGGCGGGCGGGACCGGCGGCGGCGGCGCCAGCAAGGACTGGCTGATGGAGCTGGCGCGGGAGCGCAACCGCGTGGCCCTGCCGCGCGTGCTGGCCAACGAGTGGGGCGTGCGCCTGCCTAACGAGCGCTTCGTGCTCAGCGGGGTGGGCTGGCAGTTGCGGGACCACTGGGCGGGTGCCGCGGGGCCCGATAGCGACGACGACGAGGATGGGGACGGAGAAGGTGGGGAGGGCGGCGCGGATGAGATGGAGGGACTGGAGGACGCGTTTGGACCGCAGAAGAAGGAGTCGGCTCCGGGTGCCGAAGGCGAGGAGGGCGGTGGGCTGGGCGAGCTGATCGGTGATGACATGGAGGACGACGAGGACATGGATGGCATGGAGTAGTACTGGACGGGCTATCATGATTAAATTGTCCTCAACACCCGCAGCCACTGACGGTCGTTCACTCCTCAATCGAGTCCGTATCTACGCAGACCGGCCACACCCCGATATTCTCCTCAACCACGATACTACTATACGATAGGGAAAGGATTGGCGTTCTTGGTGTCCGGGCCATTCGGCAAAAGGAGTCTAGCAAGTCAATTTCTGGGATTCGGCAGCCAGAGGCCAGTGTTGGCTCGAAACGTACTCCCAGCCGCCGTTACTTCTACCACTCAACGACTACGGACTGAGGAACAAGCACGCAACACAACACCTCATGTGATGACCACCGCAGAAGGCGGACGGACAACACGACACGGTGCGCTAGTCGCATGCTCGCATCGCTGATCAGTTTCGGCGCCGAAGAGGAAAGCGTCTTTGTTGTACAGCATTATCTAACCAGAGATTCCCACTTCCCTTTCCCCGGAAACGCCGTGCGCTATGCAATGCCAACAGGAGGCAGGGCTTAGGACTATAGCTACCAAGCCGATTTCTCTCAAGGACGGTACAGAGCATGCAAATAATACTCGGCTCGGGACACACCGTGTAACTCTGAGCTCGATATGACGAAACATGACTGACGACTTGAACGCTGCCCCGACATGTGATTGTGGTGACACAAGAATAAACCCTCCTCCGGCGCGCGGAGATATGTGAGCCTAAATGTGGCCCGTAGTGGATGGTATCGACAAACCACTTGCGCCATCAAGCGTGGTGCTTGTCTGTAGGTCTGTTCGTGACATTTGCTGTCCCATTAAGTCCAGAGCTAGGCCTTATGTATTTGTTTCGATTCCTTCTCCATGCCCAAGTTGCTCATACCAGTAATCAACTCCGCGTCGAGATCTCGAAACGCGTCTTTGGGCCCAGTTTTTGTCGGCGCACGGCCAGTTACCTGGGTGTCACTCTCGCCATCTTCACTTTGGTTCTCATCCTCGTCGTCAGCGTCCTCGGAAGCGTCCTCGGATACGTCTTCCATCATGGAGTTCGTCATTTCCTCCTCGTCGTCAATGCTCTCCCTGGCATCGTCGTCCTCTTCCTCGCCGCGTGATACATAACTGTCGCCCCGTGATAGGTAGCTATCGCCCATATCGCCGACATCTTCGTCATCCTCGTCTTCCTTGTCAGACGCATCGCTCGAATCACTCGCTGAAAATTCATCCAGCTCCAAGGGGGTGTCGCGCCAGAATGAGAAGTCGGTGTACTCCACACCACCGCCCTTCACTAGCGTGCTCACAGGGGGAAAGTAGTGGTCAACGACTTCGCCTATGTTGACGTAACTGAGCTTCAACTTATTCAGACTCAGCAGATCAAGGGACACCTCAGCGTTAGAGTTGATGGTGAAGATACGATTTCTGGGGACATCCACGGTTCTGTAGGAGATTTGATCCGTGAGACGGTTCCCGAATCCGGCGTAGAAGCAGTGATTGTCGGCCCCATACAAACTTCGGATGTCACGAAGGGTGGCCATCTTGAAGACCTCCGGTTTCCGTAGGTATACCTCCCTCCGAAGCGCAGCCATCGTCCGATCAGGGGAGAGGATCGTTGGCCCCTTGGGCAGACGGTAGCCGTCTTGGGTGATACCGTTGAGGTATGTGCGCGTGAAATCAGCCATTCCCACGGATCGACTGGTCAGGTACATGATGTTGTATCCATTGGCAGAGATATCGCTGTAAAGCTTTGCGACACCAGCATGGGTCCAATCGCGCCCGATCCTGCCGAAAACGTGGCCCAGAGCATCGGATTTGGTAATAGTTCCGTCAATATCCGAAATGACAACCGGAGTATCGTGTTTCCACAGATACATGTTGGAAGAGCATGTCGCTCGATTCACTGTAAAGCTCAGCGAGTTTTCGCCCGGTATGAGATCAAGTTCTTTCAGCTGCTCGCTAGTCAGACGAAGGGTCTTGGCGTAGTTCCTGGTGTGGTGGCTCTTCGAGGAGGCAGATCCTGGCGTAGTTGGTGGCGTCTGTACGTTGCCGCTCTGACCCACGTCAGATTCGCTTCTCCGGTGCATTGGGTCCCGCGAAGATGTCGTCGAGTCATCGCTCACGTAGCCGGGATCCGACACAGCATCAATGGCCATCGTGGCTGATGGTCGAAGCCGAGTGGCTGTCTTCTTCGAGGCAGCCTCTTTCGCCTCCTCACTGCTGTATATCCAAAGGTTGCCCTCCTCATCCATACCGAACAACGCCCCGATGTCATAGTCGCCCTGCAGTTCTTCAGATAGAATCTTCCGAGCTAGGATCTCGGCCTTTATGGCATCCTCCTCGCTACTTTTGTAACTCGCCAGATCCAACATGAGATCGCCTGTATCGGTCACGCGATTGGGGATGTTAACGGCTGAGAGCTCCTGGGAGAGAGACTGGGCTCGTTCGATGGCTTCCCGCGGCGCAAGTGGTGGAGGAATGCGGCCACTCTGGGACGCATCCTGACTATCCTCTTCGTACGACTCATCGTTCGACTCGTCATGGTCACCTTGGATAAGTGAGTTGGATGGGAGCAGCTGCTCGCTATACGGCGTATGTCTCGAAGATTCGGGCCATCCCCTGGAAGTCGGTCGTCCACCGCCTAGTTCAGGTGAAGATTGGAGAGGTGAGTTTATACCTACGTAGCACACATTAGCAATTGTCCCTGTAGGAGGGGGCGGATGACTACTGACCTGAAGATGTTAAGACAACAGGTCCGGGGCGAGGCATAGTTGGTGATTTTGGCTTGCTGGAATCACCATCTAGTTGTAAGAAGTCGGGTTCTTGTAGCTGGTAGTTCGAGTCGGAATCGCCGTCGGGTACGAGTGGCGGACTAGAGGCAGGGGATACGAGAGGCGAGGTCTGCAGGCTCTGGGGGATGGTGTCGGAGGTCTCGAATATGAAGAAGGCCTCGCCGCCCTCGCCAAGCTTCATCGCATGCTCCTGTTTGACGCCATTGACTCTGAACTCGACTTTCTTCTCGAAGGGGCGCAGAAGCGAGAACTTGCCGAAGCGCACGTGGAAGGGAGAGCAACACAGGCTGCCATCAGCCTGCTCGACGACGATGACATCAATAGCGCCGCTAAGGGTGGAGGGATTGATGGAGTTCCAGGCGGTCGAGACCGAGTCGCTGATGTTCCTGACGTATTGCATGGTCGAGAGGTCGCAAGCCCGGGCTGCACCGTGAAACCGCGGATTGGAGATGGAGATGGAGCTCGGCGTTCGATTCGGTCCTCAGATCAGTCTGCGGGTGGGTGGCGACCACTGACCAGGTGGGCGGGAAGAGTCGTTCAATATGATGGGCCGGTATGCGGTATGGTGGTTGGGCGCGAGGTGGTCGGACCGAGTAGCGCAGGTGTTGTGCTGTGATGCGCTGTGTGTCATGCGCTGGATGCAAAAAGACTAGAACGCCGTTGTCGCTGATGTTTCAAAGAGGACAGAATCGAAGGCCGTTAGATGTGACAGCTGACGGGAGGAATGTGGAAGGATGCAGGTGAGATGCAGGTGGTACATGTAAAATGGCAAAGGTGGAAGCTCAGGTCCGAATTCTGCTGGGGTGTAGCCGAGGTGACGTAGTGTACGGCGTGGTGGAAACGTCACGCGCGTTGGCTCGAAAGATGTTGATTACAAAACGGAGAGAAAGAAGAAGTAACAGCGCATGAGATGCCGCAGAGTAAAGGTCGGGGTTTATGACATGTTGGATGGGCGACCAAGAGGAAGTAAACGTTCCGAACCGATGAGAGCTGATTCAATGTTGACTCGATGAGTCTGCTAGTCGGCCTAGTCTTCTGACATTCAAAAGAGGAGGGCTGTGCACGACATGGAGCCGCACTAGCCGCTCTAGCCGCACCCGACATGGTCGTACTCGCAGGCCCCGGCCGTTGCGAAGCCCCACTGCCAACTGCCACCTTGGGTTTACCGTTTGGCAAGGCTTCCAGCATGCCGAACCTTCCATGCTCCATATTTACACAGTTCTGACAGTTGTACAATGCACACCACCAGCCAAGCCGCGGGACGATGACACATGCACCTCCAGCGTGGACTTCATTGGGCCCCTACCAGTCGGGTATTCCGCTACAGCCTACCAGTGCTTTGATCATTACTAGTGACACAGGCACAACCTTACTCATTGCCTTTATGTGTCTATCTGTCTATCTTCGAGGTGAAGAGCTCACCACATACGCATCGATACAACATGCGTTTAGGTCTACTGGGAAAGGATATCTGGAATACATATAATACGACATCTACAGTCGGCGATGAGTTTGCGGGGGGGGGGGGGGGGGGGGGGGGGGGGGGGGGGGGGGGGGGGCGGGAATGCATGTGATACTCCATGACACCATGTTGCTACAGATGTGGGCCATCAACTGTGCTGTCAGTCTTCAGTGACCATCTGCAAGTCGTTGCGTCTGGATGCTGTAATATACATCAAACGGAAGCCTCGCGAGCCTCGGTTCCTCCACCGGTCACCGGCTTGACAACGGGGCCATGTTCTTGTCATCACCACCGTACAACCTCCATCTAATGCATGTGTTGCCCCATGTGCCCTTGTTAAATTCAACCATCTGGACTATCAGAACTATTCAGTTGAACAGCTTTGCTTACTTCACATGTCCTTGAGACCGCAACCACTAGCTTGTAAAGTCGACCGTTAGATCTAGTAGATATCTACATACTTAGCTATAAGCTGTGCACGGTCTGTTTTTGGTCGTACATACAGCATAAACTCCAAGTTAATAAGTCGTTTAAATGTTGTCTGCTAATTCAGTAGCGAGCGGCTTACTGTATCCGCGGCACAATTGATTAACATAAGTCTAACGGCTAGATACCTCATTGACTTTCACATACTGCCAGATGAAGCTGCCATGCTTGGACTACTTACCCCAGACCAATTTCTTACTTGTGACCTACCCCCCTTTTGCCGGTGTAGTGTGGACTATGTTACCTTTGATATAATCATGGATGAGAAGTCAAAGAAAGGCATGCCTAGCTTGGCTTCCCTATCCCTAGTGTCAACACCGTTTCTACCTACATAGGTGAGGTCGCGGATACAGCCACGACACGTCCCTACCGTGCGATCGTGGGCGTATGCACGGTCCTTATCTCGACAGTCTGGGGGCCAAAACAAGACTGTCGTGGTCACGCTGGACTGTTAGCACTGCTAGGCCCTATCGCGCTGCCCGCGTTAAACCGTGCCAGTTTCTGGTCTCCAACTGTGACCCTTCTTGTCGCGAGACGAGAGGTCTCTTTATTATTACCCACTATTCTCCTCGAGTGAGGAAAGCAAGCCGGGAGGAGGAAACATTTTCCATCTCGGTTTGTCCTCCCGTCCCATCGTCTTGTTACCCCGTTTGCCCGTCTCAGCCTCTCAGGTCTGCGACTCGTTCTGCTTCTCGACTTGATTACACAAACCCCCGTCTTCCCCATTTTCCTCATGTTGGACGGCTCTTTTCCTTTGTCGACACTCTCCTCTCCCCGCCCTTCCCGACCACGGCGATATGTTATGGACCTTATTGACGACGCCTCTTCCTTCGATTCTGTTCGTCTGCGCGCTCCTCGCCTGGTGGTTCATTGAGCCCAAGACAACCCACCTGAACCTCATTATTGTCATCGGCGGCGTCCTTTTCTACTGGGCTGTCGCGCCCGACTTGGCCCAGTCGACTCCCGCGCGCATCTACAACATCTCTCTCGATCTCGCCGCCCTATTACGACTCGACGTGCTGATTACATACCACGCGAATATGCTCGTGACCGGCGTTGCCTTTTTGTGGTACGTCCAGCCGCCTGCCCGCCTGCCTGACGCGTAGTCGTCGTGTTTCTTGCTTATGTACCCTGCTCACGCGACCACACCATCACAGGTTGGCCCACCGAGCCGTCCAGACATTAAGAAAATCCGTCAACGACCTCGTCAGCATCCTCGGTGTCGAGGTTCCCGATGCCCCCGATGTCTCGCTCGCTGGAATACGTGCCGAAGCAGCCACTCTGAACTGGACACGCCCTCTGCCGACCCGACCCGTCGCGAAATTCACGATACAAGTCAATGGCGTCAATGGTGAGTCATGGACGCCCGAGCGGGACTTCAAAGCAGGTGATTGACACTTGTTCGTTAGTTGGGGATTCCGCGAATCAGGAGACCGCCATCACCGTGACGGGTCTGAAACCAGATCATTTCTACAATGTTCGCGTCATCGCCGTCGGTTACAACAATTTCCAGGCAGGGAGTCGCGTGATCCGCTTGCGAACATTTGGTAGAGATGGTCGGCCCCAGCTCGGAGATGGCCGTCTTCCGTCTAATTTCGTCCTCGAGGAGCAGAAGCTGGTCATGCCGAGTGATCACACCGATGAGGATGGAGTAACGAGGAGCCCTGCTGCTGGCGTGGAAGCTGCTTCCATCCCTGATACCTCAAGCTTGTCCCCACGGGATGCTATGACCAGTACCCCAATTGGACGGCGCAATACCCTGACGAGGAAGCACTCTCCATCCAGCACGAGTATCGAACAATCGGTTAAGGATGCTCTGAGCAATCGCTCAGAGCATTCCTTGCAGGAGCTTGGCGAGAGGTTCGAGAGCATACGGAAAGACATCGACGAGACACAGTCGCAGATCGCCAGAGACGAGAGAGAGCACAAAGAGATGATGGACGAGCTGACTGAGGAGAAGAAAACCAAACGGCGGGTGCAAAAAGAGAAGGACGACACTACAGAAAAACTGAAGAAGGAGATGGGGTTGACCGAGAGGGCTATGCGAAGCGTGCAGCAACGAAAAACCCAGAAGGAAAAGATGTTGAGGGAGAAACAAGCTGAGCGCCAGAAGCTCCACGACGACATGGCAAAATGGGAGAAGGATATGGCCTCGATGCGGAGACGACAAAGCTGCTTCGAAAAGGATAGGAGTACGTATCAGGAAAGGGGCGATACGCAGGCCGAAAAGTTACGCCTTGAAATCACACAGGCGCAAGCCAGCCTAGCACAGGAGGAGGGGGAACTCAGGGAGAAGGGCAAGGAGCTGAAAGAAGCCGAAGAGCAGCGTAAAAGGCTTCCTGGAGGAGAAGAAAGCGAAGAATGGCGCGATCTCGATCGCGAACTCGGACGGAATTGGGACGTCAAATACAAGGAGCTTCAGCGCCGGCTCGGTGCTGCCCACAGAAATTTGCGAATGATCAACGAATACGAGCAGGTGCTACAGGCTCAGCTATCGACGGCCCAACAGTCTGGCCTGCCCTTCATGTACAGCCAGGCGAACTCCTCCGGGGCTGAATTTGATTCGGCAGCACATAACCAACTCAAACGACGAAGCCGCAACAGCAACTCGTTTTCTAACGTTGCTATCCCTTCTCCTGTGCAGTCATACGCCGCAACAGAACGTCCGTCTTTTGCGCCCTCTTCGACATTTGGTCCTTCCAGACCGCCGACGATGCCGCCGGGCTTTGCTCAAGGTCCTTTCATGGATCACAGTGCCGACTTCTCGGCCCCTTTGGATGAGGAAGGCCTTCGGGCCCTGAGTGCCGGTGCACCACTCAGTCCCACTGCTACTTCCTTGTTGCCCGCCGGGATGCTTGACGACGTCGTCGACTATGGACCTCCCAGACCTCAACCACGGCCAGTTCGGCACAACACTTTCGGATCGGGCCCATCTCAGGACAATGATCCCCAGTCACCTGCATCTTCGGCTCGATCTGCGAGTCTGATGTCAAGCCCTCGGAGTTCTTCTCAGCATCTGCCGTTTTCGCAGTATACCGGTGAGAACAGCGATCGTCGTTCGCTCCGGGGAGCTCGAGGAGATTTTGGCGCTGCTTTGTCTCCAATAGCTCCTCCCGGTCAGGCTGTCCATAGAAGGAACTTCTTGCCGTGGCTCCATAGGGGGGGCAAGCCAGGAGACGAATCTCCGGTGCTCGGATCGTTGAAGTCAGGCCAGAGCCAGTCGTTCCCCCGACAAGCGGAAGACGCGGAACCTATCCATAACAAGCGACGAATCAGCTTCTCGGCCGGTTGGAATCTGTTTAACCGAAACTCTGCTGGCCCCGATCCAACTGAAGTCGGAAACTCGAGCTCCCGAGCTGTCCATCCTCGCCGACTAGGTCTCGGTGCACACGCTAACAGTACGGGCAGCAACATCTACTCCGAGCGCGATCCAAGTAGCCCCCGACCAATGTCGATCGCCTCTTCGGAACTGCCTCGACCTTCTACTGACAGTGGATCCATATGGGGTCGTGTTCCGCAGACTCATCGACTCTGGTCTCCCGAAGCAGAAAACCCGTGGATTGCTTCTCGAAGCGCGTCTAGGCGACCTTCGCTTCATGGTTCTCCATCTTTGCTAAAGACAAGGGTTGCCGACGCTGATGACGAAATTCTGGACGAAGCGGAGCTTCTGTACGCTTCTCCCAGTCAAGTTGGGATCATTGGAAGCAAACCCATAGGAAAGACACTGAGTCAACGTCTGAACCCTACGGCTCCTACGTTTATGGCTGGCTTGTTCCGTGCCAAGCCTGAGAAGGAAAGGGACGTGGATAGGGAGACCAGGGACAGAGGCAAGGCCAAGGGCAGAGACAAGGAGAAGAAGCCTCGAGAATCCATGACATCAGCATCCGAAGCTGGTACCATTTCGATGGACGAGTCACCTTCGGAATCGCGAAAATCTCGAGATGCTTTTTCCGAAACCACACCGTCGGTCACAGAATCCCGTGAATCGCTCAACCTGGATCAATCGTTCTCTAACACGCCATCAGACGCTACCGGACTCGGCATAAAAGAGTCGGAAAGCGGGATTAGAAAGCTGTTGCGCAAGGGAAGCTCCTCCAAGTTCAGCCTCTCCTCGGTGCGTGGATTAGGCAGCAAGAAAGGACCCAACAGTGTGGCAAGTTCGGACAGGAACTTCGGTGACCGCACCAGCTTTGATGATTATGGCGAAGAGGGCAATGGCCAAGTGCTGAGTCGTAGCTATGACAGTATGAACAGCAGCCCTTCGATAGGTCCGATGAGCGGGAATAGGTCAGCCAAGGAAAAGCCGGTCAGCTGGGGCTCTAGGTTCAGCATGAAAAAGAAGTCGGGGAAAGAAAAGGAGAGTTTGGATCTCGAAAGAGAGGACGCGGCTCCTGCTACGCCTCTCATTGAAGAACACTAGTTGATACTGGCTACAGTAGGAGTACCTTGGTAGCGCCTTAGTCAAACTAGCGAAACCATTGCTGTGCCTATGACAAGAATTATGTTTACTGCTGAATGTAAAGTCGCTCCAGGCCATCGGTAGGTGTATGTAGTCCAATAAAGGCCAACCCAACTTCATAGCTTGCTAGCTTTATCCTGAGAATGGCAGGTGACACACACGCAAGCGAGTGCCGGTGAGGCTCAAGAGCTGCCCTGGAAGCTGCCCCCTAAATAATGGGGCGGTGAGGAGCGGCATTACTCCCCAATGGCAAAGCTCGGCGAGCTTCAATTCCGACCTCGAGCACCGGGCCGGCCCAGCCCCATCGAACCATTTCTGGGTGTTCGGAAGAACTACGAGTGGTCTGCTCATTACGACCATCTTCTTACCCGTGAACCTTACCACGCTCTACCCCCGAAGTCTGTCTGAGCGCTCGGCGGCTTTCGTGTTGCACTTCGACGTAGACATAGCCCATGGCGCTTACATAGCAAACGACCCAGCGTACCGAACCGTCGAATTCTAGCTGTTGCTGCCACCTCCCACCCGAAGCCACACCGAGCGAAGTAACTGATACCATACGATTTGCCGATTGCTACTCATAGACATTACCTCCCGTCATACCTCCCCTATGGCCACAGCGGCCTCAGTAGCAGCAACAATGGCGCCCCAAATACCACCAGCACCGCCGACAGGGCCGTCGAGGCCCGGTGCGAGCGAGGAGAACCTCCCCATGCCGTCGCGCAACCCGCTGCCGCTGTCCGCGAGCCAGGAGGCGCAGGTGCGCGAGGTGTTCAATGCGCGGGTGCGGAATCTGTGCGCGGACGAGATCAAAGGTGTGTCTGTCCAGTCTAGCCCCCTCGTGTTCTGTTTGTCACCTTCAAGAACATCTGATCCCTTTTGCCCAACCTCAGTCCTCGCCGGCCTCCCTACTCCGAGGCTCTTCCCCTTCCCTCCTCCGCCTCTCTCTAGACCATCTCTCCCATCCAACCCAACCCAAGCCAACCCTTCCCTCCCTCCATCCAACTAACCAAATGAAAAACCCAGCCTTCGCAGAATGCGCCCGCACCCGCACCTTCACGATCCCCTTCGCATGCCGCGCGCTCAGCCACGCCATGAACAGCTGCATGCTGTCGCACGCGACGCCCGACGAGCACGACCGCGCGCGCGAGGACTGGTTCGCGCAGCGCCAGATGCGGTTCCGCGAGCGAGAAAAAAAAGAGCGCCGCAAGATGGAACAGGAGAAGTTCCACCGCGAGTGGTGGGGCCTGCCTGAGCGCGACCCCGAGGACGTAAAGCGGGAGCTGGAGAAATTGGCTTTGAAGGAGAGGATTGGGGGCGGGTATGGGCGGTCGCGGAGGGGGGAGGAGCAGGAGGTGCGGGAGAGAGGGGAGGACGGAAAGACGTGATGGGACGGGGGGTTTCCTACCTTATTCAAGATGGGGGTGAGGCCGAGAGGAGAGGAAGAAGTATGGGTAGAAGAGGTGTCATGCATATACGGCGTTCAGGGGCGATTCTCGATCTGGTTCTGGCCGGGGATGTATTTCTATCCACGCTGCTCTGCGCCCATTACAATACTGTACATCACATCACGGAACTGGCACCTGTATATCCACATCATTCAAGGACCTGTCTTCACAGCTTTGGCGGTGCAATTCCCCGGCGCAATTTCGAGCGAGCAATATTAATACTGCGTTCGGCTGCAAATGCTACCTGGGTAGCAGACATGGTTGGCCTCATTGTCTCGGGGCTTCTAGGTCCAGAGACACATTATCGATACCATCTCAATCTGCTGGGTTGGGAACACGAAGTACAGGTTCAAAGAGGAAGGTCACCGCTGTCCTGTCGAAAGAAAGCTCTCTATAAGTTGTGGGTGGCAAAGATTCAAGATGCTTCATGCTTGTTGACACGTCTTGAGACCGTCCTGTCTGGGTAGCATTTCTGGTCTATCAAGTCCCATATCCTAGCTCTCTGCGGGTTCGTCTATACCAAATGGCTCTTTTCCCCAATCCTTCTTCTCTTCTACAAAATTGGTATTATTTGACGCCAACACATGGGTTTCAATGTTCCTGTTTCATTTGACTCAGCCACGCTACATATAAAGTAGGCCACCCGGCAACCAGTAACTTTATATGTTAGACTAGTTCAACACCTCCTTGGGCAGAGAGGCCACCTTCTCCTGGAATAGCTTTTCCGCATTCGACCACACAGGTTCGTTGCGCCAGTTGTTCAGCTTGAGCAGATGCGGCAGCAGGTCGCCGCTGAAGGCCTCCGACGACTCGCGCGGCAGCAGGCTGGGAAGGTGGTCGATGCTGATGACGCTGCAAGGAGGACCCCCATCGAGCCCTTCAACAGGCACCGTGGGTTTCTTGAACGTCGTCGCAACGGTGTAGATGGGAATCGGGTTATTGGGGTTCGTGGTATCGGCCGAGACGTCGCAGACGACGCTCAACTGGCGGCCCGGCGTCTTCAGCGACTCGACGTTGACGAAATGGGGTATTTTGGAAGCGAGGTAGATGCAGTTCACGAACACGTCGCTCTCGGTGATCTCCTTGAAGGGCCCGCCCTTCGCTGTCTCGGCCATGTCCCACTTGAGGATCTGCTCTTTCGGCACGCCGGCCTTGAGACACATGTCGATGGCGCCACGTCCGCAGCGGCCCAGCGCTCCTATGACGATGACGCGCGGCAGGCGGCCGGCCTTCTCCTTGCCGGCGGCGAGGTCCGCCTTCACGTCAGAGATCAGCGCGTCCTCGTTGGGGTAGCTCTCGACGCCCGGCAGAGGCTCGTTGGGGTGCGTGAGTTGCCAGGCCCAGCTCTTGAGGGCCAGCGCACTGCCGCTGAAGCCCGCCGAGTATCCGAAGGCTGCCACGCGCCGTCCCGTCTCCGGGTCCTGGAGGAATTCGAGGTCGAGGAGCGTGCCGCCGCCGCGGGGGAAGCGAGCTAGGACGTTTTCCCAGCCGCCCTGGTTCTTGTAGACCTGGTGAAACTGTCAGACCTGATTTCACCATAGGAAAGAGGTAACCCGGGATAATACTTACATGCGCGAATTGGACGTGTACGTGCTTGAGGGGGACTATGTGATGTATCAGTCAGTTGATTATTCCATGTCCTCCGCGCCCGAGTTCAAGTTGCTTGTTTCAACTATTGTATGGTCGCAGGGTGGGGTTGAGGAATGCGCATACAGGTTTCTTCGGGGAGCTCCTTCAGCCCGACTATGATGTGTTCTTTGGGAGCATCGCTACATCGTCCGCAATTAGCTGAGGTATCTTGAGGCGCGGACCATTACGCACCGCCAGCTTCCGGTAGGTACGAGGGTAGCGCCAATTTTAGAGAACTCTTCGTCGTCGAAGATGCGGACGGGGCTCTTCTCGACGTTGACGGTGTAGCCGGCGTCGATCAGTGCCTTCGCGGTGGTCGGGGTGAGTGCGCTGCGGTGCTCGAGCGGCTTGTCCTCGGAGCGCAGGTGGAGGACGGTGGGAGCCATGGTCGGACGATGGGAGGGCGACGAAAAGGAGGACGCGATGCAAGGGGACGAGTTCGCGGGCCAATTGGGTCGAATTGGCGACGTTTTGCGCGTTGATTGTAGGATATCTCTTCGTATTGGTAGTCCCAGGATGCTAGTTGTATGTGTAGTGGTTTTGAAGCAGCGGGTGAGTCCTCGTCTCAAGATCGGTGACCAAACTAGAAGCTGCATAGCGACTTTACAGTGGGGAAGGTGGGATGAAAATGATTCAGACTTCCGATGTCGCCGCCGCTTTCTGACGGCTAAACCTGCAACTGCAACTGTGACTGCCGGGCGCACCCCACCCCCTCCTTTTAGCGCACCGTCTCCCCCCTATTCTTCGACTTGCGTTTCGAGGCTAACGACTCTGAAACTCACCACTACCAATTGTCTCCTAGGATTTGAGCATATGCTACCATTTTTCTAAAGGACGTAGGCATCGTGACACCGGGCCGTCGATTTGCTGACTAAAAGCTGGCCATTGACGCAGGGCCCGGGACATGACATACGGTCGAGGCAGCTTGCTCCAAAAGGGCCCCAGTTCAGGCGAGGAGATTCAGACGACAACTGGGCTCGTCAATCCAGAAGAGGTGTATACATGGTGTCTGCATGAGTCATTTAGATTCATTTTCTTAGGCACGGGTCATCCAAATCTCGAGCCGCAAGGGATAGGTATGGGCCTTGCTCAGATGACTAGCGGGTGACCGTCGGTTACCGGCGGACTTTTACACACCCAGAGCAGTACTTGGGTTACACCGCTGTCAGCATGCAGGCCGTACATGATATGTGCATTCGCGTTGAGAGGCAGCCGTGGTATGCGTTGGGCTGGCTGCAGACCACAAGCTGGAGTGTCCTAATGTGCCCCCCTTTCCACACGCCCTTCTGTTCCAGCCATGGACTATAAGAAGGATATCTCTCAATGCTCCAGACTCGATTCTCCAGAGTCTGCACATACTATACACAATATATCCGCTCTACTTCTCACCATGGCCGGCATCACGCCCTACACTATCTCCATCTCCGACGAAAAGCTCAGACGTCTCCAGCAGAAACTCGACTTGACCGACTTTCCAGCAGCATGCGTCGACGCCGAGGGTTGGTGCCACGGGACGCCGTTGTCCGACGTGCAGCGCCTCATACACCATTGGGCCCATGGATTCGACTGGCGCGCTACTGAAGCAAAACTCAACGAGTTTCCCCAGTACATGGCAAAGGTTGAGATAGATGGGATCGGACAGCGCGAAGTGCACTTCGTACATCAGCAGAGCAAGGTCAAAGATGCAATTCCTTTGCTCTTCATACATGGGTGGCCGGGAAGCTTCATTGAAGTCACGCGCATCCTACCTGAGCTGCTCCACGGCAGCGACAGCTGTCCAGCTTTCCACGTCGTTGCTCCGAGCCTGATAGATTTCGGCTTCTCATCTGCCAGTGAGACGAAAGAATTCAACATCAGTCAGCACGCCGAGGCATTGCACAAAGTGATGCTGGCACTAGGGTACGATGAGTACGTCGTTCAAGGAGGCGATCTGGGATATCTGGTGGCGCGGTTCCTCACCATCAACTACGGCCCGAAGCACGTCAAAGCCCATCACCTCAACAATGTAGCACCCGCCGAGCCGACCGCTGATTCGCATCCCGAGCTCCATGCCCAAATGAAAGACTCGCAGCTCACCCCTGGAGAGCTTGCTGGACTAGGCCGCACCGAGTGGTTCTCGAAGGAAGGCAATGGATACTACAAGAAGCAAGCCACGAAGCCACAAACGGTCGGCTACTTCATGGCCGACAGTCCCGTCGGCTTACTGGCATGGCTCCTTGAGTGCCTGCATGACTGGGTGGACGACTACAAGTGGACCGACGACGAGATCCTCACCTGGGTCAGCATATACTACTTCTCCCGCGCCGGCCCCGCCGCGTCGAGCTACATCTACTACGCTATCGAGCATACTGAAGTGTCCCCCTTTGCGGTTGCACAGAAGTATTCAGAGGTACCGCTGGGCGTTTCTCGCTTCCCGCAGGATCTGATCTTGTTGCCGAAGCTCTGGACTCGCACTCTTGGCCCGGTCGTCTTCGAGAACGAGCATTCGAGGGGTGGCCACTTCGCATCGTGGGAGAGACCGGATGCTATCTTTGGTGATTTGCGAGCCATGTTTGGGAAGGACGGTGGTGCTTACGGTGTTGTGGCGGGCAAGACTGGCTATCACGCTTCGTAGTAGGCGTGCCGTGTGATCTGATTGTAGATTAATACTGCTACTGCAATGCTACTCACCTGATGGAGATAGAAGCACTAGGGAATCACTCCTCGATTTCGAGAACACAGGGTCGGCTCCTCCCTTCCGGTCGAAGAGCTTAGAAGAAAAGAGATCGATAACACAGGGTCTGAAGGAGGTCGTGACGTGCATGGCCAACTCCAGCGAGGATTGTCGAGTTGAGAATGTACCAGTGCTATGCCCGTTTACGTCGAGATGCGTTCCCAGCAACTCTGATGATACCCAAGCGCGGATCAGCTGCCTCGAGCACGCCATCAAACTCTGCTCAAGACTACTTCGCACCCAACGCCACCACCATGTAAAATCCACCTGGCGCAAATGTTGTTTTTCCATAGCGCATCGTTGTCCCCCTGTTAGAATCACTCAAGGTGCTAGTGAATCCGTGACGGTGATAGAACTCTAGTCCTTCACTTCGTCGTCTACTTGATATGCCATGAACTCGGCGGGCCTTGCGTGCGATAGTAAGTGGTGCGGTGGGCTACGCAGAGAAGACCAACGAAGCGGAAGCTAACTACATTGTGACAGTGTTATGATCTAGCGGCCGCATTTATTATGCTTTGTCCAAGAGATAACAGCCGCTCCTTCTTGAGCAAGTGAACATTAAGTTAACGCCACGCTTCTGGTGGTGCGTATAAAACAACTCTCTCTTTTCGAAACTTAAATCCATAATCATCAAATAAAAGCAGTCCTTCAGCTACCATCAAGCAGATTCTTCCCTACTGTAGAGACTTCATAAAGCATCCCAATCCCTACCACTGTCAGGCAAGAAGACTGTTTATACACCTACCGAAGATGGGGTCACATCTATCCATAAACCCCGAAGTCATGGCAGTCATAAGCGACGACACAGTCGACGCTACGACATGCGAAATCCCGGTGTCGATTGAGACATGTGGTTTCGTCTCAAACGGTGCCCTCTGTGGCGAGTAAGTCAAGCCCGGCCGCATCCCCACACTGCCTCTGCCAAATGTTGCTTCCTTAGATGTGGGCTGACCAGTATTCTAGATATCTCCGCGCCGGCGAAGATCTCGATGCAGTCGACCCCTACATCCGCACCCTTATCCGGTCCACCTGGACGCTTCAGCCATGCTCGAAGGACACGAAGCAGAGATACACAGCCGAGAAAGCGCACGTGGAAGCTGAAGGACAGATACTAGACGTAATCGTCGGAGTGGTCTTTGCAATGTACGCGCTGGCATGGATTATGGCGTGCTGCTGCGCCTGCCGGCACAGCAGCAAGAAACAGAAGCCGACGGACGTGGAGGCGGGAGCGTCAACTGGAGCACCTGAAGTTGCGGCACGGGAAACCACGTCGGCCAGTTCGACGCAAGAGGAAGAGAACCCCCCGAGCTACACTCAGTATGAATCTTTGGAGCTGCAAAAGGTTGCGAAATGGCGGGAATATGTGTCCCACGGTCCTGCAAAGAGTTGCTGTCACTAGAGTATGCATGCGGTTCAAGAGGATGAAGGAGGACCTAGCTCGCAGCTGAGCACTCCGGATCTCCCCGTGTGTCTCTTATGGTGAGACAGACGACAAGAATATCCATCGATTTTGGACAGCCAATTTTTGCAAGCTGACTACCGCAGGTCTGGAGATGACTCGCCAGACTTTGAGTATCGCGTTCAAAATGTCCCCATCTCACATGATTAGCAAGGTCCTCACCAAAAACAGGCGGTCTCCCCCCTCTCTGCAACCAAGGCTCTCTCACTATGGAAGTATTCACTGACATCCATTCGGGTGCCTAAAACCTCAATGGATACTGATTAAGCTTACAGCCAACTCTTACTGCTTGGGAGCGGACTTGGAGAGTTGACTTGGCAGATGATGTGCTGAATTATACGAACCAGTGGAAATCGACCATCTCACAAAGGATAACAAGGGAGAAAGATGGGAATTATGCACTTATTGTTGACTCAAAGTCGGAGCCATCTTCAGCAATACATGTACATAATCATCATTAAAGCAAACGTGTGCTTCATCAATGGACGGTAACCCGAAGGCCCCTAGCATCTGGCGCAGGGACACCAATAATCCTATCGTAACAGGGCTGGATATCCCGCCTCTCCGTCTCGTAAAGCCGCAGCTTAGGTCCATCGGCACGGAAAAGGGTAGAAATGCCAAGGGATAGCTCAGACATGGCGAGGCTGTTGCGCACCAGTCAGCAATGTGGCCTCTACATGGGTTACTGGGGAGCACTTACTTGATTCCTGCGCAGCCACGGGCACCTCTGCTGAAAGGGACCCAGTTTCGCTTCAGCAACGAGATGTCGTCCGCGAGCCAGCGCTCAGGACGGAACTCGAAAGGCTCGGGAAACACCTCCGGGTCGTTGTGCATGTAGTAGGTAGCGATGCCTATCGGGGTCTGTGGTGCTGATGGTCACTAATTGTGACCTGCAGCTGGGAGCTGGGGTACTCACGTTCTTGGGAATCACGTAGTCCTTGTACACCACGTCATCGTCGGGGAAACAGCGAGGTGTGCGTCGTATCGCTCCAGGTCCCATGCTGTAGGGTGTCATGTCAGCCAGCTTCGCATGCCCAAGAACTGAGGGATGACGTACCGTAGGCCTTCCTTCAGGCATGCCTGTAGGTAGGGAAGCCTCTCCAGATCGGTCAATTGGGGTACCTCAGTGGGAAAATTGACGGTTAGACCAGCGAGCTCCTGGCGCAGCTTGTTCTCTACACGGGGGTTAGAGAGAATGTGGTAGGTCGTGATAGTCAATGCCGTCCCTGGTGTACTGCCACCCGCACCCACTACGTTCATGAGCTCTTGAGCCAACCGGTCGGTCGATTTTTCCGATTGGGGCAGATCCTTGTCTAGCAGCATGTGTCGAAGCATTGAACTTCGCACATCCTTCAGAGCTGCTTCCATGCCGCGGTTTTGCTTCTTCGCAGTTTCGATGTGGTCGATCGCGTTCTACACGCAGCCATCTAGATCAGACAGTCTGTCATCCCAGAGGACAGGATTCTTACGCTTCGTAGTCGGGCACAAGTGCCACCGGCCGGATATAGCTTAAGGATTGCATCAGGCAGGATCCGTACCAACCTAGACAAACGACCTCATTAGCTCATGCGCTCACCTTGACAAGGCAGCCGGTTGGTAGGGTAGGGCTTACTTCATCAAGAACGGGAGGTGTACCGCGACAGGTTGCTGGTAGACAAGATTCATTGTCATGTTGTGCCTGGGTATCACCATTAGTTAGACAAGCACACGTAGCAATGAGAGCATGTTGAAAACTCACCACTCAGCCGACTTGCCAGCGTCCTCCACCATAGGCGCCTCATCTTCGTAGCAAATCGCAGCAATGATGTCTCGAGTGTAAGCCGCGAATGTGTCGTCCAGCTGGACGAACTCGCCTGTACCCTTGCACCGTGACATTCTTCTGTCAAGCGCCAGTGCTTCGTCCTGGATGATGGGCTGGACGCGCTGGGTCCCCACACGGTTGAAGAAACCCTCTATGGGCTTTCTTCTGCGGCGATGCAAGTCGTGTGAGCGAGTGCCGAAGTGAGACTCTGACGGGGTGTTACAATCCGTGGACAAAAGTCTCCGCCCGATCCCCATTTTTATCCCTTCCATCTACTACACCCTCCAATTCAATTGAATCACAACGCATCCAATCCTAGTGATAAAATTCTCAAATAAATTGTATTTAATAGCTAAATCAATAGTGTGTATACCAACTACCGGCGCGCCTTACTGCAGCCATTCGGTTCTCCAGTGACTCCATCAAGACCCGAACCTGCTCCGGATCGATCTCCGACCACGCCTGCTCAATTAACTCGTGTGCGTAGCAATAATGGGGGATATTGTCCTTCAATTCCGAAAATTCAGGCTCGATTTCATGTATCTTCTTCTTCAAAAGTCGCCAAACATGCTCCATTGGGTTCATATCGGGGCTGTGAGGAGGCCAGTCGATACAGTGGATGCCGTGCTCCTCCCTCCACTCCGGAACACCGTCAGTGAGGTGAATTTTCGCGTTATCTTAAACAAAAGGATCTCCAGCCTCGTAGAACGGAAGTAGGCCTTCCTCAAGAACCCATTTATATGACTCTGCGGATACTCCTCCGCGCAGAGCATCCGGATCGAGTGGGCAGAAGACCAACTTGCCTAGTCCTCCTTCTCCGCCACGTAGCCAGATCATAGACCACACCATTATCGAAATACGAGATTTGCCGTGATCCGTCTCGTTCACGAGATCATAACGATACCACTCTGAAGAGAATCGGATGGCCCAATCGCCTGGATTATCGGATGAGTTTTGGACCGTACATTCGTCTGAGAACATGGCTCGCAACAACTCCTTTAGGCGCTCTGGTGTGCTGTAATAATTGGCGAAAGCGAGCCTCTTCTGAGCGTCCTTATCCGTGAGCTTGATTCGCTTTGCTGCGTGCCACTTCTAGAGGCCGTGTGCGTGACATATCCTCTTGATAGCCTTGGGAGAGCACGAAACGCGGGCTTCGTTTCGGATCTTCTGCCACGTCGCCCTGGGGAGCTCTCTCGCCTTCTCGATCACACGAGCGCGTTCGCGAGTGTTCAAAACGGGTCTAAACCTGGCGAAAAGTTCGTAAGCCACCAGGGCCGCTTCACCGTCGAGAACTGTGATAAGGAGGAGGACCGGAGGGAACTCGAGAAGACAGTCGGCGCCATAGCCCGAAAACTCAAGGTTTACCAGCCTTCTGTATTCCTCGACACGCCTGACGATTACTGTCAACAGATGTTCTCATATACAAGTTCAAAAGCCTCGCGCCGCAGAGACTCCAAGGAAGGTTCAGTACAAATGGCCACGTTCGAAACCTTGGGGTTATTTTTTGGTGGTAAGAACGTGGCAGATCTATTTGGGGAGTTGGGTCCCGTGGGGGACTGCGACGCAAAGGACCCAGGTCTTTTTGAGTGAGGGGAACCAGGTGGAATTTCCAGTCGTCTCTCTGGCAGGGGGGGCAAGAGTCACATGTGACGATAGTGTACAGTACGTAGACTAAGGCGTTCAAGGAAACAGGCACATTTGACTTTACGAGTACGATAGCGATATAGCAGAATAAGAACCGCACGCTATTCCATTGAGCACAGTCGAGCTCAGCCGCTCCACACAGCCGGTCCCGGTGGGATGTAGGCGTCCGGTTGAAGAGTTTGCAGGTTCACCAGAATGCCTGGGTCACTGCTCTTGTACGCCCCGGAGAACGATGCGAGAGGGCCCGGCGTGCCACTTCCACCACCAGTGATTGTGATCTGGGAGCAAACTAGATAGAACTGGGCCTTGTTGGCTTGCATGGCCATGTGCAGGGCGATGTGCTCCACGCGGAGGAGGTATTCGCCGTCTGGGGTGCCTGCCGAGATCGTCGCGTTCGTAGTCTTGTACTCGTCTGGACAAGTTGTGACTTGTTAGCCTGATTTCTGGATGCGTGGCAGGGGCCACATACTCTGCCCAGGCCAGACGAGCTGCTTGTTCTGGTCCATGGCGGGCATCTCGGTGTGGAATTTGAACCACACCGCACCGGCACCGTCCCAGGTCGCCGCCGTCGAACCAACCGGCACTTTGGCAAGGTAATCGCTTGCATGAAATGCCCCCGATTTTTGACCCGGAGTGAAAAGGGGCAGAAACGGCGCGAAAATGCTGGAAATTGGGGGTTTCGGGAGGGTGCTCGAAAATGGTGGTTCGGAGGGGGAGGAGGTCGAAGGGGGGGGTGGCGGAATAGGGGGTGGGGCTGGGATTAACAGCCTAGTCATACAGGTATTACTCGTATATATAAAGAGTTTTGATAAATCGACTGTGTCCAAATCGATGTGTCCAGGCTGTCAGCTGCTAGAGCGGGGTGACAGCCTTTTGGGCACACCACATCTGGACAGAGATACAGGTCATTTGGTGGAGATGCCACCCAATTGCTGGTAGCAACGTCGCGCAGCCATGCGATCGATAGGCCAGATGCCGTGACCATTCCAAATCGTCCTAGATGGATTAGATGGACAAGATATACCTTCTGACAGTCGTGCATCCCACTTAATTGCAGGTATCGTTGTCGCACGAGGCCGCTTGAGATGGGCACACCACCTTTTGAGATGGGCACACCACATCTGAGTTGAGCACACCACGAATATCAGTTGAGCACACCACACCTGATGAGATGGGCACACCACATCCAGCCAGTTGGGCACACCACATCCAGACAGATGGACCGTCAGATGGCTGACAACTGGGTGCAGTTTCCGGTAAAACTGTGGCGCGGCCATGCCGTCACCTTGCTATCAAAGGACCAGATGGAGGACCAGATGGAGGACCAGAAGGAATAGACCAGATGGACAGAGATACCTTGGGTTGAGTGTGCGTTGAAGGCGGTGGCAGGTATCACGGTCGCAAGGCACCGCCGCCATCTGAACAGCCAGATGAACAGCCAGATGAACAGCCAGATGAATAGCATGACGATGGACCAGATGGACAGGAATACCTCGGAACGCCTTGGAATAGCTGTATATTAATGTAGTTGCAGGTATCACGGTCGCAACGCACCGTCAGGTCTAGCAGCTACCAGAACAACCAGTTGACCAGCCAGTTGCACAGCCAGCCAGTTGAGCGACTGTCAACCGAATGGACTAGTTAGACCATCAGATGGACCAGATGGACAGAAATACCGTGGAATTACTGGTATTACTGTCGCAAGGCACCGCTGGCAGATGTGGTGTGCCCAACTCCCTAACTGTCAGATTTGAGCCAATCGTGAGGTTGAAGTGTGTGTGTGTATTCTGTGTGTCTGGAGTGTTGTTGTGCGACCGTGGCAGTTTTGTGCCAGAGGGGGCTGGATCGGGACGGAACAACTAGGTTCCGGTGTCTACCTATCAAGGTGCCCTCTGTGCTCACCTTTAATCCAACACTAACAGCTGTCAATTGGACACAGTGGGCTAGCCACCTATTTGGACACAGTCGATTTATTAAAACTTTATATAAAACATTATGTTCCTAATAAAGGGTTGAGAAGTATCACGGGAATACAATATATTTAACAAGTTTAAAATGATTAACTATAGTAGAAACTACACCTAAACATCCCCATATAAGCCTCTAAAGATACCTCTTCTGGCTTATCCGATCCCAAGTGCTCCCTTGCTCTCTTACCATCCCAAACCCTAAACCTACGCACCCATTTCGTCCCGTATAAATAACAGCATTATTAAAGCGACATTTTCCCGATTAAAAAAAATTAAATATTATACATTAGCTTTTAAGTTAATAAACCTAGTACGAAGTACTTCCGGAACGGTTTTATTAAGCATAAATGTATCGTTGTCACGGAACAGCTGGCAGCTCAGGACGAAGATGCTCATCTATTACTCCAGATGAATAAGAATCTACTGGTGAGGAGGGAAGAAGGATCAGAACCACCAGCCAATTCTGGTGGGGGATTAGATCTTCAATCCCGCTCCATAATTATCTACAGTGAGTGCAGCGGGGCAACGCGTCCACCCCACCAGATCACCTGATGAGCGCACGTACCACCGTGAATAGATGGATGGATGTTAGATCCATCACAATCGTAACATATAATATATTTTTTATTATCGTTTGATTTCTTATTAGTAGAGATTTCGTATGTTACTTGCATTATAAGTAGTTCTTACAATTTTATAACGTAAAAAAGCTTATTAATCGTTAACTAATGGACATTTAACCGTTCAAAACTAAGCAAAGTCTTAGAACCTTTTTTATCTTAACCTCCCTTATTATATGTGATAAAAACAGGTTTAGAATTAAAGTCCATGCTAAGCTTCCAGGTATAATTATATAAAAAAAGCTTTTATTTTACCGAATTTTTTTAAGTTTACATGTATATAAAAGCCTTTTAAATACGACTTTTTTAATTAATTACTTACGTTTTTTAATATTAATTAGAATATTAATTCTTTAAAATTGTAGCTATTATAGTTGATAACAAAAAACAAGTACTCTTTAAAGCCGTTTGTGATTTATAATAAAATAGATAAAAAAACTAAACGCTTATTACCAATCTCCTTTTTTCATAAGCCTATTTTAAATTTATACATAAAGCAAATTATTTCCTTTTATAAATATTCCGCTAAAGATTTATTAACGCCGGCATTTAAACTTTTGACAAAGTAAAAAGCATACATTTTCATACGCTTTAAAGTTTATTTGCAGCTATATTTTTTAATCTTTGCTAATATCTTTTATATTTATTATAACTGTCTTTTTAACGAGCTTTCTATTACTATTCAAATATCTCTGTTTATATCTTAACTTCTCGGTCGTATTACTATTATAATTAAACACGTTTTCTTAAAGTAAGCAACTAAAATAAGGGTGCGCTAAATAAACGGAAAATAAGCGAGAGTGTAGGAACAGGCTTGAACGATCAATCATAATACTCGAGTATGGGGTCAAGGTCATGATGTTGCTGATGGTTGGATTGGGAGGTCTAGCTGGACTTGCAGGTCTGGCTAAGTGTCCTCACAATCCGGTATCTAATCTCTTATCTAATCATACATGTGGATCCGGTATGAATGGTTTGAAGGTTGGAATCGCATGGATCCAACACTTTTTATATTGAAAGGCTTTCAACCTATCGTTAGCTTTTTTGAAGAGGGCTTTTAACTTCTTTATTATTAATGTAGTAAAAGGGTCGTCCATATATATCAAAAAAAAAAGTTATTTAAATTTGTAATAATAATTCGAAGAAGTACGTTCAAATTAAAAAAAATCATTATGATATTATGTATTATAAATCGCTTATATAAGGCTTGATTAAGCTTTAAAAACAACGATATATTAAGAAAGTTTTAAAACGGCTAATTATAGTAACATTTACACTTAAATACCTTTGTATAAATCTTTAAATAATCTTAAAAATAATCGAATTTTATACTTATTTAACTTATATACACTATTGAATATTAATTTAATTGAATCTTTCGATTATAAGTCAACTTATAATTTTTTTTTAATAATTTAACTTTATGAGTCTAAATCATAAAGTTTGATAAGTTTTTCTATTAACATAGATAACAAGCGAGCGGCAATTACAAGCGAATGGCAACTTCTTATTAACCTTTCAACCAACATGTCAAATAACTCAATCTTTAATAATATTAGCTATATTTTAAGTGGTGTTTATTATAGTTTATAAAATAGCTAGCCGTTTTTAAACTCTTTTAATATCGTATTTACTGCTATTATTTATTCTGAGTTCTTTTTATTAACGTAAGTAGCTTATGTATAAGAAAGAGCATTACTAGCTTTAAGTGGCTTCTTATCGATGTTATTTCTTATAAAGCTATAAGTAGAAATAGCTAGTGCTTTAATTTTTACACGCAAGCCATTTGTGCTAGCAAGAGGGACTCAGAATAAATGGTAGTGGTAAATACGGCATATTGTCGTTCTTATAGCCTGACCAGACCCTCATTAAGCGACCTGTAACATCTGTAAATTAATTATAAATTGAGGGATATAAGAACAACATTCAAAGTAAACCTCGAATGGACGCCTGGGGGCTTGATATATGACTAAGGCAAGATCGAATATTGTTGAATACAGGGATGTTGATGGATTGTGTTGATTGTTCTGCTCTGCTTCTTCAGTGTACAGAGATTGATCATCTGTCTTCTTGGTGGGTCAGATGCCCTGTGCGTCTCTGCCCCACTGGAGATCTTCCGGTGTCTATCTCCGGCTCCCATTCAACACATTCGTGCTAGTATCTAACAAATATCTACGCGAAAGCGAAACGGGGCATCCCACAACCTGTTATGACTGCCCAGGTGGCCGCAAGGATGCGCTTGTATGGTGCGTAATTACACTGACCGGCTCGCAGCATTCTCGAGAGTCTGTGCCCTGAAATGCCCTGTATTCAAGTTGCATCAATCGCTGACGCCCAAGACATTGCAGGAACCCGGTGCAGCTGAGCTTCACCAAATCCTATCTTACGCCGTGGAAGGTCTCCAAACAGTGAGACGGGACCAACAAGTCCCGTCCTCTTCTCTGCCGTTCTAGGCTGATCTGTTGTTTGTTCCATCCCGCGACTTCGAAGTAGACGTATCATGAGGACTAAACAAACAACAGCCGATGCGGTTTGTTTGCATTTTGTCATCAGTCATAGTTGGATTGGTTTGCCATGGCAAGATTGTTTGAACCAAGCTCAATCGTGAAGCTCGTCTTCCAAGCCTCCAAGCATCAACTGGGCATCGCTAATACAGCCAAGGGATGTCAATAGGGGGCAGAGGTTTTATGACAGCAGAGGTGGAGATGGAACATGTTTACAGTATTGTACAAAATACACCTGTACACCATATGTCTTGATGTCATGCGAGTATTTATCAAGGTGACCAACACATGTACCAATTTTGATCCAGCCAGCATGTAACCAGCAAACAACAAAGATGGCCACGCCCCAACGCCTGCGCGGTGCATCCAAGCCTCTACTCTACCCAGTCCACAAACCTCTCCTCGCCCCGCCTGACCAGCCGCACCGGCACATGAGCATCGCCTTTCAGCTTCAGTGTGATCAGACTGGAAGCCTCGCGCAGCGTCTGCCTCGACCTCCGCGTCGCCCTCTGGTACAAATCGGCCTTCTCCTGCCGGCTCATGCGCGCGATCTCCTCGTCGCTCGCCCAGTCGTCGACCGCGTTCTCGATGCTGTACTTCTGGAATATGACGGCCAGCGCCGCGATGATCTCCACCTGCGCGATCCGCCGCCCCAGGCACGACCGCGCCCCGTCCGAAAAGGGGATGTACGACCCTCGTACGGGATGGAACATGGACGCGCTGGTGTCCGGGCCCGCGTAGCCTCCAAAATCTTCCGTGTCGGCACCCTCCACGGATGTGACGTCGTTAAAGCTGGGTCTGAACCAGCGGTCCGGTACCCAATCGTCCAGGTCGTGGGGGCAGTCCCGAATCTTGCTGGGCTTTCCGGGCCAGAACCGCGGGTTCCTGTGCACTGAAGATACGATCATCCCGATGTACATATTCCGTGGTAGGGTGTGCTTCTGGTCATTTATCGTGACGGTCTGGTCATAAGTTGGCGACACCTTCTTCGGGACTTCGACCACTGGCGGCATCACCCGCAAAGTCTCGTTCATAGCAGCTCCGATCGTTGAGGCCATCATCGCGTTGACGCTCTGATCATAGTCCCACGTACTGGGATCAGTGCCACCCAATATCGTGTCAACGTCCTTCTGCAACCGACGTTGCGCAGCTGGGTTGTTCGCCAGCTCGAGAAGGGTGAAATGAATGACGTTGGCGCTCGTCTCGTGCCCGGCAAGGAACATGATGAAGGCGTTGCCGATGATCTCAGAGTCTTTGAGATGGGCGCCCTTGCCAACCTTGGTTTTGGATTGCTCGTCCTGATATGATGTCGCGACAAGCGAGCCCATGATGTCCATACCTACCTCCTTGTCACCTTGACGGACGTCCTCTGCCTTGTCCCGCAGAAACTCTTTCATATACTGCGTGTAGTTATCTCGGGCCTCCCTTGACAACTTCAAGATTTTGATTGGGAGGTAGTCTAGTTTCACGTCAGCACGGGTTGACTTGCACGGCGATGAGACTCTTTACCTATGATCAAGGTAGGTGTCATCAGTAGCACCAAAAGGTACTTCAACGTTCTGGCGATCGACTCCTTGAAGCTTATTGTGTGTCCGGCCGGAACGTCGAGGCTCACATACTTGCTCATCTTGGGATCCGCGTCCCCCGGCAAAGTCTGGCCAGGCCAGAGCATTCGCAAGCCGAACCCGACGTACCCAATAATGTTCAGAGCAAGTGTCATGGTATCTTCCTCCATCGATTTGATCTTCTGGGTCGTATCGCGGCGTATCCAGTAATCGACCATGCCTTGCGCTTGTTCGATTGCCACCTTGAACACCATAGCCGAATTCCTCTCGTTGAACGAAGCAGACGTGACTTTGCGGTGCATGCGCCATATAGTCCCCTCGGTGGTGACGACGTTTTCTCCAAACATGGTAAGAATGCCGTACGTCTCGGTAGGTTTCGGGAAGGCTTCGCGTCGGGAGGTCATCTGATGAATGACTTCGGCACTGTCGGTGTACATCATCATGCGGCTGGGTGTCGCGATTACGAAAGTTTCCCCCATCTTTTCAAACGGCGCATGGAGCTTCTTGTGTTGCCAATCGGGTGAGCACACGCTACCATGCTGGTCAGGTTCTTCCATCCAGCTGTCAAGTTCGGTTGAGTGGACTGGGCTTACTCGACGACATCTTCCCAGTACTTCTTGGGCACTACTAGTTTCCATATAGCAATCCAGACAGGCGCCGTAAGCTGAGCAATCGGAGTTATAGGGTTCACAGCTAGGACAGATAAGCCTCACAGATTAGTGTCTAGACACGGCGTCGTAACTTACGAACAACGAAGTAGCGTAGTCCGCTGGCTTTCGCAAGCGCGATATTCGTGTAGAGACCGGAGGCGGTCCTGTACAGCACCCATGCGGCAACGGCGCCGATGAGCATTAAGACCGAGGAGATCATAATGACAGTGCTTTTCGATGCTTCCAATCGTTACTTCGGTGTTCCGAAGCGACCCAACAGCCGTTTTGTAGGTCGTTATGTGGTGTTTCAACGCTCACAGACCCTCGGGAATAAAGCTGGTGGCGTCGACGATCGTCCCGTTACCGTTTGATGATGAATGCCACTGGAAGCAGTTGAGAGAGCGCGAGCTTTCGCAGACACACCAAAACTAGATATCGACACATTTCGCGGCTAAAGAAGAAAAGAACCAAGGGACTGCGGCGACCTTCGTACACAAAATCCCACCCCCCGTGAGGCGTCCCCCTCCATGGTAGTGTTTCGGATAGTGATGATGCCGAGACGACGACCCTTTGGCGGGACCATGACTGGAGCGCACGTCGACGAATGACGCTATGCCCATCTTGACCAACGCCGTCCTAGCTACTGTAGGTAGGGACCTCGGCAGGGGAGTCTAAAACAGGGGCCAGGGAGGGGCGAAGCGTTCGATGCCAAGACCATGAGAATATATCCAAAATCCAGTGTCTATTGAGTGCTTGTGCCCTTCTTGAAGTGGGAATTCAATATTCGAAGGGAAAATGAGTCGAAGGGATGAAGGTGGTCGGGTTCAAGTCCTTGAAACCCCCAAAGCTCGGTACTACCTGGGCATTTTGGCCGGGTTTACACACATAGACCCGCTACAGAATTCACGAACACATTACATACCTAAGGTGCATACATGTATTGGACATATCTGCAGACCCAGACATGTTGATTGGCTTGCTACATACATACAACTAGCTCATAGCTTGATAGAGAGGTTCCAAGAATCCAAGGCCACGGCGATGGAGGTCAGCACGGCAGCATAACCAACCAAGATCCCCATCGCGCCTATTGGACCGACATCCAACGTGGGTACTGTCATATTGACCAAACCTGTCATTAGGTTTGCGACGAGGAAGATGGCCAGACCATTCCTGTTGTAAGAGCGCAACACTCTACTGGTTGCGATCTCATATGCCTCTTGCTCTGTTCTCGTATCTGCAGCATTGTAGAACATCGGGAAGAAGATGCTCTCTACGATACAGCATCCCAGGAGCAGTGCCGTGTTGAACGCGGCAATCCAGAGGATGTATGGCAGATTGGCCAGACGGCGGGAAACGTCCAGTCCCGCGCCGTAAGGGTAGTTGGTGGTGAGGAAGTAGAGTGCTGTCCATATGGCGGACCAGATGGCCATGGTCAGCAGCAGTGTCGCTCGTTGACGGCTGTTGCTGGATCCACTGCGCGAGCTGATGCTCCTGGGCAAAACGAACATGCCAGTGTCTTGTCCAGCGAGGAATATGGCCAGATAGCCCAAGAAGCTGCAGATGCCTTCTCTGTTCATGGAGAGTAGGTCTGTTCGCGGTGCTATCAGAATGAAGGCCTTGAGAGAGGTGGTCTCCAAGACGTATTGGTAGATGACCCCCAGCATAATGGCCAATGCTGCATAAGAGGGGATGACCTTCAGCGCCGACTGGAATATGGCCACAAAAGGGGGTAAGAACCCCAGAGTGAAGAAGAAGTTCCAGTGTACTCCATACTCCGTCACGTGTTCAGCGTAGTCAAGCCCCTTGACACTTAGAAGGCGAATGACACCGAGGACCAGCAGAGGGAAGGAGTGTCGCATCGAATATAGCAATCTTTGGTGCAGAGGGGTGGTGCGACCATCAGCTCTTTCTTTCAGCACAGGTCGCGCAGCCACGACTCCAGCTGAGAATACGAATGAGCCGACACCTACGTCCATCAGAGAGGTGCCCCATGTTTCAACCTTTGCAAACCGCCGAGGGAATATCCTGAAGTCGACTGCTAGTATCGCTAGACATGTCAAGATCAGCATAGACCCCCGGTACGTGGTCAGAAAGGGCTTTGTAGACAAGACACCCTGTTGCCCGGGCGACTTCTGAACTTGGGTACTCGGGGGTAGCTTGGGCTTCTTCCTCGATATGGGTGGGTTCGGAGGGAGGGCATAGACGAAGATGGCTGGAACCAGGAACAAGCCACAGAGGAGCAGCGGCGTATCAGAATAGAGCGTTATAGCGAGAAGTGGAGCGACGACGTTGAGGAGGAAATCGACCAGGAAGCTAAAGTGCCTGTACGGTTTGAAGAAGGACTGGCGTGATTGCAGGACGGACCAGAGGAGGAAGGCAATCTAGAAAGAGCCAGTCAGTTGGCCAGTCGTTCAGATCAGAAGGCTTTGGGACTGGTCGCATACCGGTCCAACCGCGGTCACATAGTTGATCTCGGCAACAGGACCCCCTGAGAGGTTGGACACGAAGTCCTCCTTCATCTGCTTGTAAGTGGTCGAATTGGATCCCATCGTGACTTGGTCGCTCCAGACGACGACGACGACGACGATGGAGTGTGAAAGGGGAGGCAGATGGCGCGATATCAATCGACGATGGGCATTGCGCCAAATAAGAAGGGCGAGCCGAGTGTTTGAACAGATCGCAGCCTTGGAAGCCGAGATGCGATGTGTTGTTCAGACGTGTCAACAAGCTCAAGGCCCGTCAGCCTTGTCGTTGTGTCGCAAACCAACTTTTGCGAAAGGGGACAGTTGAGCTCTCAAGGCTGTGCCCGCTACGGAGGACCCCTGAATGAAACCGTGGGTGGACGGACTCAGGTGGGGTACAGCTAAGCCATCGGGGCCGGGGTTTTTAGTGGCCGTTATGCCGTTGCAACTTGCAGGTGTCTCAGAATCACGTGGGGCCACCGGACTTACCTCTTGTGTGCGTTTTCAACTTCAACTTCCACAACTTCAAACTTCCAAAACCAAATGGACAACCGAAGCTGGGCTGATGGTTTGACGCCTCGCCTCCGAACTCTCCCGGGATTCCAGAGGTCTGACAGATCAAAAGTGACCAACAAAGGCGAGACATTCAAGTACAAACGCTTGTGGATCACATATCCTCACACAATCTGAGGCGTGGCAAACATGGACTTCTTTGTCTGCCAGCATGCCGAGGGGGGGGGAGAATTTGTGTTTTTCTAAAACACCGTCTCCCTTATGCAGCTCACCTTTCTCGATTCTTCGCATAAGCCGAAGCAGCTATGGAGTCGGTCTCTTTGTCTCCTGTGTGGGACGAGTCGCCAAAGGACGGCTCGCTGCTTCACACCAACGCCCGTGCTGCCAACCATTCTTTCTCCTCTGTCACGAGCTCTGCAATGCACCGTAGGTTGTCTCTTGTCATCTTGACATATTTCGCAAGGACAATCGTGATGGCTGAGCCTTTGAACTCACTTGCCCCCTTCTTTCAGAAGGCGGAGCAAAAAGGAGTGCTCACAAAAGAGTTGTCGCCGTTTGTCTGTTCACACTAGTTTCCAATATCAGGACGCCAGGGTCCCATGGATTGGTAGGTGAACACTCTCTTGTTCAGTTACACAACCTTCGTTCACAATTCAAGTTTTGTTTGAACGCCCTGGCCAAGTAGCCTACACACTTTCATCCATTTCCCAACACCCAAGCCCAATGCTGAGCGATGTGAACATCTCGAGACGCCCAAGTCTTGAGCCGATATGGACCACCTACCACAACCTCGATGGCATGCCCAAGACAGCCTTTCGGCCAAATCAGAGCCCCATGTTGTCCCCTTCTCCCATGTCTCCGAAGACACTTCCGAGTCCAATGTACCCGTCCTCCTATGATGGGTCAATGCGGAGACAGCAAGATCGAGCTTTGGTGAACAGCCTCGATCAGACAAACAGACTTCCAAGTTTGTCAAGTCCGATAACACTGGCCACCATCGAGGAGCAGTCGCCCTTGGTTTCAAGGCTCGAGAAAATCAGCATCTTGCCTCCCATCGACTTTTCCATGAAGCACGGCCTACCGACTCCAGCTTCGCCCGAGTTGTCGCCCCCGAGAGAACTCCCTCGCACTCCCGAGGTCGCAAGGCCAGCTCCTATTCGGGGTCTATTAGAGCTTTCTGCTCACGGAAGCAACCACCCTGCTGCTGGTCATTATGTTCCGATATCCCCAGTCTCTCCACCAACGCCACGAAAAGACTCGACTGTTCAACCGCGCGACCAGCTTCAAAAATGGGGGCACGTCAACTACGGCAATGCAAAGACAGCCGACGCATTCGTAATCGCCAGATCCCTCCGCCGGCACAGTAACACCATGACAGAGGCCTCCCACTTCACTTCATCACAGTCCACATTCCAATCACCCAAGCTAAGAGCGCCGAACCGCCTGACGGTTCGCGCCATCATCCGTCCCCGAGCCGTGGAGAGACAGGCCTTCCTAATCCAGCGCAACTTCGACATCGACCAGCTCCGAGCTACAGTTCCAGACCCGCCCACACCACAGAGCGCGCGATCCACCAGCAGCAGCGAGGCATATCCCAGCCCGTCTGCGCTTGCCATCCGCAGTTCGCCCCTACTCGGTTCGCTGATGAGACGTCCAAGCAGCGCTCGATCCGCAAGTGTGCTCTCGTCGCGCGACCTGCGATCCGCCCACGACCACGAGAGCCTCATACGCGACGCCAAGGCTGTGCCGATCCGTGAGTTTCTGACCTCTCCCTATCTACCTACCTACCTGCAATTCTGACAGCCTGACTGACGGTTCTAACTGTGTCCAGACTTGAATTATATGCGCGCATGCCTGCCCGTGCTCGCAGTGCTGCTGGTGTCGGGTCATGTCCGCGAGGGCGACGTCATCTACCTGCCCATGGCGCACGCCGAGGCCTGGCCCCAGACACTGCGCTATGTGTACACGGGGCAGGGCGAGCTTACACAGGCTATGAGCGAGAACATCCTGTACCTGGGCGGCAAGGTCTAGGCTTAGACTTAGGCTTAAGCATCGATACAGGGCTGGAACATAGGCGGGCGGACGTGTTTATCTTCGCTGTGTCCATACTTTGAGCCAATCGAGAACGTTACATAGTTAGACATGGTAAAGAGTAAGCTGGGTGGGTTTCAATGTATGTATGTATTACCTTGCGTTACACATAAGTGGATGGATGGTTGGATGATGGATGGACCATGATGAATGTCTGAACGAATTGTATGGATCTCATGTTAGCGGACTTGCCGATGGATAGTTAGGAGGCTTACGTAGGTTAAACATATGCCTGGTACAAAGTTCTATAAGCTCTTCATTTGCGCAGTCACTCTTGTAATTGCGTGTCTACTTATTGTCTCTGGCAAGCACTGCTTGCTTACTTCTGCCAGGCAATCTCATGCTCACATAATTACACTCAGCCCTTGTAAGTCTCCGTACGAGCATGTTGGGAAAATACCAGATTACCTTACCAACGGGATATTTTTTCAAATCTTGAAATCTGCATACGGGAATAAGCAGCTTGAATTTCATACACTACTCTTAATGCTCATTCCAGTGTGGTAGATTTACCCTTGCTTGCTGAGACGGGTGGCATACAGAGACTTATCAGGGTTTAGTGTACCGCCTGGGATTGTCGTCGTAACTTGGAACACTTGGAACTGTCAGATATACGCTCTGCTATACGGACGTTACCACACACGTAAGTGACAGGGTTTGCAAACGTCGTTCATGTATATACTAATAACTCGTCATATACGTAGACTCTTCAGGTATAGACACAGAAGCATTCGACAGGATCACACTATAGACAATCAATCAAATACCTCCTCAGGGTCCCCATTGCCGTGTGCTTCTAGATGTTCTGAACAGCATGGAAGCCCAGTGTCTTAATTCAATTTCTCACATAATGCTATTCGTGCCTAACGCCTAACGCCACCCTTTCTTACCCTATTCCAATGCTCTATATCATGGATGTGTCTGAAAAACCTGGAAGGCAAACGAAAGCCACATAAGTCCCATGTCTCTCTCCAGAGGCCAAGAAGCCAAAGATCTCAGAACTCACAAACTCGATAACACGCATGGGGTTGGTATTCTCGATTCCGAAGTCGGTACGACACTATAACGCAATGAGTTTTATACGGGGTATGATACAAACAATCTCTTCTTCCGCTCCATCGGGCCTAGCCGTCCATGCTCATCCACGCAAACGCCGACAGCGCACCCGTAATGACTATCGCCGTCAGGATGCCCGCGCCGGCTTTGTCGCCCACCGTGATGGCCGCCAGCTGCGGCATAACAGGGGCGTTGGACCCGGCGTTGACGTTGCCCTGGGAGGTACCGCCGGTGGAGTTGGTCAGCGGGGCGGCCACCCCAGGTATCAGGAGAGCCGTGAGGGCGCCCAAGACGTCCATCTGCTGGCCGGCGCCGGTAGCACCGTCATAGACACCTGATGTCCAGTGGAAGCCGCACATGCGGCCGTTGTCGCCGCCCGTGCACTGGTTGACGGCCGACTGGGCCGATGTCTTCAGCACCGGGTAGAGCTTGTCGTGCAGGTACGACGCTAGCTGAATGGAGTTGCCCATCCACCGATGTAGGTAACCCTTGTACGATTCCATGTCCGTGTTGCATTTGGTCGACTCGCACGAAGGCTCAAAGGCTGTGCCGTTCGGGAAGAAGACCTCGAGAATGCGAGTACTCAGGCCGTCGAGGGCCTCTTTCCATTCTGCGCCGCCTTCGGTCTGAAGGAATGACGATGTTAGCATGGTTTTCTGTGCGTGAGGCTAGGTAGAGCAAGCCATAGCGGGACATTTTGAGGTAACTGTCTGGCCTTTCGTATCATGTAGCAGAGTTTGCCCGAATGGGCACACTTCAGACTTGGGCTTATGACAGGGGTCGATAACGTACGTGGTTGTACATGAAGGCGGCGCCCTGCAACAGCATGCCCGCATTGTACGAAAACTGCGCCTTGTTGATATCAGTGCAGTCGGGCAAATGCGCGCCATCGTAGACGTCCCACTCGGTGGAGATGTATCCCAGCCTCTTGATTAAGTCAAACGTCTTGGTCGCCAAATCGCCGTAGGTCGAGTTACCCGTGTAGCGTGCGAGGCGGGCGCCGACGTTGAAGTAGCATGAGTTGGCGACGGCTGTGTCTCGTGTTAGTCACCATGCTTGCACTGCCACGGGACAGCTGCCCACTTACTGTTGATATAGTTGTAGCCGTTGTTGGACGGATAGACCTGCCACCTCAATCCCCACTCGCAGTTTCCGCTCGGTGCTCGTCGGTCATCGTGCGTCTGCTCGTTGAAGACGGCTTGAGCTAGGGCCAGCCATTGCGCCTGGTCCGGGGGCGGATCGGTGTATCCTATCTCGGTGGCCAGCATGGCGGAGAAGGCCCAGAAAGACTGATCATCGTTGCCCATGGAGGCGGTCCAGTTGGGCGGCATGAAGTCCTTGTCGGGGCCGACCTGGAAGAGGAGGGCGGTTGTGATCAAGTCGTCGAACTGGGTGTCGCCCGAGGCATGTCGGTAGTCCAGCAGCGCACCCCACATGGCACCTCCTTGCCACCAGTAGTAATCGCCATCCGGGGGAGGGCCAGGCAGGATACCTGGGACCCAGCCGGGTTCGTCGCCGTGGTAGAAGGTGAGGAGGTCTTTGGCGACGAGCGCAGCCGCGGCCTTGATGGATGCTAAAGGAGCGGGCGGGTCAGTAATCAGTCTTGATGATGCGACACCTGTATGGCTGGACCAACCTGGGTCATCGAGGTTTACCTCGAGGGCTCCGAAAGCTGTGCTGGCGAACAGACCGAAGGTGGCCAGCAGCGGCGATAATATGCGCAGCATGGTGATTGATGTGTGCGTACTTAACCTAGAAGAAAGGATGGAACAAATCCAAAGAGAAGTGAAATCAATCAAGCAAGCGACCGATTCATGGGCGGAACTGCGCGATGTCGGCAGACAGTTGACGGGCTGACTGGTTGGTAGAGAATGAGCGGTATACCGGCGACAGAGGACGGAGGACGATGGTTGATCAATGATAGTGGGAAGTCGCAATCGACGTCGATGGTGTTGACACTTGAGACGGAGAACGAATGGACGGTAGTGGCACCGAGAGGGGGCAAAACAAGAATTCAGGAGAGACAGAGAGAGTAGTAGCTGCACCGCTGCACGGCTGCACGGGTACCAGGCGAACTCAAAAGAGGAGATGCATCCTGGGCAAACGTTGCCCAGACCGAAATAGTCGCTTGCACGTCGTGGAGATTGGAGATTGGATATTGCAGACCTGTCATACATGGGTACCTTTTATGACGAGACACCTGCACAGCCTCATTGCCCAGCTTTGAAGGTTGCAAGAATGAGAATGGCAGCCAACCGTCAACCGCCTTTACTCCCTTCCAAGGTTTGTGTTGGAACCCGAGCGTCTGGGACGTCCGGATACACAAGGCACCTACTGTACATTGAGGTGATGTGAGAAGTCATCGATGACATCTCAAGATGCCGCTGATGATTGATTACCTTACCTTTGTATGTGGTTGGTAGGTATTGTTTTTATAACCAGGCTTACCCCTTCCTGTCCTTTGAGCCATCCCGCATGCCCGCAAAAAGAGATCAGGAACAGCCTAGGCCCCAGGGACCGCTGCGGAGATGTGGCGGGCCTGCATAACCGTATTTATGATTCTATGCAAGGTACCCCTGAAAATCTTGGCGGCTAGCTGCCAAGCGCGGCTAGCCTCACCACCGACTAGTGCCGAGATGCCCAGCTGTTTTATATTATTAATGATAACAAGATGCATGATGGCGATTGCCACATCTCAGAACATGTCGGAGAACCGTTTTGGCGTGTCTTCAAATGGGTGTAACTGAACAGTGAAAGTGGGTTTGTCTGGAGGCTACCTCCGGCACCCGGCACCCGGCACCTCGGCTATCTTGTTGGTGTCTGTATTCCCCAGGACCCTCTTCTTCTCTCCACGCCCCAAGGGCCAACGGCCCGACTTCTTCGATCTACAGGCATCTTCGTGGAGTTCAAGATGGACGGTGGCCGATCCTCCACAGTCCTCCGCAACGAGCCCCAGATGTGGATGAAGATGTGGAATACAAAACAAGTATCACGGCATGTGCTTTCTGCTCACGATTCCCGTCCGCCAACCCCATCCCGGCCATGATGATGCATGCCGTCCTCATGTCCATACCTACACCAAGCCGCCCTCTTCCACATCCCCAACTCATCCAGCCCCTTCCCTGGTCCAGGCCGAAGTCGTGGTCGTAATCCAGACACCTGTATGACCAATATGACCGGATTTGCTCTACCTACCATTTCTACTGGGCGGCGTTTGTTCTTATAATCCTGATCTCCTGGCGGACGCGAAGCCGCGAGCCCCTTTCCACCCTTTCCGTTCCCCATATCACCAGTGATGCGCTCTCTGCCACCGCTGGCGAACGGTAGATCATTACCAGCACTCCTCTCGTCATAGTCGAAACGCACACAACCGCCATTGCCGCACGGTGCTATGGTCTGCAGCCACGCCCTGGTAGCCTGACGTCGCGTAGTACGACCGCAACGCCCGCGCGGCAAGGACTAAGGGGGCGCTTTCGCGGCTCGCGCCGTTCTGGACACAGATGGCCTGGAGGGTGCGGTGTGCTGATGTCGATGTCGTCGTCTTTTATCCGGGGAGGAATGGACGGCCCTGGCAGAGTGCCATGGCAGTGGCTATGTCGTGGAGGATTGGGTGCATTGCAGAATTGTCTGGGTCTGGGTTGTGTCTGGGCATGTGTATGTGGGATGGGACGGGTATGCGGATGATGGTTGAGAAGGGGAAGGCTCAGGTCAAGCAGCCGGAGCAAGCAGGAACAGCTCGATGGTCATTTCAAGAAGTCTGCAGAGCGGAAGGAGGCGTAGCTGCTACCATCCCCCTGTTGCCCGCATCCCGCCGTCCCACCAAACCGTGCACCTATACACCGAGAAGGCAGGCGACAAACGATAAACGACACTCAGAGAGATAGAAGGAGGGTCCCCTGGCATCCACATCGACCGTGATGGTTGTTACTGACGCATGTTGCAGCGAACAAGCTATGAAGCTCGTACACTGAACCCTCATAAGTCTCCGTACCTTACACCCCATTCTCTGGATCTTGTACATTCAGGGGTGTTTCCTCTCCTTGAGATAAGCACCCTGCAATAACCGTCAAGCATTCCCAACAAAGATCAAACTGCAAATTCCGGTGCGCTTATTCCGATTTGATGAATATACCATTATTCGCTGGAAGGAACGTGTACGGAGACTTATGAGGGTTCAGTGTACCTGCTCTCCTGTGAAGTCTGAACTAAGATACGGACCTAGGAGAAACGGGTGCTTGAGAAGATACAGCACTTACGGTTGCCTACCTACCTGGTATTGATGGAGTTCCTGTTCTTCAGACCGATGATGCCTTACTTCAATGTTTCATAGCCTGGGTCGGTCCTTCTTACCTAGGTTAGAATAGGTACCACTGCATGAGCGATTCCACACCACCACTTGACCTCACCGAGGAACGCCTACTTCTACCAGACTCACAGCACGCCTGGCAACAAAGACTTTTTAGGTGCCCAAAAGGTCTCTTACACGATATTCTAGGCTCTGTATACAGATACTTTACTCAAAATACTCTGTTATTCTTCATCTGCCCATACAGAAACTAGGCCATCACCATGGCCGTCACCACAACAAAGCACACCACCAACCAGCCCTGCGTACCAAACGGACCGCTCTCAACAACATTCACCATGGGCAAAAAACGTGGCAAGAAGGTCAAGCGACCAACTACCACTGACAACGATGACAAGGCGCCAGGGGGCACTGTCCACCACGGCCAGTCCGAGGAAGCTGGCCAGTCGCACCACCATCAGGAAGGTGAGCTTGTCTGTCCTTTCTGTTCACACATACCATCATACTGATCCAAGGTGATCTCGAACAGTGCCGGACTCCGACGATGGAGTGGAATACGTTACCCCACGAGGCTCGCGTGCGTCTGACCAAGGAGAAGAAGGTGAGCAGCTCTTTCGCCGCCCAGCCTCCTGGCCCATGAGTCCACGACTGTACCTAGTCATGATCTGACCGTATCCTTACAGGAACGCTCACGCATAATGTTGACGTCGTCGGAAACGCAGGAGATGGGAGCTCCATCGCTAGTATCCACCCTCTGCCCAAACCCGCTATTGACGAACCTAGCGAACCCGACGCCGCCAAAGAGTTTACCATGAAGTTTACCATGAACGACTACGTTGACGTATGCAACGATATACTCGAAGTTTGCGAGAAGATTTCCAAGATCCACAGCGTTCTGGGCCTCCCTGTGATCGGGTTTTCGAGCAGCCTCCCGCGCGTAGATAGCGAAACGGTGCACAAGCACATCTTCCACATCTTCGCTGAAATCGACAAGGGCTTCGTGCGGCTTGAGGAACCTGATTCTCAGAAGCGCAGAGAGCTCGACCAGCATCACCTGCGGCGCGCGCATACACTCAGCTTGTACGAAACTGCAATCGCGACGGGGCGTATCAGAACCAAAATGGCCGAACTTAAGAGCGCGTAGGAGCGTGTCGGAGTTCTCGACATACCTAGTGAGCGAGGCGCTTGAGCAGAGCAAGCAGCTCCGAGTCCCGAGGGGTGAACAGTCCTGAATCATGGCGCTGGGGGAACCACTCAAGACGGGACAGACATGTGTATGCGCGGATAAATATGGGGGCGGCCTACATGTCTTATTTTATGCCTTTCATAGCGCTCAAGCGAACCCGAGAAGAAACATTTCTCATTACTGCTTGCTTTTTCATCTTTCGGCGTGTCCCCGAACCTTCTTGTCTGCTGAGAGGGAGAGAGTACCTGCGAAGTCCACATGGAGATACGAGTGCCCTCACTCCTTCCTGCTACCACCACTGATCTCCATCCCCCCATCCCTTCCCTCTCGCCCACCTTCACCCATTGCCACAACCACCCCCTTTCCACTCAGAGCACCTGACACTTCCACGCTCTGCGAGTTCTACTGGGATGGTATTGCTGTCAATCAACGCCCTGCACCACTTGACCTGACCGCGCAACATGGATATGAGCGGCAACAGCCTCGGTCCCCAGGGGGGCCGCGATCAGCACCAAGGAAGTCGGTTACTCCTGACCAGTCTCATTGCAAGCATCAAGGTAAGATTCACAACTCATTTCGTATCGTCATTTCCCCCCAGACCATCTTCCCGTTTTGCCTCCCAAGTTCATTCAGAAGGTTCCGAATTTGGTGCCCCTCTCGCACATTCTCCCATTATCAGCACCATCATTAAACACCCTGTTGGGGCCCATTCCCGAGCATCACTGTGGTTCTCTTAGTGGATACTGTTATACCGAAATCACCATCAAATCCGCTTCGGACACAACCTATCGAGTTCGCAGCGGCCACATCACCAAGAATGGTACCTGGGCAAGGCAGAGATCATGAAGCCCGAATCTCACCCACGCCCGCAAAGCCCGCGCCGCACCAGACTTCTCGCAGCCACTGCCCGGTTTAGTCCCGAAGAATGTGAGTTACACATCCAGCCCTAGGTTCTGAGCTCATACCTAGGCTGTTTACTGACGATCTTACCATAGCCTCGGGCAGTTCCCAAGCTAGCGCCGGCATGACTGATTCGGGATCGGACTCCAAAGACAGCATGGGCAAGCCGACTCCCAACCGCAGCTACGACCAAGCTGTGGTGGATGATGCTATAACTTCATACGCCGCGATGGTCAGGATATGCAAGGCCATGGACCGACAGTTGGGAGGCGTCGAGTCTGACTATGGCGCCAGCCATGGCCTCCGGGATGCAGACCTGCCGACGGTGCTGGATACGGTAATTCCCAAGCTTCGGGAGTTGTTGGACAAAATGGAACGAGACGCCGGCCGATTCGTGGAGGACAGACTCCAACAGCGTATCCGGCTCAAGGCACGACTGTCAGACAACCGCGCGCACTACCGAAAGATGGCTGCTGAGCAGAGAAAACTTGCCGCCGAGCATAGAGATCTTGCCATCGACCACCGCATACGGGCTGAAGCATATGCCGCCCCCCCTGACGTGGCTCCATATGTCTATCGTGGCCGGAAGAGCACATACTACATCAACCATCACGAGGCTCTTGCAGACGACTACACAGTCCTGGCGGATGGAGGCGACAGGATCAGCAGAAGGCTGGAGGCACATGTAGCAAGGATTACTGGCAGACTACAACAACTGGCAAACGAGGACGGCGGGACGCCTGAATCCAACGTCTCGGCAGAAAACTCTAATGACGTATTTGCTGTCAGACGATAAGGTACAGTTGTCGATATTGCACGACTGCCGGACCACAAGGAAAACCACGGCTCGGTCACTCACTCCACCTTGATCTTTCCTTCTATCTCACTTCTTTCCTCCTGTCTACCAGACATTCCCCTGTCTAGGTATCCGCAGAGGACATGGACAAGACAGCCGCTCATCCGCTTGGCACGCTGACCTCGAGACCCTGGACTGCATGTACTGTCATACCTTATGCCTCTGGGGAAGTCGGATAGGGCACGACGAAGCAGGCAAGAACTCGAGACGACCAGGAAAGGGGCCGACCCACAGTACATGGACTTGGTATGAACAATTTGTACGAGTGGATTCACCAATAAACGTGTATGAGTACAATGCCGTGGCTATGTCTATACAGGTGATACATGATGCCATGCACTGATGCCTTCCCTGCCACAATTTCCCAGACGCTACAAACGTGGCGTTGTTCAGCAGCCCTGTCCATCCTTCCAGGCGCACAACTCCAATTGCCATACCACCACCATCCGCTCATCCCAAACAACACCAACTCATCAAGAACGGCGACGGTGCTCATCTCATAACCCTATCCGAGCCCACCAGTCCTGTATGATCATACTCAACATCAGCGCTGCTCAACATGACCAGCAGTCCCGGCCTTCCAAGCTAACATGAAGACACCCAGAAGCCAGAGCTCGACGACGACGTGCCACCTTCAAGGCGAGCCACGGTACCCTACCGGCGTGCCCTTGCCCTTGCCCACCCCAAAGGCATAGATGAGGGTAAGACGCAGCCATCGAATATCACTGGGGATGGCTCAATGGTGCTTATGAAGTACTGTTTACTGTTTACTGTTGCTGTGAAACGACAATCCACTATGCCAGAGGCGTGCGCCATTCCCAACCAGTTCGATGCCCGGCACTGATATCCCATCCAGCCTTTCCCGGCTCGCCAAACGCCCCTGGGCCGAGACTATCAAGGATGGCTAGCCATGATACCCAATGACGCAAATGGTTAGAGCTGACCCAAGGCTAGGACATGTTGACGAAAGGCGGTGCGTACAGAGGGCTCGGACGAAGTCATGGTCCAATAAGTGTGTCGAGTATATGAACCTGATTCCTCCCAGACCAAGTCATAGTCACGATGCCATCCTAGAAACATGAGCTTCACTCACTGAATTAGATACAAGTCATCAAGCTACCAACTAATAATATCTACACTAGTAAGTCCTCTATTCACAGGCCCCAAAAGGTCGATATGCACATCCGGCACCCAAACGCCTCATGAACGTATATGCTGATACGATATGCACAACAAGCCTACCATCTAGATTCCAATCACATGGACTGCGGTATTTGTGTGCCGGACCCCCGAACTGAACACCCCAAGGCCAGTTTTTATATCAAGCAGAGCCCGCCAATCCGTCCGTCATCTGTGAATCCGTGGCATGCTTTTCCCCCACAGAAGTCCACCCGAGCAGAAGATGGACCGCCAGCTTTGCTGCTTTTCCGTCTAATAACGCCAATTACCTGAATGCCAGAATGCGATCTGTAATTATACAGGCCCGTTCTGGGGGGAATACCCACCTCCAATCCGCGCCTGACCTCCCATGATATGAATGTAAATGTCAAAAGCGTAGTGTAGGGGTGGCGAACACAAGAAACGCCTCCTCAGGCTCCTGTCTGGATGGTGGTATTACATCAGCAAGGCCGATCCTCTCCGCTGCTTGTCGAGCTTATCCAGCTTCTCCACGTTTTCCTCTGTTAAACTGTCACCTTCCTGGAGTGCAGCCTGCATCGTGTGATTGGTAGGTTTGGCCGTGCTTGAAGGAGCGCCGGCCGCGTCGAGAAGCCTGTCGTCTCGAAGCTGCATGGCCAATTCGTTACTATCGAGTTGCCTGGCTGATGGGGCCACCCCAAAGGGAAATGCCTCCCTTTCGTGCGAGCCAGTCCGTAATAGAGGCTTGGGCGTCAGTAAGTTGAGAGGAAACTCATCTTGACCATCCGAGTCGCCAGCCGTCGAGCGTTCCTCCGGTGTTTGTGCTGCAACGTCGAGAGCATGACCGAAAGAGGGTATGTCGTTACTGACACAGTGATCTACCGACTCGGAACAGTCCGAAAGTGGCGCGCTGGTGGAGTAGGGCGTCGAGGTTGCCTGTCTTCTGGACATCCTGCCCCATCTTACCAGCATCCTCTCCAATGTGTTGCTCTTGACAGGCTTGGCGAGATAGTCATCCATACCAGCCTTTGTGCATTTCTCTCTGTCGCCCTGGATTGCAGATGCTGTCATGGCCACAACGGGTATGTCATTCGTAAAGACCTTGTACGGGGTATGGTGTCGCAGGATGTGCGTGCATCTATAGCCATCAATCACTGGCATTTGCACATCCATGAGGATAACGCCGGGCTTGGGCTTTTCCCCGGCCCTGGACGATTCGATGTACTCAAGGGCCTCCTTGCCGTTCCAGACCGCGCTTACGCTGAAACCCAGCTTCTTGATTGTCTTGGTAGCGATCTGCTGATTGATAGCACTGCCATGATGGTTAGTTGCATCGCCAAGTAGTCGTGCTAGAAGGTCTTACTTGTCTTCGACCACAAGGACATGAAGCTTGGCACGCTCTGACATGGGCATATCTTCGTTTTCCAGGGAAAAGGGCGATGGCAGTTGCAGAGATCGCTGCCGCCTGGGGTGCTTTGATCTATCATATGGAGCTTGTAGCATCTCGCCCGGTGGTGTGCCCGGGTAATGCTCGTGTTCTGAACTGTTGCATGAGACACTCATCTCGGATTGCAGCCGATCTGGCAGAAGTCCAATTTCGACCAGTGACGCCTTCTGTGGGGTCTGGGGCTTGATAAACGGTATCCAAAAGGTTGCTGTTGTGCCGTTGCCGACGGATGACTGCAAGGCGATTCTGCCTCGCATGAGGTCGAGAAGATTTTTCGATATTGTGAGCCCCAGACCGGTCCCTCCGAATTTCCTAGCCGTCGAAGGGTCGCCCTGACTGAAAGGTTGGAACAAGCGTTTTCGAACATTATCATCGATACCTATACCGGTGTCCTCAACGACAAATCTAATATCGATCGTATCATTCGTCTCTTTCTCTTTCCAGACCGAAAACTTTACATATCCGGTATTGGTGAACTTGATGCTGTTGGTGAGGAGGTTGGTGATGATTTGCCTAACGCGGCCCGGGTCGCCGAGGACAACAAGATCGTTCTCAATGTCTGGGGAGATGTCTGAATGGAAGGTCAAGTTTTTCCTCTCGGCCGCGAAGCTCAACATCTTGGAGACATCTCGCACCACCACGGACAAGGAGAACTGTACCTCCTCAATATCGAGTCTGCCCGACTCAACCTTGGAAAAATCCAGAATATCGTTGATGACAGTCAATAAAGCATTGGCAGATCGGCTGATGTTCTCGGCATATTCGCGCTGCTCATCGCCCAAATCCATGTCAAGAAGCAGCTCAGCCATACCGATCACACCGGTTATCGGCGTACGAATCTCATGAGACATCTGACGCAGTCAGTACCCATACTCATACCCTAATCACTGACTATATATACTCACATTGGCAAGGAACTGGCTCTTCAACCGGCTTGCTTCTTTAGCTGCTGCTTCGTTGGCCTTTAGGAGCCGTTTCTCCTTGACCTGCACTTTCAGGTCTTGTTCCCGTTCCTTCAGTTCAGTCACGTCCATGATAACGCCGATGACGCCTTCAATGACCGGGCTGCTGGATGTGCCGTCCTTGGCTTTGTTCTCGACCAGAGGTAGAAATCTCGTGCGGAAGAAATGTTTGTCTACAATCAGGTTAGACTTATCCCCCACATCTTTGGAAGAGAGCAACGAGGTCCTACCTATCTCATGCTCATGAACCGTATTCTTCAGGTCCTTGCCAGCTAGAATCTCTCGCACTGGTTTCAGGAAAGCTGGGGCCTCGCCTCGCCGCAGCCGTGGATTCAGATCATTGAAGACCTCGTCGACATTGCGCCCGATATACCTTTGCGAATCAGGATTGGAGTCGCTATCCGCAGTGCTGCTGTCTTTGCCGTCGTCCCATATCAGCGCGCCTTCCAACATGGTAACCCTTCGATCACGGTCTACACAAAACATGGTTGTTTGCGCGTGCGTGAGGACGCTCAGTAGTTGTGCTTTGGTTTGTTTCGCCGTTAATTTCGCTTGCATGGTATCGTGGACATCGGTACAGGTTCCGAACCACTTCTCAATCTTCCCGGTCTCTCTGTCTTTTAATGGCAGTGCGCGCCCCAGCATCCACCTCCACTCGCCTTCTTTGCTGAGGCAACGGTACTCGGTGAAGTAGGGCTCTCCGGTAGCTAGACTTCGCTTCCACCTCTTCACGGTGCTAGGCATATCGTCTGGGTGGAACGGGTGCTTCCAGCCGAGACCCAGGGAGTCCTCCGGCGGCAAACCCGTGTAGTCGTACCACCGGTTGTTGAAAAAATCATGCATGCCGTCAGGAGTCGTCGTCCATACCATTTGAGGCATGGTATCGCATATGAGCTTGAATCTTTCCTCTTCGGCCTCCTTGATCTTGATGATCTCCTGAGCCATGGTAGTCACGTCCCGGCACGTTACCACGCCTCCCACAACCTCGCCTGTCTGGTCATCCGTGATGACCTCGCCCAGCATATCAAACACAATCCTCTTGTCGGTGTCTTTGTTGTGCATACCAACCCGCCAGCCAGAAAAAGGCTTCAGATCCCTCAACAGAACTGCGATGGGGAATTCGGACGCCTCGTATTTCGTGACGAAGTCCTCATCCCAAACTTCCCACTTTGGTAACAACTCGAACCCATTCACGGTATCGGTCCCCTGGCTATTCATGAAGAGCTTCCGAGCAGCCCGGTTAAAGACGGGCGCACTGCCATCTCTCCACATGGCCAAGATTGGCATCTCCGTATTGTCCAGGAGAGCATCCTTGATGATGGTAACTTTCTGGAGATACGATGGGGTGTTTGTATGGAGTAGGCGAGCCGGCGGACCCGTGGGGGGAAAAGGACTCGAGGAGACAGAGACTGATCCAGGGCTTAGAAAGAAAGAAGGCGAATTTGAGTCGTGACTCGAGCCGACGGAGGGGGGATTCGAGTTGGGTATGGACCTGCGATCGATGGCCTCGAGTGTGGAGGACCGAGCCAACGATATATGAGTTTCCGAGACAGGGGGTACGGCGGCCTCGGCATTGGTGAAAGTTAAAGTAAAGTAGGTCTGGTCATTCTCGACCTCCCATATTGAGATGATCAGCCTAGCAAAGGTCTGATATTCAGATCGTCGTGACTTGGGAACAGTCGTCTTGTCGTAGTTTTTGAACATGACAACAACGTCAACAGCTGAGTCGGCTGCTATTTTACCCGTATTACCAGCGGTCGGGTTTGTGCTTGGGCCTTGTAGCGTAGGCGTCGACTCACCCTGAGCGCATTCAGGGGTGGAATCGGAGGCGTTGTCTGTCTGTCTCGAGCCCATCTCGACTACCAGGCCGTCCAAGAACGAGTCCCAAGCAATCCACACCGGTTTGCCATTATGTATAACGTCGACACCGACCTGAGACAGCGTCTGCCCTCGAAGCTGGTCGGAAACAGTAGGCCCATCGTCTCGACCTTGGGATGAATCGCCAAGCAGGCCCAGCATCTTTCCCATAGCTTCGTTCGCCAACACGACAGTCTTCAAATTGTTCAGAACCAGCACGGGCACGGGCAGGAATTGCACGGCGGAGAAGGCCAATTGGCCCGGCGAAATCATGGGCATGGACAGTCTGAAAGGGCTCGTAGAGGCTGATCGTGCTCCTTCGGGAGTCGAGCCGGGCGTGTCGCGCAGGAAGCGGTTGCCGCCGAAGGACTGTCGCAGGCCATCCTTGGACGTCGAGGGCTCGGGCGGTCGAGAGGACGGGGCATGGTTCTCGACCAAGCTCCGGGTGGGCGGCTGGACAGATTCACTTTCACCTTCGACGGACTGGCCTCCCGACTTGACGGCCAACGAGTTGCAGACATGCTGATTCGGTCTGGAGGGTGTCATGTCGGCTCGCCAGATGGCATGGAGGGGCAATAGGCCATAGACGCCGGGGAAGTCATGCGCAGAACCATGCGAGGGCAGAACCGTGGAGACGTTCCAAGCAAAGAGGAGCAATAAGGTTTGTTGTTAGCCAAAGGGCTGCGGACTTTGGCCAGGTGGGCAGCGAAAGAGTGAGTGGGAATCGATCTATCGTTGGAGCGGCGGGAGATGGGATGGCTCACGGGCTCCCGAGGTCTCGAACGTTCGACAAGACTAGCACGCACACTGGCACACTTATCGGTATGAGTCTGGAGTCTGGAGTCTGGAGCGTGAACGCGTATGCGTATGTAATGCAGGCAATAGATCCTTCCTACTATAACCTTGAAGAAGCTGAGTACTGGAGGATGGTGTGGACTGCTTCTGCTTCTGCTTCGGCCGAGTATTAGCCACAGAGTCGCATACTCGTAGTACGTGTACGTAGGCTGGTAGGTATGGGGCTTTACACTTTACACAGCAGCTGGATGTGTTCGGGGGAGGGCAGATCTCGAACGACGGGAGGACGGGATTCAGAGAAGTTGGAACGGAAGATCGGGCAGCCTGGCAGCCTGGCAGCTGGGGTCTGGTGCGGTCCGCGGAGACAGTACTAATAAGGTACTACCTTACTTAAGGTAATGGGTAATGCAGCTAAGCGAGTAGCCCACCTGCAGTCGTTGAATATTGAATGCGGGAACCCGGGCTGACTGACGGTACTGTACCTACTGTAGGAAGTTCTCGTCGTCGGTTTGCAAGTTGGAAACAAACAATTCAGAACTTCAATGGTTCTGGCAGTTCAAACTTCAGGGTCCTGTGGACGTGGATGATCAGGTCATTGCCAGCGGAGAAAAGCAAGGATATCTGCAGGGGGTGGCAGGGAAGCGGGAGAGACAGGGGGACCCCTATGGCAATTGTGATGAACTCCCGTCTGCACCGTATGGAGCTCTCAAAAGCCTATCAAAATCCCGATGCGGCATTGCGGGCACTGCGGACTCGCAAACTCGGTGGCGCGAGCGGGGCAGGGTACTCGTGCGGTGCATTTTCCCCAATGTTGGCACTGTATAACCCTGCCAATACCAAATAGAGGGCTGTGAACACTAACAACAGCTACACTGTGTATGACACACTGTGAGTTCCCCGTGGCTGGGCTGTATTGGGGGACCGGACAAGCCAGCCAAGCCTGACAGCTGTAGCGAATTGTTACACCGCAGATTCCAATTCGTTCCAATTGGAGTCCGTCGTTGACACTGGACAGTGCCACCGTGATCGCGAGCTCTGTGCCGCTACTGTGCTACGTCAGACCTGGCCTACTCGTAATGAGACGAGATATCCGCAACTACGCCGTCGTTCCATCGGATTGTCCGATTGTTGATGAGTGTGCTGTTGCTGTTGCTGCTGTCTTGGACTCCTCGTTGTTCATATTGCCAACTCTACCTCAAGACCCAGCAGCAACAGCACAGCACGGCTGATAACAACAACGTGCCAACATATAAACTGCACGCCATGAAGGGGTGTCCCTTCGACCGGATCGTCACCACGTAGCTGGAGTAAGAATCGCATCTCGTACTTTGAATTCGATGGTGATGGCCAGTCGTCCAGATCAACAGCAGAGGCCCCAGCTAGTTGCCCAATTTGGCCTTGAAATAGCCGAGCAAACCGCCAGACTCCCCAGCCATTCCCAGTTTGCCCTGCCATTCACCGGGTTAGGTCACGATAGCCCAGAGCCTAAACCGATTAGGTGTCAAGCCGGTCCAGGCCTAGCCCAGGTTAATGGCGTTATTAGCAGTGTAGAGCTATTCTCGTCCTGTTGATCTCCGGTGCTGCTATAGTGGCTCTTGCAAGCAGGTAGGTGGACAGCAAGTGAATTGCAGCGCCTCCGTATACCGGCATCTATGCAAGATCAAGGTAGATATCGACACGTCGAGAAAATCTCAAACCAGACACATCTTCGGTAGCTAAACTAATCGGCTGGACAGCTGTCCACAATCAGCTGAGGTGACTTGCCCATGGTGTTATTCTTACATTTATGCCATTTCCTCGGGCTTGTCGGTATAACCGCAACACGTCTATAAGAGTCTAATTCTTATACATTTCAGGGTATCAACGCTTTCGTACATGTCATAATCCAGCTGGCGTCATCACTTCGAGTCTGTCTTGATACTGCCGCATAGGTCGCATGACCACCACTGCTTCTCTCTGACACGCCCGCAGAAGTGGCATCGCCAAGTCTGCGGTGCGAGGGAGGTAGCAGCAGTAGCTGGAAATGATGACCCAGTCCCTGCAGATGACGTTGCTGGTCGCGCCGTGGATTCTGCTTTGGTAAGGTCGACTGTCGTGCGCTGTCGCTTAGATGGTCTCTCAACCAGAGCATTGGTAAGCTTCTCGCTCCTTTCCGTGCCGCATGCATCGCAACACAAGAAGCCAGCGGGGTTTTGCAGCGTGCAGATCTCGCAGGTCCAGGTGGTAGGATTGGCTTTTCCCCTTTCAATACCGCGGTCCAACGGCGAAGAAGGCGGCTGCTTCTCTGGTATTTCCTCCTTCGAATCAACGTCATCTGTGGCCTCCGTGGGTATCTCTTCGCTGGGAGGGACATAGGCGTCACCGTGCTTGGCTTTCTCGTCCTCCTGCACAAGCTCCCATAAAGCCTGCGCTGTTGCAGCCTCGTTCGCCGCGTCTTCCTCGGCCTGCGTCCTGAACCCATTCCTCGTAGCGGTATCGGCGATCTCACGGATCTCATCTTGCGTCTGGTTGTCATTGGCGCAGCCCTGGAGGGTTCTGCTGCGACGTTCGACCGCGTTGGCGATCACTCTCCTGACATCCTGGCCGGGACGAGGAGCTGCTCCACCAAGCCGTTGACCTGATCCCGCGTTGAGCGTGCGTCGCTTTTCTGCTGCAGCTCGGGCTACCCTGCGAGCTTCGTCTATCGGTAATCCCTTGCCACCCAGACGGCGGCCTTCTGACAAGAAACCTTCACCAGTATAGCCCTTCATAGCCAGTCCCTCGTGTTCATCTCGTAGCTGGTTCCATAATGCGTGGAACTTCGCGTCGTGAGGACCGTGGACGTTATGCGCCAGCTCGTGGAGCATCGTATCAGTGACTTGTTCGATGGGAAGAAACTGGTCACGGTCCCCGGGGTATCGAAGTCGTAAGCAGATCTTCTGTCCAGCGCCGACATTAAGACCTGTTAATAGCAGTGTTAGTCCACGCTATTGGCCGGGCGTGATTGATGCTTACCAAGGAGGTTTTGTTGTCCGGGATAGAACTCGGTGAGCTGCTTCACCTTCCATCCTCTTGCCCGCATGAGGGGCTTCACTAGAGAAGCGATCTTCTTGAGGCTATGCAAGGCATCGTTGGCCCGAGGGAAGTCGGCCAGATGCGAATACGACAGGACCAGTGGATCGACTTCTGACATTTTAGGCACTCGTGAGAGCTGTTTTCGACGTCAAGGATGTCCGTAGATTCGTGACTGGAAGGCCGGAGCCGCGTTGGTCCTGGCGATCCGATGCGATTCCGATGCGATTCTCGAGGTTGAACTGGACGATCAACTGGCTCTAACCTGCTCGACCTCTGAATAGACCAGATGCAGTCAACAGAATGTACCGTCAAGGAACGAGAAGAAAATAACAAATTAAGGCCAGCTCAACCATTCAAAAGCACGCTGGGAAACCCTGAGGCCATAACGTAAGCTCCCAGGTTTCTAGAAGCCGCCGTGAAAGAACAACGCGCCACCGCGGAAGATGATTGAACACGAAAGTCCATGCTGCCTGTAGCTTCTGACACATTTCAGAGACAGAGAGAGAGAAAGGTTCCAAGCTGTACATATTGCCCCGCCAGGGAGAGCTGCTCCACATTATTATGCGCACACCTGGTAGTATGCAACTAAGGAGTGTTCCCAAGCCATCGGGTCCAATAGAACCGAGGTTCGTGCCGCAACACACGGTCGACATAAACCGCATTGCCAGATTGAACAAAGCTGGGGTTGAGACTGATGTAGATGTTTGGTAGCTAGTAGTCAATACTGGATTGTCTGTTTTCAGCGCTGCATGGGTATGGTTCATAGCAGCAGCTGACATATTTTGAGAGAGGCCAACCAACGCGTCTAACATTGTTCATGTAGATGGGGAAAGCCAAGCGCTGCGATATAGTGTTGCGAATGGTTCAAAACGGAGTGTGTCATCTAGAGAGTTCGGGGTATTACCCTCTCTTGGGTCCTCGAGGGCTCATTGTCGAGCGGTTTCGTGACTGTCCAGCTGTGTCGTCTTGTCGTCCATGACATGTTGCGCCAGATTCACCGTGCCCTCAGGCGGCGTGTCAGGCCGTTCCTCCGGATGATCATCCGGGTGATCCTCGACGAAGAGATCTTTGATGGCACCTTTGCCAATCGCTCTCTGGTAGACCTCGTAGCTTGTGGCAAATTCTCTGTGTTTGCCAACGGAGATGGCATCTAGGAGCTTCAGGGCGAAGGTCTGACAGTTGTTGTCAATGAGGTTGTATGCTGGCCTCTGTCCCCTCATGTTGAGAATGGTCATGTCACCTGTCACGAGCATAAGACGTTGGCCGACTTCGGTCGCGTTTTCGTGAGAGACTCACCCGCCTTGCCCAGAGCTTGGTCGTTGAAACGTGTCTTGCCGACCTCATACGTGTGCCACTCATCCCTGTTGATCTTCCCGTTGATGTAGATGACGTTCAAGTTTTCGTCCTGGATGCCTGTCAGAGACTCTGGCACCAAGCTCATGGGGGAACCAACAAACCATCCAGAGCTGGTGGCAGTAATCGCCGACGAGGACGGCCCAGTGCTGGGTCGGGTCCGGGAACTTGCTGATCCCCTCGGTGATCATCTTGCCAAGACCAGTCTGCTCCGCGAACCACTTGCCCGCGAGCCCGGCGACAGGGTGCCATCCCACCTCGACCTCGCGTGGCTCGCCGCAAAAGTCGACGTCGCCGTCGGGAATGACACTCGGCGTCTGGCCCAGGCCCAACGCCTCGTGCAGTTTGGATTTGGTCTTCGCCAGCCCTTCCTCCCTGTCCACGCGGCCGGCTGGGTTAGCTGAAACAGAGTTCGACGGCGGGACAAGTCGGTGCCTCACAGGAAATCGCCAAGCCTTTCTCTCACGGACTCCTTGGACTCCTCCGGTTCTCGTGGCACGTCCTCCATGTCGCGTTTCTTGGAAGACCTGAAGAGTTCGCGAAAACGTGGCATTGTCGCGCTTACGTTACGTTACGGCTGTTTCCCGACTGCTCTTAACCAGGACCAAGAAGGTATGCGACGGGGAGGTGTTCCATCGGCGCGATTGCCACGACATCCTCCAGTCATTGGCTGGTCTGCCTTTACAGTGGCGCCACGACGACTAGTTGGGACGCGTGGCGCAGTCGATCGCAACATTCCAATGTCGATTCATCTCGGAATTCAGTCGCCAGCTTGATACCGGTAGCACTTCCCCTCGATGCGTCAACATATCCCGAAGGTAAGGACCGGTATCGTGGTCATTGTTCCGAATCGTCACAACAAGAATAGCCCACAACCCAAATGAGAGCATGTTATAGTCGCCAACGGCACTCTTGCTTCTACTGAACTCGAGCCAAGATGTCTTCAGATAACGGCGGGGGCATAGATGTGGGACAGCCCTAGATGTGGGACAGTTTTCACACCCAACATCACAATGTTCACTTACACATATCTCTACCGGCAATGAAGCCCTAGATATCGTAAATACTGCATCGAAATCGTCTTTTCTTGTTGTTTTCAGCAGTGCTGGTTTCATCAGGTTTACCACTGCGGGATGGGCCGCTGTGGGGGTCGGAAGTTAGCACTCCCGGCCCTAATCTGAGGGGTAATGGGACCCGTGCCCCCTATCCCCTTCACTGTAGCAGAAGTTCTGCTGTTCTTTTTTTTCTTTTTTTTCTGTCAGCATCATAGGCTTCAGTACGTTTAAATGCCTCCTTCGTACACTCCAGAAGACCTCACAGAGGCAATTGCCGCTGTGAACGATGGCATATCCCTCCGCAAGGCGCATCAGCGCTGGGGAGTACCGAAATCAACTCTTGCGCCGAAGGTAGACGGCACCACGATGCGCCCAACGCTGACTAGCCGCGAGGGGGCTCTAAGAAGCCAAAAGTTAAGCCCTGCGCAAGAAACTCGGGTTGTATCATGGATCCTCTATCAAGAGAAGGCTGGCCACGCGCCAACTCACGGCAATGTGAGGTACATCATCCGGAAGATCCTACAGTCTGAGGACAGGGCAGATCATTTAAGAGGCAAATACATGCGAAATTTCATCCGCAGGCACCCAGAAATAAAGACCAAGATAGGCAGAAAGCTGGACTACAAGCATATCAATGCCGCCACGCCCGAGAACATCAATGGCTTCCATGATCTCTATAAGGAGTTCGCCTTTATTAAACCCGCGAACCGGACAAATATCGATAAGTACGGCATTATGTAGGGCTGGCAGTACGTAAGCGCCCAATCCAATCACTTTTCGGACGGCTGACCGGGCCAATAATAGGTCTGATAGCCTTGTAATAGGTAGTTCTGGCTCAAAAGGGGCCAACGTCAAGTCTAACAACAACCGCACGTGGACTACAGTGATCGAATCAATCACTGCCACTGGAAAGAAGCTCCGGCCGTTCGTTATTTTCAAGGCGAAGTCAATACAGACTCAGTGGTTTAAAGAGCAGCTCATTATTGAGCATCCCGTGATGGCAGAGTGGATAGTGACGTACTCCATCAATGGCTGGTCCTCAAATGAGATCGCGTTGGAGTGGCTTGAAAAGGCGAGTAAATAACGAGTACTACTCGTTAACTACATGCTAATAAGCCTCAGATATATCTCCCTGATACAGCTCCTGAAGATCCCAATGATTCTCGCCTCCTAATATTAGATGGCCATGGCAGCCACTGCTCGGATGAGTTTATATATCTTTGCTACATTAACAACGTATATATGTGCTTTTTCCCAGCTTATACGGTAAGTTAGATGATCAGTTAGTAGTTATTTTGCTAATAGGGATAGTCTCATATTGTCAGATTTGAGCCAATCGTGAGGTTGAAGTGTGTCTGTGTATTCTGTCTCTCTCGAGTGTCCTCGTGCGACTGTGGCAGTTTTGTGCCAGAGGGGGCTGGATCGGGATGGAACAACTAGGTTCCGGTGTCTACCTATCAAGGTGCCCTCTGGGCTCACCTTTAATCCAACACATATCTTCCAGCCGCTGGATTTGACAGTATTCTCTGTTATTAAAGCCGCCTACCGCCGCTTGATCAATCAGCTTGGCCAGCTCAACGATTTGGCCCCTATTGGCAAGATTAAGTTCCTCAGTTGCCTAGCAAAAGCTCGCGATGAAGCTACGCCGGCTATCGTGCGTTCAGGGTGGCGTACTGCTGGGCTTTGGCCTGTAAATCGACGAAAAACGTTGACGAACGAGCATGTAGTGAAGGCGGCAGAGATCCAAGCAGCAGCAGCTGTTATAATGGACCCCGAGACCACCCACGAGGCCCTAGAAGCCCCTAAATCAGGGCAGGACATAGCCCTGATGCTATCACCAGTTGCTGAGACCCCTGAGCAGCGAGTAGCAGTACGCTCGGTTGCAAAGTCGTACGATGAGATGGTGGTTGAGCTAGCCCTCGTAAAGGAGCTGCTAGAAGCAAAAGACGCCAAAATGAAGCGTCTACAGCCAAAAAAGCGCCGTAAGGCACCTCAAGAAGAGCTAATCAATGGCTATAGAGAGTTGGGGACGTTGTTCAGGAGCAGATCGAGCAAATGGAGGATGCGCGAGTCTTGATCGAGCAGCGGGCCGAAAGACGACGAATTATGGCCGAATTGCAGAACCTGCACACAAATGAATTAGAGAGACCACTCTCTGATGACTCTCTCTCACCTGAATCATCAGATTCAGAAGAATTTAAGCCCTTAGAGGGTGTTGAGGATAAAGGGGTTGTTGTTGATGAAGGGGACGAAAGTGAGGATGAGGAGGATGAAGAGCCTATTATGGTTCAATCTTCGTGCCGCGCAATCCGCCAGCCTGCACGGTACCGCGACGAAAATTAGTATTGCTGAAAACTCCAAGAAAAGGCGATTCTTTTGCTGTTTTTATATTATCTAGAGCCTCAATCCAGATGGAGTTATGTGTGGGTGCAAGTGTGGTCTTTTGGTGTGAAAACTGTCCCACATCTATACCCCCGCCGTTAGTTGAACGTTATTCTGAACAGCCCCTGCCGTCGCCTGCTTTGCCGCCGAACATCCCACGCAGCCAAGACAGCCACGAACGTCCTCTTTCATCCACCCCCGAACCCAGAGCACAACAGCTATGTGTCCCTGCCTCTGTGACCCTTCTCTCCAGTTCATCTACCTCTAATGGTTTAGTATCACCGTTTGCAACCTTGTCAAAGCTATCGTTGGCATGTACATCGATGTACCTCGATGTAGATATACTAGGCAAAACCTTGACATTTACGAACAGCTATGGTCGGTAAGATTCCTTTGCTTGAAGGACAGCAGCTAACTCGGGTGAGTCGCGATCCCACGGAACATATTTCTGGACAAGTTGAGCCATGTCACTGAACGCCCTACGCAATATCAGCATGTCCCATCCTACCAAGTTGTTTGAGTCTGGAGACTCACAATCGTCTAGCGGGCGAGCCGGCGAAGCAGGCAGAGTGCATAAAATTTGTCTTTGCACTATAGAGGCGGTTTCGGCCGTCCCATTCGTTCTTCGGCTCGCTGGCCTTGAAATTTCTCAGATACTCTTCACGAAAGACCTCGGCTCTCATCTGGTGTCGCTCAGCACGCCAGATGCCAAGCTCCATTTCGTTATGAGCGTAATACGCGGCACAGTCAAAAATCCACGGATCGCCGTTCTCGCTGTCGTTAGCAATGTTGCCATCCCACAAGTCCCCATGAATCAGCACGGGTGTTAGCTTGCGGCCTTCGGACTCGATTGCCCCGATCAGACGAGGGATGAGATGGGACTAGACTCTTCCGAAAACGATGTCCAGTTCTTTCCACAACCTGTTGGTCTCCGTATCTTGGTGATATGCCTCGGCGAGAAGCTTAGAGAAGAATGATGTCCAGCTGTCATCCCACCCAACAGCCTGGATACGGGCGCCGTCATATGTCTGCAGATGGAACCCGAATTTTCCGTTTGGAGATGCGCTCTTCGCGTGCATGGCGGCCAGCCGCGCACCCAGCTTTGCCGGATCAGGCAGGCCGGGCACGAACTGCTTGAACTCGATCAGGGCGAAGTACGTCGTCAGTACTGAGTTTTTCAGCTTGCCCCATGCGATCGGCCGGGGCACTAGGTTTGGCGCCAGCCTATGCAGGTCAGACATGCCAGTGTACTCCCCTTCGAGTTGTGCCTTGCCTAGGTCACCTGCGACATACTGTTTGTTGGCAGTCAGCAATGATTCGTCCCACTTTGTCCGAGCTGGGTGCATTCCTCCCTTACTTTCAGGAAGATTGGTGTAGCCACCCCGCTGGAGTTGACGGCATCTATCTTGGCCGTGAAGGACCATGCCGCAGCCGATAGGACATAGCAACAGGCCGTCTGCGCCACGGTTCCTTCTGGGAGTGCTTTTGTAACATCTATCAGTCCCTTCTCCCTCGATCCCCAGACTATGATGGCTTTACAACGCGAGTACCTTCGATGACTGCGTCGTCCAGGGGCAGTTCGCCGCCCCACGAGTTGCTCAGCGCCGCTAGCCGCTCGTTCAGCTCGCTCTGAAGCTGTAACGCCATTGGCTTTGAATGTTTGGATACGCTACTCATGGCTCCGTGATGATGACTAGGGGCTTCGAGAGATCTAGACGAAAATGTGAAGAATGCATTTCCCACGAGTATACTGGCGTCCTCCTCTTATGACCAGGTGCCCGAGGCTTGAAAGCGGGGTGTCCTATTAGTACAGGCGTTCCATACTGCGGTCACACTCACTCACGTGCAAGTTGTCGCGCGGCTATCTGCAAACTGCAGGCTCTTTGACTACGAGAACGATGCTTTAGATAGGGGAGGGCTGTACTTTAAGCTGCGATAGTCAACTCTAGCACCAATGTCAACCTTGAGAACGGCCGCCCCGGCGAGGCGATGTTACCCTATCTACGAATCATCCTCGGCGCGTCATGTATACCCCTGATGTCCCTTACCTGCAGCTGGTGCTGGGTTCCCACCCATTCCCCTACATAGGCCTCCCTCTTCCGGTGGACATGGGGGTCTGTGCCCGTTGGAATGCCGCTTCTGACAGGGGAGGCGACCAACAGCACGATCCCGTACGATAGTAAGCCGTGCTACGATTTTCTTTCTGAACGAAATCACCAACTTTCTGCCAATGCCTGACTTTCCAACATCATAGCGTTCTTATTCTCACTGGACCTGTGCTGGGGCAGTCGAAGCATCAATCCGCGAAAATGACAAGCGAAAAGGTGGCCGAGCCCGGAACGGAAGAGCAGAACCCTCCCAGCGCTGCAGACTCCGCAACATTCTCTATCTTTACGCCATGGCAAAAGCGATGGATTCTCTTCCTGGCAGCATTCGCTGCTATGTTTCGCCGATGAGCAGTTTCATATTCTACCCAGCGATCACGTCAATAGCATCGGATCTTGGCGTGACTGTTGGGAACGTGAACCTGGCTATCACAACGTATATGATAGTTTCGGGCATCACCCCAGCTCTACTGGGGAATGCCGCTGACAAATTTGGTCGACGGCCTATTTATATTCTGGCATTGTCAATTTACATCGTCGCAAACATTGGCCTGGCCCTTCAAAGCAGCTTTCCAGCCTTATTGGTGTCGAGGATGTTGCAAAGCGCGGGGAGCTCCGGTATGCCTTTTATACCAGAGCTTCCACATAAGCGACTGACATATGCAGGGACTATTTCACTTGGGTACGGGATCATTTCAGACATCGCGAGTCCTTCTGAGAGAGGTTCGTATGTCGGTCTGTTCAACCTTGGGTGAGTAAGAACGTACGGAGTTTACAAGCTCCAGCAACAAACACTAAGATCGTGCCCAGTCCCAATGTAGCACCGCCTCTCGGGCCAGTCCTGGGCGGTGCTATTGCTGCTAATTTGGGATGGAGGTGGATATTCTGGTTTATTGCGATCCTCGGCGGTACCTGCCTCCTACTGGTGTTCCTCGCGTTGAGCGAGACAGCTCGAGGTGTCGTTGGTAATGGCCAGGTTCCTGCCAATGGTCTCAACCGGATGCCCATACCTTTCGTCTTGAATGGGAAGAAAGGCGATACGGAGGTGTACAACGAGCCGGCAGAAGCTCGCAAGTGGTCTTTTCCTAACCCTATAACTTGTCTCAAGCTCCTCCTCGAAAATGACATCTTCATTGTGCTGCTCTGCAACGGAATCTACTACGCCACTTATTGTTGTGTGCAGGCATCCCTGTAAATCTGTTCATTCAGGTCTACGTATACCAAGAATTGCAAGCTGGTTTGGTATATATTCCGTTTGGCCTTGGCTGCCTGGCAAGTGTGTCTGTCTGGGGTAAGTCCATAACGTCCCTCCGTCACGGCCAAGCTCAGATTGATCTAGGCAGAGTCCTGGACTATGACTATGCTAGGATAGCTAAGTTACATGGAATCGAAATCGATCCGCCTTCCCGAAAAAAGCCAGATCACGCCATCCCTATAGAAGAAGCAAGATTGTGTAGCTCGTTCTACTTGGTAGCGCTCTCTGCAATAGGAACCATCGGTTTTGGATGGGCTGTTGAGCGTCAAGTGGTAAGCTTAAGTACCTTTTGACAAGTGATGGCATTGGCTTATCGGGATAGCATGTGTCAATACCTCTGATTATCCAAACAGTCATTGGGTTCACGATGACGGCAGTGTTTGTTGTGAGTAAGCTCCTCAAGACTGTCGACCTAACCTTTACCTGACATTTGACAGGCTCTTGGAACTCTGCTCACCGACCTGAACCCGAAGCAGTCGTCTACCGCCGCAGCGTCTGCTAATGTAGTCAGGTGTACTCTATCGGCTGGAGCACTCGCCGCTCTTCAACCAGTCATTGATTCGGTCGGGGCGGGTTGGTGTTTTACCATCTTCGGCCTGCTGGGTGGTGTTTGCGGGCCGCTCTTGTTCCTGGAAGTTCGGCTTGGACCAAAATGGAGAAGGTCAAGGATCGCCCAGGACGAATAACGGGGGTAGCACGTCGCATTCGTCCTGGCTGATTCCCAGGTGATTTTTCTACCTTGAAACATGGCAGTTCCTCGATGTCTAGCTCGCCTAGAACCGCGCGACAGGGTCATGGACTGACTGCGTTCTGGCATGGCCAAACTTTGAAGCGCATATTGATTCCCAGGAGCAAACATCAACTTATCACAATACCGCGATCCGGATGTTCTGGACAGAATCATGCCGGTTTCGGTCAGTAGTCTACGACGATGCGACTGTGAAGCACAAGCCAGAAGTGTCACCTCTCATCACTCGTCTGCCTTTGGTCCATGTTGGGGACGGGGATGCAACTGAGTCATAGATAGACTCTGCAACATCCGTACGTCGCATGGTCCTTACTCCATAATGGCTTGTATACCACTGCGTTGCCGTTGGAAGCATGGTCGATCCGCTTTTCAGGCCGATTCCGCTCGTATTCGGCGTTGCGTGGACCAATAGGAGGGTCACATCTCGTCCTGGTCCCCTGGATGCTGTCGGCCTAGCCTAGAGGCTTGTGATTGACAGGGCGCACATACGGGTATACATATTTGGTCCGTCCAGATCCAAGATCGTTGACGCTTCCTCTATAACGAATAGAAATCCAACACATTATGCATATTGTCAAAGGCCTCACGATGTCGTCTCATGTCCTCTCAAAACGCGCGAGCCAGACAATTCGCGATCTAGACACGCCGTGGAGGTTTGCGCCGGCCGCAACCTACGACCCGGACACCAACCCAGACGGACTCATATCGTTCGGACTGGCAGAAAACAAGTTGGTCGACCGAGAGCTCCAAGAGTTCGCACGACATGTCACCATCCCGGCCCAGGCATTCAGCTACGCGTACAGCTCGGGCGGGGGTCCCGAACTACCCGCGGCCATGGCCCGGCATCTGAACGAATACTTCTCCCCTTTCAAGCCGCTAGACGGCTCCGAGATCAGCATCTCAGGCACGGCCACTGCCATGCACGAGATAATTGGATGGGCGGTCGGTGAGCCGGGGGACTGTATACTCACCTCCCGCCCGGTCTATGGACGATTCGAGCTCGACTTTGGGAACAAAGCCGAGCTGAATGTGGGTTACGCCGATACGGATCCCGACTCGAGTTTCGACAGCAGTGTCGTGCAGAAGTTTGAAGAGGCACTGGCGGGCGCGTCGAAGGCGGGCCGTGTCATTCGGGCGTTACTCATAGTGAACCCGAACAACCCCCTCGGTCGCTGCTATCCCCGTGATACTCTGGTCGCGTTGATGAAGTTCTGCCAGAAGCATAGCATCCACTTCATCAGCGACGAGGTGTACGGGTGCTCTGTATACAACTCGTCGCACCCGACGTTGCCCCCTTTCACGTCCGCTCTCTCCATCGATCCTGCGGGGATAATAGACACTGATCTGTTACACGTCACGTACGGTCTCAGCAAAGACTTCGGCGCCGCCGGGCTGCGCGTTGGCGCCCTCGTGACTCGCAGCCAGGCGATGCACCGCGCGGTCAAGAGCGTCACGCGCTTCCACAACGTGTCGGGGCCCTCGGTCGCGATCGCCGCGGCCATGCTGAACGACCGCGCGTGGTGCCGTGGCTTCATCGACAAGGCAAGGACCAGGATGGCCGCGGCATACAAGCACGTCACCGAAGCATTGGATGCTATGGAAATTAAGTACGTGTCCGCTAACGCTGGTTTCTTCGTCTACGTCGACCTGTCTCCGTACCTCAAGAAAGGGTCCAGTCCGGGTCAGGAAGACCCGGATTTTGCTATTGCCCGGAAACTGATGGATGCGGGTGTGTTCCTGCATCCTCTCGAGGAACACGGTCCCTCGGGTTGGTTCCGGGTGGTCTTCACCCAAGACCCGCGCACGGTGACGGAAGGATTGAGAAGGTTGAAGGCGGTAGTGAGACCTTGTTGAAATATAGATCCATGACGTTACATTGAAGCCATGTTTGAACATGCAAGCATATGGCAATGTGGTCTTTCGTCTTCATAGGGGGCGTGTATTGAAGTAGAATCCCAAAGACCTCATCATAAACGCTGTGATGAAGGCAGGGCGACGTGACCTACTGAGCCGACTGGTATCCAGTAAAGGCTTCATTCAGGATCGAGCCCAGTAGATCCACTGCGACATATATAAGGGGTCTCAGCAGGCAGACATGTAATCGTTTCACGGCAATACAGTTGCATACCATGATCTGAGCATAGTTTGATACCCTCACATCACTTTTGCCTCCTTTCAGCTAAAAGGGGGCGAGGATGGAGGTCGAGGGGATGCTGTCAAACAGCGTGTATTATGGTGTTTCTGAAGGATTTGCTGTCGTAAGCTGCAGGGCCCAAAATTGCCCTAGAGGCCCTGTTGGTGCACTGCCACTTCCCTGAACGCCACTGTGGCTTGCGTGCCATTTGACAGATGCTTGCTTGAAGCCATTTGTAAAGAGTACTGCTATTTGCACCTTGTTAGAATTCCTTATTTGCACCTTGCCTCCACACCCCAACTACCAGCCAGCTGCAATACAGCCCCCTATCTCAGCAAATTTGCACCAACAACTGCGCCGACAACTGCGACGACAACTGCGCCGACAAGCCGTAAGCTTAATGGCTAGCCCGCTGTCAGCTGTCTGGGGAGATGGTGGTTCTGACAAGGTGCAAATAGCAAGACTCTCTGTAAAAGGCAAGAGGTGGCTGGTTGGGTTAGGAACCCCCATTGATCGAATGGGCAATAGACACGCAGTAGGAAATTAGATGACATTGCGCGACAAATTCTTACTTCTGATACACGTATGAGGCCTCCATTGTTGCAGTTTTTGACCGTCTTCAGCATGTTCATCATTCAAATAACATTATACAATGTATTTGGCTACCAAAATCCCACCGATCAACATCCGCCACCACCACGAAATTTCTTCGAAGTCCTCGTTCCCGAAGTGTTCGAACCTAGGAAGCCATGAACCCCTACAGTCTCCATGTAGTCAACTAGAACAATCCTCACAGGAAGGGCAGAAGAGCTCCAGCAATCAACACTCCAGGGCCGAAAGTGGCAGCTGCGGCAACACCAGGTATGGCAGTCGAGGTAGGGTTTCCGTTGGAGTCGGTCTGCGTCGCAGCACCACCGGCACCACTGGCACTCGCGCTGGACGAACTCGTTCTGTTGCTGATCGCCTGCCAGCCACAGGCCTTGAGGAGACTCTCGATGGCTGTGTAGTTATAGGCAAGTCAGTCATCAACAGACGTAGACTTCAATATGCAACGCAGCTCTGCCGGACTTACTTTGAGTACTGTTCCCTCCGTTGCCGTTGCTACCCACGACACCACGGGCCTCGAGACACCCGCCACACTCGGTGATGTGCGTCTTGGAATCTTGGGCATTGCAGACACAGCTTTGGTACCCGCCTCCGCTGGTGTCGCCGCCGCTTTGGCTCTGGCATTGCTGGGTAAGCTGGACGGTGGACTGGCAGATCGTCCCGCAGCCGGTAGGGATGTCGCCTGGCTGAAGTGTTTGAGCTGCGCTCGTGGCCGCAAGGGCGGCGATGATGGCGATGAGTTTAGTCTGCATGTTGTGTAAATGGCGATGTGCAGTTTTAGTTGGAGTTGCTCGAGGCTGGATGTAGTTGAACGGAGTAGAAGACGGAGAAAATTTTGCTCCCGCCAACTTAAGTATCCCTTTCGAGTTATTGATCGCGTCAGCTGTTACACCATGTGGTCATATCTCTCGCGGGGGGAAACTCTATCACGGGAAAGGTCATCTAATGTTTCTGTAGTGTGTCTCTTCTTTCTGGGTCAGTAACAGGGGTTTCATCATCATCGATGATGGCCTATCGCGGGATGTGCCTGGAGGTTTAGGTTTCACTAAGTGCAGAAACAAGTTTCTGACTCTCAAGAAATCCGACGAGAATGCAGTAGGGCAGAAAACCAAGCTTTCCTGCACAGATTGGCATCATGGGACTTCAGATGACCGCCGAACCTGCAGCATGGGAACTAAGCAGTACCCATGTTGCCACGATGCCACGATACTGGGCGGAGGACTGAGGTCAGGGGCTGCTTCAAGTTCGAGGTAGCCGCACTCTCTCACTCGGTTGACCGTCACGCGGCTGAAATAATGATTTGGAGTGGAGTTCATAACGGTTCGGTAGTCATTCCAGTCAGTTGACTCTTGAAAAACTGCTTAAGCCCAACATGCTTGTGCTTGTGCCAATTGTCATTTCGACCGCTTGACGATGATGATGATGAGTGACTTCCATTGACTCTTGAGGTCGTTTCGATCAGAGGCAGCCCCACCCCACCCCCACCCCCACCTATAGATTTATCTACTGGTCCAAGCTCCCTCGTCGCCAACCTCGAGAACTCAAGTCCATTTTTCACTCTCCAACCATCACCAATCATTTCTTCTCCAAGTCAACCCCAAGTCCACGAAATGGCCCAGGTCAGAGACCCTCTCCTCGACCTCGAGAAGCATCGACAGCAGCTGGAGGAACATGTCGATAATCTTATTATCGCTTTGGACGAGTGGCGACAATGGAAGGAAGAATACGAGACGCTGAGAGTAGACGTCAAAGCCTTGCCATCCACCGCAGCCCGAGTAGACCTGACCAGAGCGCGAGAGGATTACGACGGTGAATTGGTGAATGAGATAGAGCTTGTGGACATTTTCGGCAAAAACGACTCAAGGAAGCGCGATCAGGTTCTGAGCACCCTCACGAATAGGTTAGATTACGTTTCCAAGAACATCGATACTTTGGCCAAGCAGCTTGACGCCACCGAAAACAAGCTTGCCACTGCCAGGGTTGTTAGTAATCCGGACGCGACCGACGAAGATGGACCACCCATCACCGAGATCATGGAAGAGCTGGACGACGAGGACAATGTAGTATCCTACAGCCTCCGAAGGCCGGGAGATAGTCAAGCAGAACTGCTCGAGGCACTTGAAAAAGCCGGTATCAACAAGAAGGACATACCCGTGGGCACTCGTACACCATCAGCCGAGACTTCCAACAAGACCTCCAGTGTTGCGCAGCCAACGTCATCTCAGAATGAACGACGCCAACCACCAATAAGAAAGGATGTCGAAAATGTACCCAAGGAGAAGGCCAAGCCCAAGAAGAAGAGTGTCGCATTCAGCGAAGACACCAAGTCCGGTGAAGATGAGGTACAGACGGAGACGGCCAGGAGACTAGAGGAGATCATGCGCAAGGCCAAAGATCAGCAGGATATGATATCAGATCCCATTATCCCCGCAGACGATTCGCCAGAAGACGCCGGCCTACGTGAAGACATGATCCGATACAACAAAGCGACGATGATGTATGAGATGGCACCCATCGTTGCCGAGTTGCAACTAGAAGAAGGATTTGCTAGTGACGACGGCTGGGGTACTGGTGAGGATTATGAAGAGGACGAAGACGACGAAGATGAGGACCAATGGGGCCGATCTACATCCGGGGTCGTTGATGACGATTGGAAACTGCAGATGCTAGAGCTCAAGGAGCGCATGAGCAAGTACGCGTTTGGCGAGGACCAGGCACCCGAGGCCGACGACGACGACGAAACAGGGGAGGGCCTTGGTCGCATTACCGTTAGACATGGAGAAACAGGTACTCCCAGTGACGGTCTCGACAAGCAACCCACTAGCAGCCTCAAGAAAGACGGATCTTCATCAGCGACAGATGAAAAGAAGAGCGTCAGGTTTGCTACCGATCTGGATATTGCCGAGGCTCCAGCTTCGACTGCGACCCAAGTCAATCCCGAACAAGCGAAACAGCCTGAGGTGGACCCAATATCGGACGTGAAAGAACGCGCTGTGGGAACAGCCGCCGCACCAACTCAAACCTCAAGGAAGAAGCCATCTAGGTTCCGTAAGAATAGGGCAACCGAAGCACCTGCGGCCCAAGCACCAGCAATTGCCCCTCAAAAGCCCGTCGATCAGAGCAGATATGCGCCCTCTGGACCTAAAGGCAGAACCCTGGCTACTTCGGTTCTCGAGCACGAACCCTCAATAGAAGCGCAGGAACCAGACGAGTTTGATGCCAACCTACTGCAGCAACAGGTTGCGGAGGAGTACCACAAGATGCGCAACAAGCTCGTGCATCGCCAAGGAGGATTCCTGAAAGAAAACGAGAACCCCATCCAGCCCCTCGACGAGGAAGAGGGCGGCCCCAAGCGGATGAGTCGGTTCAGGGCAGCAAGGCTGGCTGGTCCGTAAATAGAGAGTCAAGAATATTCGGTAGCTCAATGTTAATTGAGTTATTGACCGTTCTTGACTTCTGCATACGACCATGGTGCGGTTCACCTTTCGCATGTGGACACTATGTGTCGACAATGGTGGGATAGGTCTTGGTCACCAGACTTACATCAGTGACAAGCGTCTCGAATTCGGTCTTCAACAACTTCGAATCGCCCGTGCCCTTACCAGAAGGTATGGACTCAAGGTGCCCCATTGACGGGGCATATATCATGCACAGAAGGTAGGCCGGACATATGAAGTGTAGGTGCTTTTCGAGGTTCGACCTTAGTCATTGGTCTCAAGACGGTATAGTTCCAACGGAACGCTTGTTTATCTGACAATTGATGCATTGCGGCTACTCGATCTGCTATTGCATTACTCGCGCTTCCAAGATCAACTACAAAAGACAGGGCTCTCTGACGCCTCTACCCTTTGGTTTTCGAACCCCCCTGGTACTGGCGATTCGTTTCACCCTGGACATCTCTGACGCTGTATTCATCCCGGCTTTTGCCTTTCCATTTCCCTTCGTACTTGATGTGCATAGGTACCTCGATAGACCAATATATCAAGTCCCATTGCTGGCCTGCAACACCATGGCTTTCATCTAGCCATGCCGTCTTATGGTGTGACCGCAATGCGAAGGATTTAGGTATCAAAATGATAGTATTTGCCATTCAACTCCAGGAACCAACCCGTTTTTCAGACCATTCGTTCCTAGTGCCGTCATTCTAGCTAACCTTCGCGTTCGAAAAGTCCATCTCGGGGTGCTGGTCCTGGAACTTCTTGAGGATGTCGGCCTTCTTCTGCTCGTCGGAGCTGGGCAGGCCGGCCTCCTTCTGGCGCTGGTCGTACATCATCTTCTCGACCATGCCGCGGGTCTCGCCGTCGAGGTCCGACAGCTTGCTATTGTCGGGCTGGATCTTGGTCACGTCGATGCGCGGCGCCGCCGTCACCACGTGCGCCCACCACTCCATCTTGTTGATCTTGTCCAGGTGGATCTCGAGCGTCTTGGTGCCGTCCGGCGCGGCCATCAGCGTCCACGTCGACTCCTCGGTGTGGATCGGGTGCGGAAGGTCGCCCTATTTGGGGGCGTGTTAGACCAGTTGACCACAATCGCATCACATGGTTGTGGCCGGTATGCAAACCGACAAGGAGGGACTATGTGCGAGGGAAGTTCCGTACATCGATGAACGGCTCCTGGCCCTTGATGCCGGCCTTGAGCTTCTGCTTCTTCAGCTCGACGACCAGGTCGCGCGCCTTGAGGTTACCGGGTATCGAGGGTATGACGACGTCGAGCTCGCCAATAACTTGGCTCCATTTGTACGGTAGCGCCTCCTGCTCGGCGGTTTCCTTGGCACGGGCAGCTGCCTCTTGCTCTGGGGTGGGATCTGTAGATGGGAGCTGTTAGCTATGGTGGGGAAGCTTGTAGGTGTAGGTCCTTCATGCTGAGAAAGGCACTGTCTCGGGATGGAGATCTGTGATCTGTGATGGGACGAGAAGCTCGACATACCGTTGTCAGCCATTGCCGCCAGTCTGCAGAGTATCTAGACAAACGGGTGTGTTTGGATGGAAAGATGGAAATATGGAAATATGGAAATGTCCAGAAGGCTGACAAAAGAGACTTGAGCGATGGAGGAGGGGCAGAGGGGCAGAGGTCCAGCAGCGGTCTGACCCTGTAAGTCAGCGCCACTTCCCGACTTCACTATTTCGACTTCAGCAAGCGGCCGTTCTTTCATCGGGTACCTTACCTTTCTTCATTCCTCGCCCTTGCCACGACTCCAACACCAACATCGCGAATCTCGACTTTGACCTCGCCGTCCGCGAGTTCATTTCCGTACCAAATGAGCGCACGATCGAGACCTTTGCGACTTTCCACGAGCTAAACCGCAACACAATCTCTCCAACCTCTACGTCAGAGATCCCATCGACAGGCGACCCGAAACCCGCCCACCATGTCTCGCAAGCCCGTCGCGTCGTCGACGGTAGTGAACCCGACCTCGGCGCCCGCGACCGCCCTCCCGTCCGACATCTGCCCCGTGTGCAAGCGGGTGCGGTACCTCAACACGGACATGGAGTTCCTGATCAACCCGGAGTGCTACCACCCGATGTGCAGCAACTGCGTGAGCAACATCTTCAAGTCGGGCCCCGCGCAGTGCCCGTACGCGAGCTGCACCAAGACGCTGCGCCACCGGGGGTTCCGGTCGGCCTTCTTCGGCGACCTGACCATCGAGCGCGAGGTCGACATCCGCCGCCGCGTCGCCGCCGCCTACAACAACGTCGAGGACGACTTCGAGACCCTGCGCGACTACAACAGCTACCTGACCGACGTCGAGGACCTGACCTTTGACCTGATCTCGGGCAGCGGCGACGAGCGCGCCGCCGCCGAACAGAAGCTCCTCACGCGCGAGCAGCAGTACCGCGACGAGATCGAGCGCAATAAGAAGCGCGGCCGCGAGGCCGAGCTCTCGCGCCAGAAACGCGACGCCGCGGACCGCGAGGCCGCCAAGCAGCGCCGCGCCGAGGAGCAGAGGGAAGAAGCACGCGCCCGCCGCGAAGAGGCCACCATCAACGCCGAGGTCATGGAGGCGCTGTCGCGCGGTGAGTCCGGCACCGCAGCCGACATCCAGGAGCGCATCGTAGCGCGGAAACGAGCGCGCGTCGCCCAGATCGCAGGGTCGCATTTCACCAATCTCCTCGACAACAACAATTCCAAGAACACATCCTCCACCACGTCAAATAACAACAACATGCTCTCGATTCGCGGTCTCAAGTCCCGCAACCGCCGCGGCGCCACCGAGGAGGAGGAAGACGCCAAGGGGCCGTACGACCCGTTCGCAGGCCTGTCGCTCGAGCCCAGCCGCTACGCGCTGCATAAGGGGGGCGACGGCTACCCCAACACGTGGCTCGAGGACGCGCGCACGCGCGAGGACCATCGCGTCCCCGGGTACAGCACGCGCGAATACGTGGCGCGCGCGCTGTTCGACGCCTTCGCGGGCCTGGGCGTCGTCGTTGGCGACGAGAAGGCCGACTCGGAGATGCGGGGGGTCGGCACCGTGGGCGCGGCCGAGGCGGCGGCTGCGGGGAAGAGGACGGGGCTTGGTGGGGGGCGGATGGATGTTGGTGATGTGTTTGTCTGAGGTTCTATCATCAAGCTTATTTTGCTCGGGCGATCAGTCATCTACATCTATGGTGCTAGGATACGGGGAGGGAAAGTGCTTTTCTTTGCTTAAATCTGCATAGCGTTGGCGTCTGGTCTCTGCATGATACGTGTACTATATAAAGGGGGTTATTCGGACAAGGAGATTAGATCATAGAGACAGAGATAGAGGCAGTGAGCGGCCACTCAGTCGACTGTAGCAGTGGCATACACCCACCAGAACAATATGAAGATGTTAGCTGCGAAGCTGAGCAACGAAGCCACATTCTTCTGTACATTCATCAGTACATTGATCTGCACATATTAGTTCACCTTGAAGCCAGACGAAAACCTTTGATCATGATTTGGTATCATACACTACTACTAACGATGCTAGTCTACTATTTCGAAGAACAAAGACCGAGTTGCATAAGTGTCAAGGTCATCAGATCCGTCCTCATCTTCGGCACTGTCGGCATTCGTGTCCCAATACAGACGCGGTTGTGCTGTCAGCCCACGCTGTGAACTTCTCGCACTCCGCCTCAACCAAGAGACTGTTGCCATAACTCTTCTTGGCCTGTCCAGTCTGGTCAGGCCCACCACTTCCTGTTTCAACATGTCTGTTTCGTAGGGGATGGGAAATCCAAGAAATGCCTCGCTTGATGCGTCCTAGGGACAGTAACCCTATGATGCGAGGATATTCTCAGCCTCAACCGGCAGCCAAGACCCTTCTGCTCTTCCTTCTCTCATAACTGCTCTTATCAATCGGTTCATTGTTGCCATGGTGTTTGCGTTGAAGGTCGAGGAAAGACGGGCGTTGTTTGTAGCTGATCCAGGCCGCCACCGATAGGCATCTGGTTATGTTGCCAACCCATGCCTGTCTGGTGGTTGACAAAGGCGCCTTGCCTAAATGGGTTGGTGGTTCCCGTGGGCTGTGGCATGATGCCTCCGCTCGTCTGCGGCCGTTGCGCTTCATTCTGCGGCGGGCCAATGTTCTTGGCGAATGGATTGGTCCCAGTGGCCATTGGTTGTAATGGCGCTTGGGCTTGACCAGGAGGTGCCGATTGGAAAGGGGAATTTGGTGATGGGTTTGCAAACGGTGTTACAGCCTGCGGTGATGACCGTGCGAAAGGATTTGTGGATTGACGATTCAAGGCCCCTTGCGGTTGTATTTGAGGTTGAGCCTGAGGATTCGTTGGCGTAGAGAATGAGTTGGGCATCATGTTATTATTAGACATCCCCGTCGGGTTGGCCATCATCATTGACGCTCTAAATGGATTGGTCGTCTGCTGTCCTGTCTGCATGCCGGTCTGCATAGGAAGCGATAACGTCCCCGTTTGAAACGACGCAACGGAGTCCTGGGGTACGGATCCTAGGCTGGTGGGCGAGAAGCCCTGTTGGGCTGGCGGCTGAGGCGTATAGCCACCAAAGCCGGCACCGGTGAAGTTGGGCTGCTGCTGATTCGGCACTTGCTGCTGCTGAGGGAAAGCTCCGACATTCTGCTGCTGGAAGGGACTGTTGCTCTGGAATCCCGTAGGTTGAGGAGCGAACCCGTTGCCTTGGAACTGGCCCATCTGCTGTTGGGGATCCGGTTGCCAAGGGTTGCCGGTGTTCATCTGTCCCATTCCCATCTGAGGCTGAGGAGCTTGCTGAGGGACTTGCTGGGGGACCTGCTGGGGAGCCTGTTGGGTTGGCTGGAAATTCATGGTGGTTTGGTTCTGCTCTATCGAATCGAAGAAATCGATTAGGTCTGGATCTGGTCCCTTCGAAGGCTGAGGTGCTGCCTTGGGGGCAGACGTAGATGGCGTGTTGGTATCCGGGAACATGTTTGCCGTCGCTGCTTTCGCATCTGCATTGCTCTTGTCCCCCTTTGACAAAACTGGCCCCCCTTTCTTCTTATGCTGTTGTTCGGCCATGAATTGCCTTCGGTTCACCTCGAAATCCGGGTCCTTGAGATAGTCTTCGAGCTGCCGGCGCAGATTGACCGGAGCGTGCTTCAGCTTAGGAACCTCGACTCTAGTATGAGGTTCCCACTGCCGTGCTACGGCCAGATATTGGACAACATAATCTGTCTGTCTAGTAAACAGGCGGTAGATATCCATAGCCCTCTCCGCATCTGGTTTCGACATTTCGAAGAAGTGGCCTGGTCCTGATTAGCTTCAATATGACCGGCAGTGTCCTCTTCTAACTTACCCAGAAGGTTGATCATGGCTTGATTTAGCACCTGGAATAGACACAGCAGATCCAGCACCAAGAGCCTGAACACTGTTATGGTGATCTCATTCTCTGGGTCTTCCAATACCTGTTCCAAGTCAGGTGGACTGATGCATGACGGCATGACAGCGTGATGTTTTACGTACGTCGCATTTCAGCAGAGCGGTGAGTTGGTTTTGCACAACCTCGGTCTCGCGCAGCAGCCCCTTATCGACCGACAGCTTCTCCAGGCGTGTTTCCTTGACGCGAACCCAATCCACCTTGGTATCCCTGAATGCGCGTACCCTCTCTGCAAGGTAGGAAGCGTAGTGCCGTATATTCCGGCCCTGTATTTGCGCTGCAGTGTCAAGTCAGCAAGACGCAGCCCGCCAATATGGCGTCTTGTACCGAAGGAAATATGCCACCCACCATCAGTGAAGGAGCCGATGGCCAGCTGATTACGATGCTTCGCCAGGTAAGCCAGGGTGGCATCCGGGGAGCCCTCTCTGATCATGAGGTGGACTGTGATCAAGCTCTTGAAGACGACGGTCCACGTAGAATCGCGTAGTCGGTTCTGCAGCGCTCGAAATACCTCTCCAACACCAGCCTCCCCCGCGTGTGTCGCTATAAGGATATGCTCGATATACTTCGTCTTCGGGGGCGCGGCCTAGGGAAATACGGTCAGCGTTGTGCGACGGCGGATTGGGTCTGCGGCTGCCGTCTTGCTGGGGCGACTCGCCTTGATCTTGGTGGCGCCCTTGACAGACTTTTCAAAGGAGCTCGACATGTTCGTCTATCGCGACCTTGGCAACAGCCAAGCGTCTCAGCAGCTGCTAGATAGGTGTCTCGCGGTCGTTGGGCACGTATGTTGCGGAAGCGCTGGACGGGGGAGATGGCGGTTGGCGGGTACTCGAGGTCGTAGTAATGGAAGTTTCGAGGCAAATACAGTGGTCAAACGCGGGACAAAGACCACCATGCACCATGACAGACCACGAGATAATGTGCGACGTCAGGACAATCGGCCAGTCAGTGGCAGTCTCGTGGGTGACCAACAGTGGACGGAGCGGATGGCATTCGTGTAGCGAACAGGGACAGTGTCGATCAAAGCGATTCCATTGCAGCTTAGTCGGTCTGCGTAGACTGAATAACTCGATTCGATAATACTAAAGTTGTGATATTCTGCAGATAGTCGGTGGCAGTCGGTTTCGACGATGTCTCTTCGCGAGCAGGACCGGACGCAGAGGCGGAAATTGGAAGTACGTCGGCATCCCGGGACTCAGGTAAGTCAGGGACTCAGGATGGACTACCTACCTCCTAAGGAGCTGAAGATCTTGGAAGTTGGTATGACATAAGTAAGTACGGTACAGGCGGGCTAACTGGATAGGGTACGTTCAGACCGCTGGGGCCAATGACAGCCCGTCGCTGCCGAAGCGAAAGCACCACGCTGGCCGGCGGGTACACGGCAGCCACGCTGGACTCACAAGTCACTGCGCGTGTGTCACTCTCGATGCGTTTGGCTCTCATTGAGCAGTGCATGTGGTTACGCTACGGTGTGCGTTGATCCACTATCGGGGATTCCATTATGGGTAGGTATGCAACAGTAGCTGTGAGTTGGGAGTCGCGTGAACGTAGCAAGTCAGAGATTGATCTTTGAAAACAAGAGACAGCGCTTTCATATTATGGTTCTGTCTCCATGGACCTTCATGTTGCCTATCCGCCGGCCTATCTTGTACTATGGAGGAAATGAGGGCCATCTTAACCACCCCGATGCGCATCTTCCGATGTGCTGGGTGCAAAATTATGGAAAGGAAGGAACTGGCGCGGGAACACGACCAGGCTACACTTGAAGCCTGGTCGGCGCAAGATCAACCCGATGGGCTAGTGCTTGCAGATATCAAGCTCGCGCTGAGGGGCTGATGATGTTGCAGTGGGAGATCGATGTATGAAATGTTGGAGAAGGAATGAGGCAGAGGGTAGGAGCGTAGGAGGGTAGCGGGTGGTATTCAGCCTTCCAATCCAAAATATTAATCAGAGTTGCCTTTTTGCGTCCATTGTTAAACAAGGTCCAAGGTGTGTCGAACGCTTATTTCATGATTCCGGTCCTCTCGTCACAGAAGAACCACTTGAGCCCCCGAGAGGGAGAGTTCTGGAGCTTCGAGAGGCGGAACACATCATATTATACACGAGGCTTTCATCACCTGTAGGAGAGCAGCGTTAGCAAATGGCCAGATAGCACAGGATATCGCAGGGGCGGTTGGTGGTGTTGCTAAAGACTCACATTTATTTGAATTGGAAGGATGAAGAGGGAAAGAAGGAAATGAGAAGCACCGAAATTTGCAGAGCTTCATATCAAGAAACGCCAAAATTTAGGTGGGGCCCTTACTGGGGCTCCACCTGTGCGCCGGCGCGGGGTCCGATTCATCCGCCAACCTTTTGCAGCCCCTGACAGCCCCTGACAGCGCTGGAGATTTGCTGGCAGCTGCCGCGACTTTGAAGGACTGGGGTGGGCCTTTTCGGTGGGCCATGTCCCTTACCCGGAATAAAATCACATGTTCAGAGGTGAGCTTGGTGAACTTGACTTTCCAAGATGTACAGCATCGAATAACGACTGATGGTCAGGTTTCTCACAGATGTGCTGTCGAGAGATGCCCTGAGGTGCATTAATAGCATCGAGGGGCCGACTCTGGGCAGATCTGCCGCCCTACCCCGGCATCGTCCGTTTCTTCAACAGTCGCGTAGGACCCTTCATCATGACCACGATATCCCCACACCAGCCGAGCCCAAGCTGGATGGTGGCGCATCGCCACAGACCTCAGACCCAAGATGGGAATCATTCAAGAAGTCTTGTAAGTCTACTGGCTGCCGTTAAAGCAACCTCAGATGACATCGTTCTGACTCCCGTTGCGTAGTCGAGTTTCCCAAAGCTACTGCGCTGGGCAACTTTCGACCTGGATTGGATGTCACCATTCATGGCTTTCTTGGGAAGCGAAGAGACAAAGGTTCTGCCTTGACCTTCTGTCACGTACAGCTTGGGACGCAGAACGTCCAGGTTGTTTCCAGTTGGCAGGAAGAGGGCTCCTTGCAGCACAACGCTCACCAGGAACTGAAAGCTATCCCTGCCTACAGTCCTGTCTGTGTTGCAGGCACCCTTCAGGAGACTGGGAAATCTGATAACGTAAACGCTGGCAAGACCTGGGACTTGAAACTACGCTCCGTGCAATGTCTGAATCCGTTTCCCAAGGACATCATCGTTTCCAAGGACGCGGTGTGGCCGCCCAAGTCGCGACATCTGCAGCTTCGCTTCGATCCTCTGCTTCAGGACAGATTGCGGCTTCGCGCTCTTGTCGCTGCGAGACTATCCAAAGCCTTGCGAAGCCAAAAGTTCACCCAAATCGAGACGCCTGTCCTCTTCAAGTCTACCCCTGAGGGGGCTCGGGAATTTTTGGTTCCAACAAGGCGCCAGGGCTACGCATACGCATTGCCGCAAAGCCCCCAGCAGTACAAGCAGGTTCTCATGGCCGCCGGAATTCCCCGATACTTTCAATTTGCCAAGTGCTTCCGCGATGAGGACCATCGTGCGGATCGGCAGCCAGAATTCACTCAGGTTTGCTAGACTTGCCCGAGTACTCTCAACACTTCTGACTGCTCGCAGCTTGACCTGGAGATGGCCTTCGCGAGTGGCCAACACGTAATGAAGGTCGTGGAGCGCCTCATGAATTCCGTCTTCGAGATGCTCCACGAAGATTTTGTACCGACCGATTTTAACGGCACGATACATCCGGTCAGGAAAGGTACTTCGGACGAGCCCAAGCACCGTATGGATGTCGCCGGAAACACGACGGACAAAGACACCCCAGACGCCGTTCCAGGATTTCAGAAAGCCAAGCCACCATACAGTCGATGGTCCTACGATTACGCCATGAGCGTCACTGGCTCTGACAAGCCCGACCTTCGCATCCAGCCCCCACATGCTTCGAATGTGAGTCCTCGTTACGCTAAATTCACCTTCCTTCAGCTAACTTGAACAGATCTATCGTGTGGAACATCTCCTCTCCAAAGACTTCGTGAGCATGATTACTAGGCTCGAGGACCCCATCGTCGAGGCATGCAAGTTTCGACTCGAAGGCTCCCCTCATGACAACGGAGCTTTCATTCGCGATTTCTTCGATAACCTCCGGAACACACCGCAGAAGCTTGGTGCCGACAGTACTCCTGGCGTATTCATTTTCGACTCTAGCAAGCCACTCCAGGGTCTGTCTGCTCTGGGACATGAAGGTGCAGAAGGGCTTGCCAGTATCGATGAACAGTACTGGCAGCAGTGTGAAGATGGCGACATTATCATGATCCACGCACGGAAGAACGAGCCATTCCGAGGCGGGTCTACCGAACTAGGCAAGATCCGAAAGATGATATACGACACCGCTGTCGAGAAGGGCTGTTTACCCAAGGACCATTCGTTCAAGTTCCTCTGGGTCCATGACTTTCCCCTTTTCTCGCCAACTGAAGACGATCCAGGTCAAGGTGGTGCCGCAGGGTTCTCGTCAACCCATCACCCCTTCACTGCGCCCTTGACCCCTGAAGACCTCGACCTATTGAAGACCGATCCCCTTCGAGCCAGGGCCGATCACTATGATCTCGTCCTCAACGGCGTGGAGCTCGGCGGCGGAAGTCGCCGTATTCATGTCGCCGAAGTGCAAGAATACATCATGCGAGATATTCTCAAGATGACCGACCAAGGCGTGGGTCAGTTCGCACATCTCATCGAGGCATTGCGTGCCGGATGCCCGCCCCACGCAGGATTCGCCTTTGGCTTCGACCGACTCATGGCTGTCATCTGTGATGTCCCTTCGGTCAAGGACGTCATTGCGTTCCCCAAGAGCAACAAGGGCGAGGACCTACTCGTTGGCAGCCCGACAAAGACGACGCCTGAGCAGCAGAAGACGTACCATCTCTTCCAGAAGAGCTGAGCCAAATGTTTCAACAGGCGGCGGAACCCCCGGCCACTATATGAGTTGTATACTGTGTATTTATTGGACTGTATGATAGATGTTGAATTAGTATATAGATAGGCCACTTCAAGTCTCCGAGGCATTGTACAACGGTATCCAACAGAAGCTTTCTTCCGCTACATCTCCCTGGAGTCAGGTGCTTGCAGCACCGCTTTGCGCACTCCTCTTGAAGTTCATGGTGGAGTCGTCAAAAAGGTGTTTCATATGCACCTCAAAGCTATTAGACGACCCGTCCATCTTCTAGACCGCGCTGCTTTTCTTACCAACCACTATCTATATAGTCTCCATTGCTAACATTCCAAACTGTACCTGCAGCGTACACTTGTTTCACCTCATGCTCCCAGAAGAAGCGTATCAACTAGACGCGGATCGTAGCTAACATGGATTAGGCTGCCGCTTCATCTATACATTGGTCATAGGGTCAACTCTAACCACATTATGGCCGCTGGGGTAAGCATATCTTGGCGTAGATTGGATCGTCAACTACGGCTGAAATTGATGTTCAAGTCTAGAGGAGTTACAAACAGATATATCCAAGAGTGTGAGTTATGGACATAGTCTTGCACATGAACACGTAATTTATGATTAAATTCCGCGACCAAAGCAATAGTAATAATACATCATACAATCATTCCTGCACTCGCTCAACCATGATTCCAGCCAGTTGTACTCATCCACAACGCTTCGCCTCGCGCGGCCAGAAGCCTTTATGAGGTAGAGCTCGTGCCGTCATTCGCGGGAAGACCCTCCACATCGCCCGGCTCCCGGTAACTAGCCACTGGCTTAGCGCCCCGGGTGCGGCCGCCGATGATGTTAGACTCGTCGATAGCTTCCTTGTCATCTCGGCCTAGAAGGTCAGACACATTAGCTATAGCCCTGGCGCAGTATATGATAACACATTAGGACCAGACACGAACGATGTGGAGGCAAACCGGGGCATGGCTGGGGTGTAGATGATGAGATCTAATTGTTGGATGGGGGTAACATACGAAGCTGCTCATCGGTGTCGGCCGTGCGGTCATCGATGGGGTCCTCGACGCGCTCCTGGTCGGAGATGACGGGGAGGGCGTCGTTCTTGTGGCCGGGGCGCGACACGTACGAGTCGTCAGCGACATCGCCGGTGGGAGCCTCGTTCTCGTATTCAGCCATTTTGATAATGGGTAACGTTAAGTTACATGTAGGCTTGGAGAGAGATAGAGAGAAGCAATTGAGTTGTTCGTGGAGTAGGGACGAGGGTGGTTGTCTGGGTATAGGAGTACTTGTGATTCTGATCATGCAGGAGAGGGAAAGAAGCCATATCTTATACAAGTCGACTCCCACCCACGAAGACGGGATCGCCCAGCCAGCCAACCCCCTTTCATCCCATCCGAATGCCAGATCGACAGCAGTGGACCAGAGAGCGCCGACTGACGATGACGGAAGACCGAGTCATGTTGTCATCGGTCCTCATTCATCAGGCGCCGTCCATCGATCCATTCATTCGGTCAGAATAGAGTAACAAAGGTAGGATACCTAGCCACGAGCTTAAGACGCGAACATGTCGACGACGTCACGTAAATTGCTTCTTTCATCTCGCAGACTTCAATGACGCCATAGACGGTCATGACAATCCTTATGAATCATCACCGCGCTCTTCAAAGGGAAAGGGGGCTGAAACTAACTACGTAGACACCTCCTAAAGCAGCACACGGACCATCATCCGGGCGCCAATAGTCGTGAATGGTGATGCAACAACATATGCCAGATCGTGAAGCACTAATAACACACTGGAAGGATTTCTACCACTTAGAAGGACCTGCGTACCTGAGACCGATCCCATCAACGCCTGAGCTGGACCATCTTCTCCGGGGATCCCGTCAGCTCTTCCCGGCACGGGTTTCGTCACTTACGGCGAATTCAGTTAGAGTCCTGCTATTTGCACCTTGTTAGAATTTCTTACCTGCACCCTATCTCTACACTCCACCTGCCAGCCAGCTGCAATACAGGCTCTGTCTATAACAAGACTACACCAACAACTGCAACGATAGTTGCACCGACAACTGTATCGATAATTGTACGGATAACTGTACTGGCAACCGTACCGACAATTGCACTGACAGCCTCGCTTTAATGGTAAGCCGTGAGCTTGGTAGTTAGCCCGCTGCAAGTCGGGCTGGAGACAAGGTGCGAATAAGGAATTTTGACAAGGTGGAAATAGCAGAACTCTTTAGTTATCACCATGGGCAAGATATTGCTCAATCAAATCATACAGAATAAGGGTGTCGTGTGTGACTATCCCCGGCCACTAGGAAGACCGAGACGGCCCGCCGCCGCCTGATTGCATACTCTCCTCTATTGCCCGCCGCAACTCCTCGTCATCGTCGTCAGCAGGTATCGGCTGCTTTCCCTTCGCCTTGCGGAATTCAGCCTCGACAAGACTCTGCTTCTTGACATACTCTAGTACGGCGTCCTCTTTCGATTTCAACGAGTTGACACGCTCCATCTCCTCTCTATGTGCCCTTTCAGACTCTTCCATAGCACGTTTCAACTCCTCTTCGTCATCGGGTGATCGTGTCTGCTGCTCAGCCTGTGATGCTTCTAGAGCTCTGCGAAGCTCTTCCTCTCCGTCATGCGCACTATCATGCCCAGTGCTCTTCCGAGCTTCATGCACTGCCTTCGAAGCTTCGAGGGCTGCCTTGTATTGTTTGTCATCTTCAGCGGTGGCTGTGTGATCCGTCTGAGACTGCTCCAGTACCTGCTGGGACTGTTCATCGTCCCCTCCGCCTTCTTCCTCGAGATCATGCATCCGAATGGCCTCCTGCTCATTCTGTGTCATACTCAGCCTGACAGCTTGTTCGATCAAGGCCTGATATTCCTCATCTGTGATATTCTCGAGATCATCGGGTGAGAACGGCGGTTCTGGTCTGACATCAGAGACTGGTCGCTTCGCATCAGGCAGATACCCAGAACTTGGGTTCTGCCCCTCTGTCGTGGAGACATTGGACGATGTTGATGCGAACGAGCTTATTGTCGTAGTTCTTCTTCTGCGTGCGCCCACACTCGATCGGATGGCTTGCTCGATACGTGCGTCCTCTACTGCGTCACCTCTGGAGGTCTCCTGAACCGCGGCCTGGATGGCCTGTTCGTAATCATCTTCAAGTTCACGGGCTCTGTCGGCACCAGAAGCTGTCACAACATCTTCGTTAACGAATGGCGTAGACTGAGCTCGTTTCCTCTTCCATTCTTTCCTCTGCTCTTGCAATTTCTTCCGCTCGTCAAAAGACATATGTCTTGTCTGAAGCCAACTGGAGGATCGTGGTTGATCATTGAGTGATTCCGTGGAAGCTGTCGCATAATGAGGCGCGCCAGGCGTCGCATCTCGGGACTTGCCCTTCTCTTTCTGTTTCAGAGAATAGAACCCCTTCATCTTTTCCTTCTGGGTTAGCCAACGAACCTCGAGATCCTCCCGTTCCTCGAAGGAAGATTGGTCAAGGTCAGACTGGCCCTGGGAGATTCGCGATGCGACAATATACTTCTGGGCGCTCTGGGCAAAGAGGGTTCGTATCTCAGCATGAACGCCAGCCATGGTGTAGGCAGGGAGTGACCAAATTGCTACGCATGTAGTTAGCCTCTACCCAGATCGAAAACAACGGGCTTCTTACCTGCTGATGGCTTAAGGATAAGTCCTCCAATACCCTTACCGAACCCTTTGAGCAGCCCTGCGCCACCTTCCTTCTCCGCACCTTTGAGAGGCTGAGTGACGAGTCCGGTGATCCCATCGAACAGGCCATACCCAAATTCTTTGCCCGCGACTTTGAGTCCGCTAGCAAAATCTGTGACCTTCTCGGTTGGCCGCACTGTATCGTCATTGTACAGTGCTGGTGCATTTCTGAAACCCCGTGCAAGTCCCAGGCAAAAGTTCATTGGCGACTTCATACCGGTGCCTACAATGTTGTTGATGCTCTTGCCGGCCCCGAGGGCTCTCTCGAGGTTCTCGTTCATATTTCCAGGTGAAGCGGCACCCGCCCTTTTGGTCGAGCAGTTCGGGGCGGGAGTTGGTGGCGAATCAGATTGGACTTTGGAGTGTGCCGATGCCGAAGGTGTTAAGTTTTGGGCACTGGTGTTGGAGATACTCATGCTCAGGGGGTTCGAGAGGATGCTGACCGCGTCTGGGTTCGCCTGTGCCCGAGTTGAGTCTGCTGGTCCACCAGCACCTGTGGCACTTGCAGATTCATCCGGAATCTCTGCTAGTGAGCTTTCGGAAGCAAGGTTGTCGGTGGATTTGGACTTTGCACCCTTCGCAGCCTTGAAGATGTCTCGAGGGAAGTCACCCACAGACATCGCTATACTGCCAATATCTCCCAATAGTGCAGAAGTGGTGGCGGATATGGGGTCGGTCGGATGATCCTCAGTGCTGTACTCCTTGGCGCGGAAGCTGTCATGCATGTTAGCTATTAGTACGATCAGGAATGCTAGTGTCACCTACAGCTTCAGGTCTGTGTATTGGAGATAGCCGCTCTCTACCAGCGTCGCGGCTGCCAGCGCACTCAGATGTGCCCTCGTACGCCTCACACGCCAAACAGCCACCCGACTGGGAGCAACCGAGCAGCGCATGTTGTCAACATCCAGGTGCCTGTGGAAACTCTGCCCTCCGAGGTCGCTTCCCTTTTCCTCGCGAATCTTCTCTCCGAGCTCTTTGGCTCTTTCCAGGGTTTCGGGTTTGATTGCTACCCGGATAGCCTCCGCAAGTCCAGCCGACGTAAGCTTCTTGTATGGAATAGGATCAGGACCTGCGCCGGCTCTCGCAACCATGGCGCCCCAGAACGGCTGGTCTCCAAAAAACGGAACAACAATCGTGGGTTTGCCCGCTTGGATTCCAGCCGCAGTAGTCCCAGCACCGCCGTGATGGCACACGGCAGAGACATGTTTGAACAGCCAATCGTGGGGAACGTTTCCCAGCATGAAGACACCATCGGGTATGCCCACCGAATCTGCTCCCAAACCACCCCAACCTTTCGAAACGAGAGCACGAACACCAGTCTCGGCCACAGCATCGAAGATCATTCGTGTAAGGTTATTGGGGTCATCGACAACGATCGAGCCAAAGCCTATGTAGACGGGAGGTGGTCCGCCCTCGAGAAAAGCAGCTAGGTCTGGTTCCGGGGTGAAGGATGACGCAAGGTTGAGGAAGTAAAACCCTGCAATGTCGATGTGCTGTCCCCAATCAGTAGGCTTGGGAATAAGGGCAGGTGACCTATGTCTGCTTGTCAGTATTCAGACCGAACCTGGGCGCTTTTCGAACTTACCAGCAATATGTATAAGGAATTCGCAGTCGGGTGAGCACGCCAGGAGCCCAGAGTAAAGAGAGCGGTTCCAGATCAAGAACCTTTGTTCGGAAGCGATTGATGACATCTCCAAGGCCTTGCCATGTCATCATCTCGACAAGTGTATATGATATGTAGTTCGTCGTTACGGGGTCAGTATTCGTAGACTGAATATTCGCGAGCGGTTGAGGGAACGATCTCGTCGGGGACCAGGGCATGCTATGGAACGCCAGTCAGAGTGACCTCTTCCAGGCTCACGGGGAAACTTACGTGAACATCAAATGAAGCGGCACACCGAGCTTCTCGGCCACATGGATGTGGGCGAAACTGGGCGGGTTCGCAATGATGGCATCTGCAACAAACGGCTTGTAGTTGGTGTCAACCACCGATGGCGGCGGATCCGAAGGGTCACCATCTCTATCCTTGCGGTTGAAACGCGGTGCCGGGCCAAGGCCATTACCAGTCTCTATGCAAGATCTCCAGCAACCAAGGACAATCTCCTCAATGCCCTTCCTGCGCTTGGTGATCTCTCCACTCTTCAATGCATCAATACCTGGCATCAGACCAGGATTCTTTACCATGAAGGCCATAAGCTCTGCAGGGTCACCGCCGATGCTGAAGAATTCCAGACCATTTTCCTCGACGAACTGTTGGAAGGTGGCGTGCGTAGCAATCCGAACGCGATGACCGTAGGTGTCTCGCAAGATCTGGCCCAAAGCGACAAAGGGCTGAACATCACCTCGAGATCCCACAATCTGTATTACGACGTTCAATTTGGGTGGAGGGCTCTGGCCGGGCTGGCCACCCAAACTCGGAGGGATGTAGGCTGGCGGGAGGGGTTCTTCGGTGGCGATCCTCGCGTCTTCTCGTAGCTGGTTGCGCAGGGTAGGTGCTATGATGTCGGCTAGTTGTCTGCTCGTCTGGTTGATGTTGATGTCCACCCGACCGTCATCTGAAGAGTCGGCGCGTCAGCAACGAGAGTTGGAGGGTGGAGGGCTTTCGAGGGGAGGTTGTTACCTGTGACGGCCGCGCCAGCATTGAAGCCGGCCTGGTGTAGATTCAGCTGGTCATGGAATTCGCTGTAAGCCGGGGGAACTTCATCTGCGGCCCCGAGTCCTGGAGACTCTGGCATGAGACGGCCGTCGAAGCCATCGTTCACGACGACCTCTGGCGCATTGCTGAATGTCTGGCGGTTTAGAGGACGAGGTGCTTCTGGTGAAGTTGCTCCTGTACCTGCGCCAGCCGCAGCCCCCGCCCTCCGCTTTGCGTCGACAGCGGACATGGTTCAGGTGATGTGGTTAGTTGCGTGTTCGAGTTCGCATCCGTGCAACGCACTCGGAGAAGGTCGAGTTGAGGCTGCGTGGAAGTTGGAGGGGTCATCAATGATTGGGTCGGTGTCGGGTTGGAGCTGGACTAGGTAGAGGGAATCACAGCAGAGACGACGTTGATCAGTAGTATCACAACCGCAAGTGGGAGAGTTATCGTAAGCGTGACAAGTTGAGGCAAGATTGCTGTAAGTAATAATATACTGCTCAGTTGCTAACAATAAAAAGGATCTCGAGTCAGCGTCGCGTCGGCCGCGTGGTTCGCAAACAGGGATGCCTTTGGTGGCAGTGATGCCGATGCTCGCATTGGTCGGCGGGACTCAGGCAGCCGTTATTAAGCTACTGCTGCGGCTTGATGAAGGAATAAGGCAAGTTCCCAGCTAGGTAGGCCACGGTGAAGGGAAGGGTACGTGGACATCTATCTGCTTTTGTTGTAGCCGTCTGGTGACGGGGAGAAGGAAGTGGGAGTGGAATGGCAGAATGCATCCGTACAACCTGGGCCCCCATGTGGTGACTCTGGTGAGGCCCGGCGGTGACATGGAGGGGCTGGAAGCTATGACGTCGCGGGTCGCACTAGGTACCTAGGCAGCTAGGTACGTGTTGTGGCTGCGTGGCTGCGTGGCTGCGTGGCTGGTGATATATTTCACATCTGCGACAACGCAGACCAGTGTCGCGATGTGCGATATAAGGAAATGACCCGATATCCCCCATCTATATCAAATCCATCCAACTACAAAAAAACACGAACGGTTTCAATCAGACAATTTAAACCTGCTGGCGGCTGCACAGTCCTCCGTCGTCAGCTGACTAGAGTCATCAATAACTTCGTCAATTCCTGGTCTATTGTTGTCGAATACCCTATGAAACGTGTTGAGCAGATTGTCGGGCCACGGCTTGCCAGCGAGATGGTCTGCCCTCGCCTGCAATTGCCATCGACGGCCTTCATCGGTGTCATCGGAAAACACCGGTTCGAACGCAAAATAAGGTGAACTGCCCAGCATCGTCACCCACGCGGTTGCCCCCAAACTCCAGACATCGTGCTTCAGATCATGCGGCCGCGGCTGTCCCACATGCCAATCCACACCGGCTAGGAAGTAATTGATCAGTTGCTTTTCGCAGATTTACGACCCTCTCCCAGATATGCCCAAGAGGCTTATAAGGGGGCGCGTACGGTTTTCTGTTCGTAAAAGTGCTGCTTTTCATCCACTGCTTCTCCTTGTCTTTGACATTGTCGGCGTAGTCTGCGAAGCCCATGTCGATAAGCATCAGTTCCTCACGTGGGTATCCTCGCTCTGCTTTTTCCATGAAAGTGACTACACAAGGAGAAGTAAGTAATGATGCATCGCTCGTCTCACATGGAACCTGACGGGATGGCACACCAATGATGCTGGAACCAGTGGCCGGTCAAACTCACAATTGTCAGGGTATATGTTACAGTGCGCCCAACCCTTGTCCGCCATCTCCTTCACCGTCTTTGCAAATCTTAGAACATGTCCCTGTAGAGAATCTGCCGTCTCACCAAGAGGGCATTCTCCTTTTTTCTGGCGCGCAGGCGTTAGTTGTCCAGGAGGCAGTACCATACGAAAACGATGTGAGTGGAATGTAATAGGAACGTGCGAACGGACTCCGTTGCGTCAGAGAGTCAGAGACAGAGGGTATTGGGCTGGCCTACTATAGCACCCGATAGCGACAACCCTTTGGCCAATACCACGATCGTGAATACACCCCGCGAGCCATCTGGCCCGTTCTTGATCTCGGTGTTTAATCAACCCTGTTGCTTCGTAAACACATGGCTATCATCAGGAACGGGGAGGTGTCAAGTGTAGAGGAACTGGGAGACATAATTGGGAAGAGACTCTAGCCGTCTAGGGCTTGCTAGGCGAGCAAGTAAAGGCATCCTCAAGGCTGGTGTTTTCTCAGATGAATAGCTGGCTTCTTCCGGCTCAATACCGCCTACGTGACGGACAGTCAGTGTAACAGGGCTTAAGGACAAGTTGAGTTGTTGTGAAAGAATGTTAGACAGGTAGGTCCATGGGATGTATGCTTGATCTAGGTCAGAATATGAAGAAACTGTTGTTGTCGTGTAAGGCTGAGTCTATTCCTAAAACCTAATAGGATGCATCCGACGTACTAGGTAAAAGAAATTATACAAAGTGTTTCACTACTCTGCTGCGACGAGTTAACAGCATGTAAAGTTTTGATGCGGAAAGCGGCACGGGATAACCGTTGGGGAGCCAGTCCATGCATCCTACCTTATTCCTAGATTCCTCAGGCATTATAGTGTTGCTCAGGCACCCAAATGAAAGGATTGTGTGCACCCACGGCAACCAGCTCCCGAACACAACCAGCTCTGGGATGCTATAGATACGCAACCATTTCAAGCCCCGCGAAGGTCAGTAGCTTCTATCTGCACAATCCCCCCAATATTCTACCCTTGGTCATCGGAGCACATTTCTTCTGCTTCTTCGATTCTCCTACCAGCATTTCGCTGCAGCCCATCTATAAGGTCCACCTCCATCGTTCACTGACACCTCAATCCTCTTTCAGCGCAATCCTCGACGACAATGGCGCCCGCCTCCACCAAGAAAGACACGAAGAAGCTCTTCGAGGTCCTTCCCCGAGGCGGCTTCAATTGGCTGTCGAGCTCTAAGAAATTCTACATCTCCAACAACGATGCCCAGATCATCGTCCGCGCGCTTCAGAAGAGCAGTCATACCTTGAACAAGACTGTCGTTGGCAACAGATTGGCGCTTTTCCTTGGGACCGCAACAAAGCACATCGATGACTGTGACTGTGCCAAGGTGTCGCCTCCCGATTTCTGGGGCATGGTTGGAGCGGAGGTTCCGTGGATCAAGGGACAACTGGACGATACCACCCTTCACCAGCTCGCCCTGAAGATATTCGCTGCCCGAGGCAAGGCTCGCAGCAACGCCAGCTTTTACAGAGACGACTTTGAACGAGAGGACTTGGCTCGAGAGGAACTTGGCGACTCCGAGTTGACCCGAGCTACCGACAGCTTCAGAACGGCCTTCCTCGAGAAGTATGGAGTGATGTCCGAGACCAGAGACGCGTACATGCCTCGATGGACGAAGGACTCCGACAACGAGGGAGACGAGGAGGCGACACGACTTCGATTCCAAGAGAGACTAGCCGTAGCTGCAGCCAACCACGGACGACGACAAACAGACGACCAGGGCAAGACACTTGTAGCCAATGCTGACGATGTCGAGGACGATGTCGAAGAAGATGTTGTTATGACAGATGATACTGTTATGGAAGATGTGCTCCACCCAGGTGTTGTCTTGGTGCCTGCGGAATTACGGTATACTCGGATGTAAAATTACGAAAGCAACAACATGAGGAGAAAAGGAAGGTTATATGCAAAACATTGCAGCCGTATGGTTCTTATCTCCAAGAAGATGGGGGTTAATTGTGGTTCAAGAGCTTTAAGTCGCGCTCTTCTTCGTATAGTCTCGACTATCATCGAGTAAACATGTGTGCTAATAGCATTGAAAGTAATGACATGCTATGCCACGGCACCTTCTAAGGATAAGTTGCTAGTGAGGAAGGATAGCTGTTCGGGACAAGGACTGCTTGTAAGAATTAATTTTTTTTTGATTTTATTTGGATTTTATTTATCGTGGGTGCAGTCCCTCAACAGGGCAAACCACGCCTCCCAGAGCCATTGCATCGCAAGGTTGTAGAGGTGTCAGTCTAGATACATTCAGATCCGCGCACGAGCCCATCCTCGCTGTAGCGGTACCAACCTGGAGTGACCAGATGGTTTTAGTCAATACCCAAGCACGATTCCGTCAGAAAAACCTCCTGTCCAGTGACAAAGCGACCTAGTGGACCTCAGTCCTCTGGTGTATATATCGTTCCAGTAGCCGTTTGATATATGTCGTATTGGTGGATGAAGCAGGTGCGTGTTATCTGCTGGCGAGGGAAACCACAAGGGGAAAAACCTCGCAGGAGTGGGTGTTATGGAGACAAGCTGCTTGGCTATCGGGCTCTGCGATAATGGGGCCTCTCCACTGTCGTGTGCTGGTTGTCGACTCGCACAAGCCGGGTCAGAAAGGGGGCCGTAGCAGGATTCGAACCCACTTGTTCTCGTCGCCCACCGCACAAACGAGAACACAACCAGGCGCATTTGACCATTGCGCCATACGGCCTGCTTGTAAGAATAATACCTACAGCAAGGAAGGGAAAGAAAAAAAACAAAAAAAGTTTGACAATGAGTGATTACGGATGCCTCTGATTGAAATCTACCCAATCACGCCAGGCTGCTCCAATAGACGAATCTGAAGGGGCACGGGGGTTGAATCTTTTAAACTCATGCATGGGGGAGGATCGAACCTGAGGTCTTTCGAAGACTTAGATTTTGGGATTATGCTGCTCAGGATCAAACCGGCCACCCGGTGAAAAGATTCGCTTCGATTCCAATTCATATACCTACCTGCCCGCACCCAACTGGCCTGCGGTTTGTTTGCCACACCACAAGCTCAGCCCAGGCAACCAGTCTGCTCAACTTGGCACCCGACAATATTCCTTTCCCCGTCCCCTGTCACCTTGTTATCTTTCCACCTTTCCCCGGAGGATCCTAAATCTGCACTGTCCTTCTCACTCACTTGGTTTGATTGTATGCCCAGCAACTGCAGAAGCTGGTGTACCAACCAACTCACCGTCCCGGGCTTTTAGTTTTGGTGCTGCTTTCACCCTGTGGTTGACCAGGCCACCGGTCCGGCCACCACCACACCCACCACCAACCAACATGATGCCCAGGTGACCCACAGTCTAAGAAAGCAACACACTCTTCGTCAAGCTGGTCTTCTTCCACATATTGACTCGGGAGAAGGTGACAGACGCATTTGTCCCCAAAGGAGGGGAAGAAATGTATTCCTCGATCCGCACTCTCAGCAACCAAACCCATTCCAAGCTACATACCTAACATCCACCCCTCCATCACGACAGAAAAAATGATAAAATTGCAACCGTTCAAATCATTATATCCGCCTGTCATGTCATCATAATCAAGGCAGTCATGCCGCAACACCTCTCCGCAGACCCATCTCAGTTGCACTTCCCGTACCCCTTCTGACACCTCGCACCACAATAGTCATTGCTCAACTCGCACCAACGCCACTGGCTGCAGCACCCGCTCCCACATGTCGTCCCAAATCCAGCACCACATTGTCCGTCGTCGACTGCGGCGGCGTCTTGACGGCCTGCGGTATCTCTCGTCAGCCCATCGCACCAAAAGGGGAAAAGTGGAGCGACGAGAAAAAGGGGGAAAGGGGAAAAAGGTGGACCGGGTTTCCGCCACGCGCAACTCACCGCACACGACAACCGCGAATCCGTCGAAGCAATATTCAGCGCCCCCTTAACATTCTGATTGAAGTTCTTCCCACCGACAACATTCGCCGCCGCATACGTAGCCTCCCAGATCGCGACGCCGCCGAAGTTGCTGCGGCAGTAGTACGTATCGACCAAGTTCTGCACCTGCGGCACCGCGAGGTCGTTCCCGGGGTTCGCAGCGGCCGCCGAGCCGGGTAGCCCAATATACAGGCGCGCGTTGCGGCTGTACGTGCTGGCCAGGAACGCCGTCCAGGCGTCGAACGTGAACCCCGCGGTGTCGAAGCTGCCGCCGGGCGCGTAGCCGGCGTTGGCGTCGGCCCAGCGTCGCGCGGCGCACTGCGGCGTGTTGTAGAATTGCACGAAGACCTTGTCAAAGGTGGTGGCCTTCAGGATCTCGCCCATGTTGGCGTCGGGCACCACGCACTGCGGCGACGCCGTGAGGTAGAACGTGCCCGGCACCGAGGCGTACAGGGCGCGCAGCTTGGTCACGAGCGCCTTGTAGCCGGCGAAGTTGTCGGTGGGCGTGTGCTCGATGTCCAGGTCGAATCCGTCGACGGAGAAGCCGATGTTGTTGTTGTCGAAGGGCCGGGGCATGCCCCTGTTCACCCAGCTTGCCTGTCGCGGCCCGAACATGTACCACAGCATCGTCGCGAAGGCGTCACCATCTATGGCGCCATTGAGCTGGTAGGTGTTCGTGCCACCGCCGAGCGACAGCAGGATCTTCTTGGTGCTGGTCTGGCGACAGGTATAGAGGTCGCGCTGGAGGCTGGGACACTTCAAGAGTTGGCCACTGGCAGGCTGGTTCTTGCCGCCATACCCTGGGCTGGGGTACTTGTCGCCCGAGCACTAGTTGTCAAAGTTGATACCCGGATAACCGTCGGCCTGTTGGGGAAAGAGGTTCACGAAGGAAAGGATGATGATGTCGATGCTGGGATTTGCACAGTACGTGCTCAGGGGCTTTTGGTTCGGCCCTTGGCCCTTTATTCCATGATGAGTTTCACTCGCGCCCGGACAGGTGGGTTGTATGGACTTACATATTAGACGGCGACATTGTTCTTAGACGCAGTGCTAAAAGTCGCAGAACCGATGGAACACAACGCAAAGATCACAGTAGAAACAAGAACGTGACGTGCCATTGCAAGCAAGGAGGACGCCTTGCGAAATGGTTTGAGGAGGATGAAATCAGGGCAGTGACAGAGGCTGGCCTCCTTGGGTTCTTAAGGAAAATGCATTGTACATCCACATTGTCTCATAATTCAAGTGATACATTCCATGAAAAAGTCGCGCCACCATGCCAGAGCCCAACGGCGGTTGGTTGAACTGATGATTATCATTTCGAGTCTAGATCTGGCCTCTCTGAATGGCAGAGAACGGCGCTATATCCCATAGATCTCGTGTCTATGTCTTACATCGTGACCAGGCACAGTGCAATTAGCCTAGACATGATAGCACGGCAACGAGGTGGTGGCTCGTGGCGATCAAACCTCTTGCTTCCCGTGCCACTGAGCATCATTTAGGCCAACCCACCAAGGACATGTCGCACGGATGTTGGGTGCATGGATGTCTTCAAGATTTCGCAACATCGTCATTTGTCCCCCATCTCTTCGTTTCGTCCCCTCCTTCCCAGTCCTTCTCTTCGTAGCCTAGCTGCCTTTTGACGTCGGCAACCTTGGCTGCGAGGCCCGTGTTCTTTCCAATATTGTCGCTGATCTTGATCGCAGGATTTCCATTGGCAGAACTCAGCTTGATGACAATATTGAGCGGCACGGACTTCTTCCCGGTGGTCAACTGAACAAAATCATTAGTTAGGAACGTGCCAACACCAAATGTCGATTGAAAGCCTTGCTCCTCCGATATTTGCTTGTACTCGATGCACTTCTCAATGTTCAGTGAGTCAGAGAAAACTATCGTCTTTTTGTCCTTGATGCCTTGACTGTCGTAAAAGTCGCGCATCATCTTGACGAACCCGGCGGGATCGCCAGAGTCTTGGCGCACACCAGCCAACACTTCGGCATACGTCTTGGAGGAAGTGGACGCATCGGTGGCACTGGGTGTGTCGGGGAGATGCTTGACAGGTTTGCTGAACGCTTTCAGAAAGGCCGGGGTGCCAAAGGTGTCTGTCAGGGCAATCCCAAGCACACCCTCGCCAAAGCAGCCCACCCAGCGACGGAGCGCCTCTTCGGACGCGTTGTAATAGTCATCGGTTATGGCCGCGATGCCCATAAACCACTCGTGAGCGACCGTACCCACGGGTGGAAGGTTGAATCGCATGGCCAGGTGGACATTGCTGGTGCCTGACAGTTTGCCCGGCAAGCCGCGCTTCTCGCCATCCTTGCTGGCCTTCACCAGGCCTCTGAAGACCAGAGCTTGGGTATGATAGTCTCTTCGTCTCCGGCTTCCAAACTCGGAGAATATGCACCCTGCCTCCAGCAGCTGTATGCCTTTTTGATAAGCCTTCTCCTCCTGTCCGTCATAATTCCAGTCTCTGTCCATGAACTTGAAGTAGGCTTCGGACGTGAGGGCGAGAAGCGGGATCTCGTACAGGATCGTATCCACCCATTTCCCGTTGATCTCGATGTGGATATCGCCCAGGTCATCCTCGGTTTCTGTGGCTCCCTCTATGGGGTTGAAGACTGGCTTCAGTTGCTCCCGAGGTGAAAGGCGAAACTCCTTCAGGAAATCGAGGTACTGGGGTGTCAGGTACCTGCAGTGTGTCTTCAAGTATCGCAGCTCGTCGTCGGATAGAGAGATATTGCCCAGCTCTGTAAAGCAAGTCAGTAAGCAGTTTGAGGGAAGACGACATCGGATAGGGCTGGTGCTACATACTGTAAATCTGGTCGCACAGCCAAGAGAAGGCTTTCCGGGATAGCTTCTTCTCTGGGGTGCGGTTGGTGAATGCATAGGTGACAGGTACTTCGGGGAAGTACTTGTAGACGGCGCATTGCATGGTGAGTTTGTAGAGATCGGTGTCGAGGAAGGAGATGACTCCCTCGGGGAATGGCGTGGACCAGTCGAAGTCCATGTTGGCTGTACAGGGCTGACAGGTATGGTCGAGGCGAATGTTGTGATGTTGCGAAGTTGTGCAGTTGTGACCGTGGTCCGTGGTTATAGGTCGAGCTATATGGGGAGCGCCGTCATTATATAGACGATCTGTCACGCTGGGCTGAGTCGGTAAATGAAAGGTGACGGAGATAGGTTGGAAGTGGGCGGAAGCTTGCAGTAAACTGGCTCATTGTCTGGCGTGGCTCAGCTGCTTCTGCTATGCGCCAGCGCTGTCAGTTGTCGCAAGTTGCGTCCAGTGTCCGTGTGGTTGCTTGAAAGTTGAAACCAGAGGTATAAAGAAAATGACTCAGCTCATTGGTCAGTGGTTGGTGAATATCAGGTAACTAACCGGGGGTTTCTGTTGCAGGATTCTTTTGTTGCAGGATGTGTCGTCCACCTGCCACGGCCCCCTTCGCCCCCACCTTCGCGACCATCGACATCGATGTGGACTGGAATGGACCGAATGTGGTGGGGTTTGGTGGTGTCACTCTTGTCGATAAGATAACGATAAGATCTTACGGAGATAAGGTACATGGATACATGAATGGGTGTGGGTCTTCACGGAGCACCGGCAAAACTGAATCTCCCTGCCAAGCTTCCAAGCTTTCCACCTGCAATCCAAAATGTGGCCTTTCCATTGATGCCGGGAAGGGACCCGCAAATCTCCAAATGAATGGTGAATTGAACTGAATTGAACCCCGGATTCCAGTTTGTCCAGTACGAGACAGGTGGACGTGCTCAGGAGCTACCAAAATCATACACCACCCACCATCCACCGCCCACCACAACGACGCACCCATTTCCATCTATTGCGCCTCCACAGACGTCTGCTTCTTCTTCTTCCCTCCGTTTACTCCCTCGTCGTCCTCACATCTCTTAGCAAAATGGTATGTCGATTGCCTGCACCTTGCTCCCCTGTCGACGTCGCGAAGGGGAGCTCTTGTGACGCCCCCGGTTGACCACGATGGTGCTTCTCCATCTGCTGTCTGCCGAGCTTTCAAGCACTCTATGATGTTCATGTTGCGCGTGGTCCATGCTGACGTGTCTCTGGCAAATGCAGTCTTCTCCACGCGCGTCTTCCCCCGTCAACGCGGGCGCCGCGACTGGCTCGAGCACCGGCCGGCCCTCATCCCCTCCGCCCCCTGGAGGCGCCCGAACTGCCATTCGACGGAGAGCTGCGGCAGACCAGAAGGACAAGATCGCAAATGCGCGACCGAGCAGCACTCGGGCTGCTGGTGCAGGTGGCAGCAGTAGCACCATGCTGAGTACGTCGAAAAGGGGTAACAGGCGCACGTGGTCAGTTTTGCTAATCGTCACTTAGGACTCTACACCGACGAATCCCCTGGCCTAAAGGTTGATCCTGTTGTCGTCTTGGTCCTGTCTCTTGTCTTCATCTTCAGTGTCGTCGCTTTACACAGTACGTTTCGCCAACTTTCACTCGAAATGCGACGGGATCGAGCAGCTAACTTTACTGGCCAGTCATTGCGAAGGTCACGCGCCGATTCTCCAGCTAAACGGGACGACTGGACGAGGACGAGGCTTGACTAGTAATGGGGAGATAGTGTCGCTATCGACGATGGCGCGGCTATAAGAATCTGCGACTCTCGACCGGACACTGTGGAAAGGTTGATAGGGAGCGAGACATACCAACATCAGCACCGCTGCTGGATAAAATTTACTTGAGTCGGCGATGGAAAACTCGGGATTCTGGCCTACTGGCCCATGTACCATTATCAGAACTTGGCAGGTTCTTGCGCAAGATACCTGTTGCGACCGATAGATCAACTGCAGGCATTTCATGCACACCCATATATTTGACAATACTTGGTGACGTCTGCGTCCGACTAGTTTTCCAGTTTACGGGGCAACTCAAATGGTCGATGAGAGCTTAGGGGACCGGTCCAGAGGATAGGTTGTGTGGCGTGGTGTGGTGTGAGATATATTGAGACTGGCCTCGCTGGATAGGTCAAGATCTCAACACTTCACGAACCACCATTGAACGCTCCCCCGAGGTTGAAAGGCCAGGGAATAGGCAAGTCGTTGTCTCTACTCTAGTTGAACGTACTACACAGGGTCCAATTCTGCGAGATGGAAGTCTAGGGAGTTTCTGCTGGTGCCTTGCTTGAGAGGTTCGGATACGGAGGAAGGCTCCCTCGAGTCTTCCTATGCATATCGAAGCGGTGTCAAGCAAGTGAACCCTACAGGTATCCAGGATGGTGATGATTAGCGGTTCCATATGCTGGGGGGTACCTATGGGTCCGTATGATGGCAACTGCCATCAATGATGCTGATTAAAGTTCTATACATCGGGTAAAGTTCCACACACTATGGCGTAAAGTTCCATACACCATGTCAAAGTTCTATACACCATTACAGGTACTTATAAATAGGCAGTGACGCTGATGTACACACTGGTGACTGGAACTACACACGTAGGTAGTCATGCTAATCTCTAATAATAGAAGTCGCGTCAACGTCAATATGTAGGATCACATGGCTGTGCCATTATAGGTCTACATGGCTGGCTGCCTACATCTCCTGGTGCTAACTTCGTAGCCAGATCATCGTGAACCTCAACCCAGCTACGTCATCTCGGAAAACACTGCTAAGCATTGCCACTACTACGCCGCAGGTTTGAATAGGACCTGTGGGAACACCATCCTACGCCAAATCCCATGAGAACTTTCATGAGCATGTGCCGAAGCCGTGCGGGCTTCAGGCTCCCGAATCCTGCAATGGTGCGTCTTGCGCATTGGTATCCCCTGGTCATCAAATATATTATGTTGCATATTGCACCACCCGGCTGCCTCCAATCGTCGTCGACTAGCAACAAAGTTCACTCCGTTATCATAACCTCTAGACTTGCTTGGAGAGAGTCACCATGATCTTTTATTCCAACCTTGCGTTCCTCGCACTCGTCGCTGTCTCTGTGCTCGCGGCCCCTGCGCCAGAGCCTGGGCAGAACCCCGAGCAGCTCCTCAAGCCTCCAGTCCGCGGTCGAAGCCTTAATCTCGCGCTGCGGGACCCAGTAGAGTTCGACATATACAGAGGACGGTATGAAGAATGTACTCGCATCGGAAAAGGAACCTCGGGCACGGTATATGACTGCGCGTTCGGAAAGACACGGGTCGCGGTCAAGGAATGCTGGGAGGACCCCAGAGACCCCGACAGTGTGGTCTGGTTCAAAGATTGTATGCGCGAGCCCAAGATCCTGACAGCTCTGAAGGAGATCAAGGGCATCACGCACTTGATAGACAGCGAGCTCAGGACGTATGACAGTGGGCAGCGACAGTTTCTCATGTCAATGGAACTCGGCAGGGGGAAGTCGCTAGCCTGGGCTATCGTAAGTCAGCCAACCATACGATGGGCTTTTCTTTATGGTGATCTTTGCTTGCTAATTAAAGTGTACGAATTAGGACGATTTACAATACCCTCACGGCGAGTCTGGAATGACTCTACGGCTGAACGTTTTAGAGGTGGCATATACGTTAAAGAGCATGGCAAGAAGAGGCTGGGTACACGGCGACGTAAAACCTGATAACTGTAGGCTTGGCAGGCTATGGGTTCCGACGTCATTCGTTCATCATTACTAATGTTTTCCTGATGCAGTGGTCTTCATGGACACCTACAGCGAAGGGCAGCCTCGGGGGGAACTGAGATTGATCGATATGGGCTCAGCGCAATATGTCGGCGAAGTCGATCCCAAAGACAAGACGAAGCAGTGGATGAAACTCGACAGGGTCGTAGGTACGCCAGATTACGTACCTCCCTGTAAGTCTCCTGGGCATATCTGAGACGAAAGAACAATGTTTCGAACGAAGTTGACATGGTTCTCTTTCTTTAGCTATATCCAACTTCGTGGACGAGAGCCTGCAGGATCCCTTGAAGCGAGATGTTTGGGCGTACGGGCAAACAGTTTACACGATGCTCACAGGGCAACCTGCCGAATATACGCTGTGGTCGAGTTTCTTAAAGAAAAACCTCGATGAACGTAAGGATTACTTGATGCAGAGAGCAGGAATAAAGTCGAACTCGCCGATTACCAGGTTGCTTGCAGAGATATTCGTGGAGCTCGACGATGACAGGCCAACTATGAAACAAGTCGTAGATATCTTGAAGAGCACAACGCAAGAGGAATGGTTTGAAGTAAGCAAGCAAGCCGGAGAGGCACGCGTGCGACGGCGTGGGGAGCCCGAGGACGCACCGAGCGATTGCAAGCAGAGTGATGAAAGCCACGCCGAAAGCGACGTTAACTAGATTTTGGGTGGTTCACCTTGAAACACTTCCTCCTGGAGATACGGAGCCCCTTGAGCTGGCAGAACACCAGCTCTCTGACACCGGGGAGATGTGTGCGCGGTGGTGTGTTGTGGGATGGGACACGTCGTGTTGGAATGACCGAATGACCACCATACAACAGACCGCTTCAAGGAACCAATGATGTCGATAGTAGCGCTCGCTTTCGCCAAAATCGCTGTTCTGGGGCTCCCTCTCTACAGGGCAAACTGCCCTTGTGACTTACAAGCAAATGCTGGCTTTTTCAAGTTACATGCATTACGAACAGAATATAATACATCAGATTGTTTCCTCGAATCCCAAGACTACACCGTCCAGGCGATATGATCGCCTCTCTTGTTCCAATGACCTGACTCCAAAGGCTACTCAGGTATGAATCTCCGTTGCTGACAAGTTAAGGGGCTGGAAATTTACCATGGTATTGGCAAGTTTTGGTATCAAACCACCTATGAGCAAGTCTCAGCGTTTCTAAGCTACACTAATCTCTCAAGGAACACCATAAAATTATATACCTTTCAGTATGACCAGCTGGAAAGGTGGTTCATACCTTGACACGGGCTGTATTGTCGACGGAGCCCATGGTATGGTGACCCTGGCGCGCCCGCCCAAGCTGGCTGAAGCTTGGGACGCTGTAGACCTCAGGCAAACATTCATCGTGCTTATGGACATGTCCCACGCACTTTCGGTCGCAGTTTGCCGTATCCGTTCGGCAGTGTTCGACAGCCGGCAATCCCGTCCCGTGCGCATCCACAACGTCCCGCGGGCCCGGACGTGGAGCCGGGGCACGGGGCCAGCCCAGATACGGCCAACGTCTAGTCACCTGCGGCATCAAGGCAGCCGTCTTAGTTAAGTGGACTACTACTTTGAGCAAAGGCCGCGAGCCGATGGTTACCGTACACCGCATGTCACCGTCGTCTGCATAAAGTCAGAACTATCTGCAATGCCGCCTACCTGTTCCCGCTGCCTGTCATTCTATGCCACTGAATGGCAGACACTTCGGTTCCGAAATTTCCGCATTGCCCTTTCCGCACTGAATATTTGTGAGTCAGACAAGCATATAGATGACCGGGCCGTCGCAATGTAGCAACGCTGGCAGCAACTCTGGCAACAACAAAGTTGTGTTTTGCCCTTCCATACATTCACGACAGAGCAGATACCATGTAATACTAGTAATGAAGCTCATAAGTCGGGCCTATCAATGTGAATCCATTGCCCAGCATACACATCAGCTCAGTACTGCTATAAGTTTGCCCACTAGCACCACCATCAACAAAGAACAGCCAACCACGCTGTTTGCTATCGATGGCATACCAGCAAACAAAGATCAGTGTAACCCAAAACGTCTGCTCTCTAATACTTCAGATTTGTGACTCACCTTGAGAGATACAAGGTGACTTCCAGCCCAAACAAGTAGCAAAATGGCGTTTACGCAACAAGGTATTGTGCTACCCGCTCACTCAATGCCATCGATTCAGCAGGCGCACCATTCACAGCATTCCCATTCACAAGGCACTCTTAACAAGTTACAACCGACTAGAATGCATTCTTCCTAGACCCTCACCTGGACTGCCCCTACAACCGGATGCCTCACGCCTCTGTCCTACCACCAGCAACCGCCACCTGACAGCTTCTGCCAATGCAGCCTCCCGCCACGATGGAGGACGGCAACCGATACCGCGGTCCCTGCCTCTTTGCGGAGCTACCGACAGAGATCAAACAAGACATCTTCTCGAAACTGGATGTCGGCTCCGTTCCCGCTCTCGCCACGGCAAGCCGTGACTTCTACAGGTCATACGACGGCGCCGAAGGCCTAAACTGCCACACAATTGCCGTCAGGACAATAGGAGCAGCGATGCTTCCTCTGGCCCTGGCGACCTATTACTCCAGAAAGACCAACTGGAAGCAACTAGCAGTACGACCTGATTCCGGCTGGGAGTACGCAAATAGCCTCAAGAGGTTCACCGGTACATACCTCGACTGTAAAGCGACGGGCCTGCGGATAGCCAGCACAGACTTTACCTTCGACATGGCAGCAGATATGGTAGATCTTTACAACGAGGTGGTGTTTATCGGACGACTATACGCGGACTCCCCGTCCTCCAGCCTGCCCGGAATGCAGCAACGACCCTCCACCCCAACGGAGCTGACGGCCATCCACAAAGCCATCTACATCATGGAGATATCGCGAATGGTCCTACCCGCGCCCAATCTTGGCCAGATCTTGTGGTTGAAACATTCGAGCCGCTTGCTGTGGCACTGCTTCCCGCCGTGGCTGAGCCCCCTGGTTCTGCGCATCGAGGAGGTTCTGAGGACTCAGACGACCAAAGGTACGTCTTAGTGAGAATTTACGCCCACCAGCGAGTACCAATATTAATGTAAATCTACTTAGTCTTCACAAGGGCTCGCAAGTCATGCTCGTACCCCAAGCTTGCCAACTGGGTCCGATTTGGGCTGACGCGGGCCTGGTTCTCTACGAATGGGATCCGGGGAACGCAGCGCATCCTCACCCGAAACGACAAGAGATTCGTAGTCTCGTCAATCGTAAAGGGCGCACGAGGCATGTCTGCCCTGGATTACCGTTACACCTTCCATCATGGCGACGGCCTGGACTGGTTCGACCTGGTGCCGGCCAAGTCCTTCACCGTATCGTTGGACGCGCAGCATCTCCTCGATTCGTATCCAGAGAAGGACACAGGGCTTCGCGATTATTGGTTCTTCCTTTTCCTGAACAAGGTCCTCGATGGGAACATCTTCAACAACGAGAGTCTACCTAGTCTGATGGGTGGCACGCGAGGCGGTATATGCTTCGATCGCGCTCGGTTGGATGAACTGCTACCTGGAGTCGTGCCCAGTATGGAGGAGATGGCAGAGGTCACAAAGGATATGACCACAGATTATGCCGGCGAGGGATAAACGATATTCCATCAGCCGGCCAGCTGGGCTCGCCATCCTCGGCGCCCTCTATGAAAGACGGTACGTTGGGGGGCAGTTGGTACGCAGCGGAATAAGCAGTGATTTTTAACTGTTCCTGTTTAGTAGACAGGAAGTTGATTCAGGCCAGTGATTATGCGCAATTATTCAGGCTGGCGCTATGGCAGCATGCTGGAGTGACATAGGTGATAATCCTCCTCAGGGGGTAGTATTCCTACCGCGGTCCGACGAAGCGGCAGGACTGCACTCACGGCATCGTGAGGCTCCAACCAGTCAAGTACAAACCCCAATAACCCGGGAATAAAGCAGCCTCGGCGAGTCTGGGAAGCACCGAGAACCCACGAGTGAGTGTCGTCCTGACCCGGCTTGGCCACATATATCCGGATGCAGATGGATGATACGCCTCCGACAGGCCAGATCTCGCACAGACCTGCAGAGAAACAGACTAATTTGAACTCTTGGCCCGTCAGCATTTCAGAGCACTCGCAAGGCCATGAATCCAATCACACCAACAAAGATCGTAGGTAGTTACTGCCCGGATCTGCCTGGATCTGCTGGAGTTGGCTGGGCGCCTTGGCGAAATGTGACGCCCTCGTCATGGCGGCCTGCCTGGGACCGGACCGTTGGCTCCAGTCGGCTGTCAGCTGACTTATGGTAGACTAGACGTGACGCGTTAAGGCTATGATGGAAATACACTGTCGCCTCCTCCACGCCATCACATTACCTAGGTATCCAAGGCCTTCCGTAGAGTAGGTAGTCCTGGGTTAAAGTAGGTAGCCATGTAGGGGGCTTGTCGTATTTGACACACAATGGCAGTCTGTTTGATTGATCAAGATGCAGGGTCACGGGTGGCGAGGACACGTGAAACACGGAATGGGTGGATGCCAAAGATTTGGAAGATTTGTTTCTTCTGGACATACCAACAATAGGTAAGGGTCTATTCATGGCTTCCGACTACTGTCGCCTGAAAGCGCAGCACAGCGCAACAAGACAAGCACAGAATGCAGCTGTCGCCCGATGAAAACCAGCCAGGACTCCTGTCAAGATGCTCGCCACCTAGCCAGGTACGCAATGCCTTAGTACACGTGACGACATAGTCCCCCACGCCAGCCGGCGTGTCTCCGTTGTCTTCGTCGAGTCAACATGTCTTGATCCATCATGCAGTTAACCTGAACGCCAAGGCCGAAGAGAGCCCCCTCTCTCCTACCTATTCCCCTTCCTAAATCAGACATGTATGATGCTGCCCCATCCAGAGGCCCTTTTACGCCCATGATTTCCCATTTCCCCGAACACACGTATCGGTGGATGGATGAAGAATAATGATAAAGATGAGTGCTGCGTGCGTGGTTGTAGAAGAGGTGACAAATGAGAAGCAATGGCCAAGGCCCGAGTTCGAGGTATGTGAGTAGGCATAGTATGTACAAGGCGCAGGGAATATCCAAGATGTCGGTTGAGTCCGTCGCCGTGGTATATAGGACAAATGAGAATGAGAAACAGGATATCGGTTGAACCATCCTATGAGTGTCGTTGACGCATGTTCCTGTCGTTGCAACCGACGTCGTGTCGTTTAAGCGAGATCGTGCCATCAAGGCCATTGGACATGCTGTGGTTGGTGTCCTGCGTACAGTCTCGAGACATTTTGATAGACGGAGACCATGCAGAGAAGAGGGTAGATGAAGGTAGGTTGACGCTAGCCAGTGTTGTATAAGGCGTTATCTCCGTGGGGGTTCTCTCGGATCTTGAAACTGTTGGTTGCGTCGACCAGCCTCCCCGCGAGCAGCAACCCATTCGGCATTACCGCTCTGTCGTCCGGGCTGCTCAGCCGGTAGCTTTTGGTCATCGCTCGAGGAAGAGGCCGGACTTGGGACGGCGGGCCGTCTAGGAAGGGTGCTTGTCGAGCTGGACGCACCGGGGACCATACGCGTTACGGCTTGTGCAATCGAGGCAACGACGTAGCCCCTAAGCTCGCGGTCTTCTCTCGAATCTTCCTTCTCTAATTGAAACCGGGCGTCTTTGCCTAGATTGGCGCGCCGGATATTCTTGATCTCTTGCATGATATAGAGCATGACCTCTTCAGGACATTTGCTTCTCTCCCGAGCATGCTCACTCTTCCGTACGTATCGACGTGTGACGTCCGTCGCGCCATCTATGCTGAAAGCAATGCAATATGACATCTGCTTGCCCCAACCGTCGGTGTAGAGTCGCGGGTTGTCCCAAGCCTCTTCGCACGCATCGACGTGTATCCATCGTTGCTTATGTTCTGAGTAGACTTCGGTCCAGACGTGATCCTCCGCGTTCCATACCCAGCGTACACGGCCACCAACGGCGCGGCACAGCATGCTGAAGCAGTTCGCCCACTCCCCGCAGCGGCCTCGTCTCGTCTGCAGCAGACGCCACACGTCGCTGTACCGTGGAAATCGCTCGTAGGCGCCGCATGACTGGTTCGAACATTCGTAGAGCTCGACCCTCAATGCTCCGCACGCGCTCTCTTCTGGTGTCGGCTGTGTCGCGCCTTTTGCGACCGTCGGCGATAGACAGACCGGGCAAGCAGGATTGTTGACCCATGTGAAGAAGGACCGCTTGAACCATCTGCAATTGGCGTACATTAGAAAACTGTACTAAAGACCACCGGGATTCGTGGGGATTAGAGGTGCTCACCTTAGTAGAGCCCGAACCACGCAGTCCTGGTATCCCCATTCGGGCTTGCGACCGTCGCCCATACTTTCGGCCTGGGCTTGGAGCACTTGAGTCTCTTCCTCGGCTTCGCTATATATCCGATCTAATGGTATCGTCTGGAGGGCCTCGTCAAGTAGTCCAGGATTTTCGTATTTGGTCGGTGTCAGTGACAAAGACACCAGGAGGGTCCGAAACCTCTGGGAGGCCTGGTCATTCGGTGCGGGTGGCGTCGGTATTATGGGAAGATGGCGCAGTGAAGAGTAAGAAGGCGGTGTCGCAGCTGAGCGGGAACTCTGGCCATACGACGTGGAGGGCCTGCTGGATGGTGTCGCTGACGGGACTCTTGTGTTTGTCGACGAGGCTCGCTCATCTCGTCGGGGCCGAGCGGCTCGTGATTGTTCGAAGTCGTGTAAGCGCTTCGATCGTAGCAGCTGCTCGAATTGGACGCGCAGATCCCGGGCCCACTCCTCGCCATAGTCCTCCTGGCCATGGCCGGGTCGGTTGCTAGAGTTTGCCATGGTGTCGCTGTTGAGAAGCGACGACGGTGTCGAGTTCGCGCGGATAGATGATGCTTTGTAGGTATATGTAGTACCGACTAGGTAGTAGTGGTGCGTTGCGCGTTGCAGAATTAGTTGATTACGCAGACACGAAAGACGTCGTCAGCGGGTTGGTGACTGATGTGGACTCGCTCATCAGCGTCGAGTTGCCACCGGGTGGCCGTCCAATTCCCCCTACGAATCAGAAGCCGTGCGCTGGCATCCGTGATGCTGTGTCGACAGTGTGTCCTCCTGCTGGTATCGGTGCGAATCAATCCCTCGCGCGACGCAACTGGAAACTGGAAAGCGAATGACGGCCGGTCGGGCGATCGAAGGCGGCTCGAGGATGGCAACGGTGATGGCGATGAATGGCAGCCGGTGGTGATGCTGACGGATGGATTGCCAGGTAGTCAGGTAGACCGTAGTAGGGGACCTGGGCGGATTAGGTGGTAGGATGGGATTGGGATTGGGATTTGGGGGACGCAGCCTGGAGGTGTGATCACGGAGGTGTCAGGGCTGTCAGGCTCTATGAGAGAGAAATGGGTGGTGGAGTAATAGTGCCTGTATGCGTGCGTGTTGTCTGCGTCGCCTTCTTCTGCTTCTCCGCCCGTAGCCTTTGCGTGTTGCGTGTTGCGTGGCCGCGTAAGGTACTGGATTGGCCACTCTGCCACTCTGTCACTAGAAAGCAGTAAAACACAGCACCATTGGGGAGTGCTGGACTGCACTGGAGGTGGAGCGGCCCCGTCAACCTGTCAGCGATGAACGCGCGTCTCTCTTGGGCCACACGGCCAATCATCTAACACGCTTCTGCCGGTGGTGGGTCACGGCGACCCTGCCACGGCGGGGTGCACCCCTCAAATTGCCAACGCCCAAAGGCCTCCGTTGCTTCAACTTTCAAGCCTCTTCCTTTTATTATCGCAAGCCGTCATACGGAGTTTTGTAACGACTGACTGACCGATATATCTATTGATGGATGGACAGATCCAACCATGCCGTATGCTCAATTGAATTCTCCCAACTCCCGCTGAGACTCCATACATTTGATCTGCTCGTGCTGGCTGCTATGGCTTCGCGCCCCCTGACTCCTGAGCACGCAATGCACACAGCCTCATTACATGTATCACTTGACAAACGCAGAAGACACTCAGCAACATCGCGGTCCTATCTGCCATCAGATACACCATTCGGAATGAAATCCATCACACTGCCTTGTAATAAGTTGCGACCAGAGTCGGCTCAGATTGGACGTATTTTTGGCTCTTGGAAGTGCTGCATGGTAAAGGTATGTACTCCGTGCTGTCTTGCTTCAATGTTTTTCGGCGATGACGAGGCGTGGCTTTCGCCTTTCGGGAAGTGTGGCTGTATGATGCCTCTTTCAGTACTAGCGGTGGCGGGTTGTTCTTTTTTTAATTCGTAACATGAAATTGCCGGCAATGGGCACAGCCAGCCTGCCAAGGCCCATTGAATGCCGAATGCCCAAGGGTTGGTGGACTGGAGAAAGAGAAAAATGGATATCGCCAACCTCACTTCTTAAGTCCTCAAACCTCAGACCTGACTCTCGGATCCTGGCGTACCTGTACCGGTCACGCCCATGTACAGCCTCGTGGCAGATCTTTCTGTCCCACTCATTTGTACACACTGACTACTGTAGAGACAGACACAGCTATATTCCACCATGGCTCCAGCTCAGCCTCGTCTGCCTCGTGTTTGCCGTAATCTGGTCTGATACACACTCCATGGCCATCAGAAACCACGACCGCTTGACCAACGCAAGGCTGTCATCTGAGCCAACATACCTCTCAGCCTCTGCAGTACAATTCGAATTCCGGACCTTTGTGAGCCTACGAATCCTTCGTGAGCGAAGGGTTGAGCGCCTCATGTGCTTCTCGTGTGCTTGTCTCTCTCCCTCGCCCCAGACATAACAGCTTGGCTTTGAACCCCGGCATCTTTGCGACCTACCAGATCTTTGATAGAAGCTGACGATGCAGGCCGTTGGCCGTTCGAGGGGCGCCGATCACGTGTCGACTCATCAGGGTGTGGGATCCGGGCAGCCGGCGTGAGGTGCCGTTAGAACCTACGTTTATTTATTTAGTACCGGCTAGTGCTTGGAAATGGGCGCAAAGTCCAAAACGCTTGCGCGTCCCCTGTTCCCCCACAGCCTTCTGGCAGCGAGGCTTGCGCGTTTCCGACCAATTGCGAGATTGCCCACCCCTGAAAGATCCCACGACTGTGGGGCCGACGACTCGCTAATTACTCGGTTTCCCTTCCTGGCGGCGAATGTTACGTTGCGTCCTGCTGCCTGTATCGAGCTGTCAGATCTTTTGCGCAGAGCAAACATCGAGCCAGGAAAAGCAGTATCAAAAATAGGCCCTTCACAATCGCAATCAGAGGGATGCAAGATCAGACGAACATCCCAGGAACAGAAGTCAAACCCGCCTCGAGCAAGTGCTCAGGAGTCAGGTTCGCAGTGGACATCCTAGGTTATTATTACAGTCGGTTCACTTTCCATACGGCATGATCCGATCTAATCGAGATATCTCATCCACTGCTTTGCGGCCCGGCGTCACATTAATGAGATTTTCATCGTCACTCACACGAACCATGTGTTACACATGGTCGCCATATATCTGAAACCCATATCTTCCGTCTGCGCCATCGCATCTCACAGCGTCTTAGTCTACAGACGACGCCTTCGACGGTCAACTCAATTTTATCATTATGGTGTCACTGGTTATCGAGTTCAGTACCCATCATCCACCGATTTGCGCTGACGACATAAAGTGACACCGCCGTGAATATAACCGCTGATGGGCATCGCGTGCTTGCTCTTCACATGACCGGGGTGCGCCTGTTCTCCTTTGGACGCGCGTCTCTTTTTCTCTGACACAAGTCAAGCACTCTGTCCAGTGGAGATTGCTTCCTGTACTGATTTCTGGTCACATCCAAGTGCCAACTTCTGGTCGCAGGCAAAGACATGTTACTCATACTGCTTGCGCCTGGTAACGGTCGATCGTCGGGAACTGTTCGAACACTCCCATTGAGCGCGCCGCATGAACTGAAGTTGATGGGTGAGTCTCATTCCACAAGAGCTTGTGCGTCTGCGTCGATATCTCTAAGCGCGCGTCACATGGCCACAGCTCTTGCAGCCTTCGAGGTAACCTGGTTATTCCGCCTCCAAGACACCGGACGCTATCTTCACTATGGTATGAATAACCTTGGTGCGACGCTTCTTTCATTGGCTACTATCATACTAGTCTTTAGCTTGTCTATCGGCTCCGTGGGGATCTCATTTTGCGATGCTTGATATGAGCACATTGTCTGCGCTACGATGTGGCTAAGCAACCCCAGGCCCTTCCAGCAAGTCCTCCATCGATTTTGTCATGGGGCCATGGGCAGCCTCACGTATCACGGCTCTCGCCAGACACAACATCGGCTTCGAGAAGCGTGGAGTGCTGGGTACGTCTGCAAGGCTGCAAGGCTGTGAAGCTTCAAAAGCCCATCAGCCAAAAGTCGGGAAATCTACCGAGCATGGAGAACCCCGGTCTGCAGGAGAGGGAAGTATCGCATATGAACTCACCAAGCAAACTTCCACGTCTAGCGAGCCGAGCCATCTGCTGAGCAAATCACTCGGGTCAAGCCTCAGCCGTTAGATCATACCGACGCGTACGCGTGCCGGGACCACGCAAGCACTTCCTCCTCCGGACTGCGGTACACCCGAGCACCAGTGAATGCGATTGGTCCGCTTGTGGGTGAGCCTCTTGGTTGGCCCAAAGACCATTGGGGTAGGTGATGAGATGGTGATGTTGCTTAATGTGATGATCTACTGCCTAGCTATTTCAAATGGCGAGCTCTGGTGGGGACTCTTGCGTTGTACCTTCTCCGGAGAGATGCTGTAGAAGTACCTTGAAATTCTATGCGATGACAGCATGGCGGGACGCGCGCCTATATACCTCGAAACAGTGATCCCATAGGGCTGCCGCTTTGTAAGCTCATCACGCTGCCGCTAGCCCACGATAGCAACATATCTCTATTTAATCCACTACTGCAGGGCTCGCCTGTCGATAAATCTATGCCCATTATTGCATAGGCGAAACAGCCCTACACAGTACAGGTAAGTACTAGTAGATCCCTTCTGTTGCCTTTTACCTGTAGTACTCTGTTGTTACTACTTCATATCAGATCCACCATGTCTCAGATACGTCACAACGCCTCGGTCTCTTCCATCTGGGCATACATAGATGGAATACCGAAATATGTGGGTGATGTAAAGTGGAACTTGACCATACGGGGTATGTACATCACCACGCAACACGCGTCGGCCGGGACACGTACCCTGATCATAAACCAATGATCGATCATCCACCCTGCCACCTCACCGCATTCTCCTCCCATCACATCTCCTCACCGCCGCTCTAGCCTAGTCCGCGATCGGTCAGCCTGCCGGACTGCAGCCGGAGGACGAAAGGATCACCAGGCTTTAGACGAACGCACCTCCTCCACTGTTGCCCGCCTCTCCCAGGGGAAGAAGGACTGGGCCGCTCGCGTGGTAGGAGATCTACAAGGCACACGTCAGTCAAGCCCGCAAACCAGAGGCGGCTCATTACTCACCGTTTATCTGGAGACTGGAGCTCTTCAACCGGCGTGTGACCACCGCCGTTCCACTGCAACTATTCCTACTTTTTCTCTTTTTTTACTACTGGTGACCCAGTCTATAAGCTTCATCGTGAGGGAAACCATAGCATCCCAGAAAAGGCGGACAGGTTTTTCTCTCCTCCAGTGAGATTCCGAGTGGAGCGCCGCTGCGAGGTACGCGTCATCCGACCCGGTAGCGTGGATGGGGGTGGTTGGGGGCTCGCTCGGTGGTCAGCGGAATCTGTACGGCATGCTGGGGCAGCACTAATAATGTGGTACTGGTGAGTTAGTTACCTCTGTTCGTCATTGGTAATCCTTCTACTCTGGCGACTCGTTGATTGAGTTGTTCA